AGTGTCTCCACTGAACATTTACCTGTCCCTCTCTCCATGAAAAGAACTCTGGAGATCGGTAAAAAGTTGGTGCCGCTCAGCAGAAGCTCCTCGCCTCCTTCTACAGAGCAGGACGTGAGACTGACGGACTCGATGACGGGCAGCTCCTGAGCCGAACGCTGGGCTGCAGCACCGAGGAAAGACGAATGTAAGTAGTGCTGTTCTTACAAAGCTAATGCAGAGGAAGTACGTGCACAACTGGAAAATGTAGATAAATATTATATGAATGTCCATGAAAGTGCCACTCACAGCATTCGATGGGCAGAGAGGCGACCTGCAGGGCCAAGACCCGTCCAGGAGGACCTACAGGGGGCGCCAGAGGGAGGTGAGTCCGAAACACCAGACGGACACGAGTGTTTTTCCTCCCGACGTCCGTTTCTCCCTTCCTCAGCTCGATGTCCGAGTTCCTCAGTTTCAGAATCCCGGCACAGTCGATGCTGAGAAACACAAAATATTCCTTAAATTAGTGCTGGGCTGGTCATTTACTAGTTGTTAAGTGTCACATTCTTAACTGTCTCGCTTCACTCTGGTGCAACATCTGTGTATTTAAATGTGCAATATGAATATTTTGTGCATTTAAAAGACTCTGTTTTCTCTATATTTACAAGAGTATGTGCAATGTCAATGTTTTTATACATTTGGAATAACCCAGTGCAATATCACTGTTTCCCAACATTTAGAGGAATCTCTGCAATATCTAGATTTTTAGTAAATTAAAGAATTTGTATAGTATCGACAGTGTTTAGGTATATCTCTTGTTTATTTTACTTTTTTTTACTGATGTTTCCTGCGTTTCTGCTGATGTAACACTCCAAATTTCCCCACTGTGTCAATCATAAAACTTTTTCTAATCTCACTAGCCTGGTGGTTCTAAGCTGTGATTAAAAGTTATTCACAATTTCATCACTTCTACTAAAAAAAGCCGCAGTTTAAAGTCTTCATTATCTTATAAAAGTACAGACCTACAAAATCTGCTTAAAGTTTTAAAAGTTGATGCACTCATTATGCAGGAAATCACATCTTTGGTTGTGTTTTCACATAAACAGTATATCATTTTTAAAATTGAATCACAAAATACGGATCTGTAGCTTCAAACACAAACATTAGGCTGTTTTCTGCATAAGAAATATGAAAATGGAAACCCAGTTTTTGGAAAATACAGTGATAAAACTGGCACTGACAGATTGTTAAAGAAGTCTTCTCAAAGGCTATGAAGAATTAAAAAGCAGATTGAGCACTCCATAAACTGAAGATATAAAATACATTTTCTATTTCAAAATTATAATACGTCAAATATATGTAGTAGAGTGAAAAGTAAAATATTTTTCTCTACCGAGCAGTGGACTGAAAGTATAATTAAATACTGATACGTTATTGAACTGTCAGTATATATATTTAGTTAATTTGCACCACTTTGTTTTTCTGATTTAAAACTAGATACGAGGCTAAAATATCCTTGTTGTGTAGACATGAAGAGGAAACGTTTCCTCCGTCTCTGTCCGACTCACAGGGCCGTCATGTTGTTCTCAGGGTTCAGGGGGATGTCGAGCAGTTTGGTTCCCGCCTGGACGCTCTCGTGGCTGGCCGTGCCGACCATCTTCCCCGTCACCCTGAAGGAGAAAGAAACGTTTTAAAATCAAAGCTCTGTCAAAGATCTGTCAAAGCTGAACCCTGCTTCCTGATATAAGGATCACACAAAAATTGCGTCCCATATAAAACACTAATCTGACAGTTTCTCATTACAGCTTCTGAAAAGTAAAGATTTTCATGTTTTTAACTCATTATACGGCTTATATCTCCTTTATATTTTGTACTCAGTGCCACCTTGACTTCTGTGAATTCAATTTAACAGTCTTTTCTGGCATCTTCTATTTAATTTTTTTTTTTAAATGTGAGCATTAATCAGAACTCTGCATTAACACACATGCATATATTTAATTAAAATGTGTTTTTTAACATTTGATATTACATTATATTTCATTACGCTTCAATTTGTCTGACCTATAGTGTTAAAAGGTTTATCGATCACTAATAGTACATCCATCTATTCTAAACCTGTCAGACTTTAATTTTAGAGTTATCCATGTTTTTAGTAATTAGGAAAAATGTGTTGAGTGAACACTTCAAAAGATTCGCTGAACATTTTAGAGGATCCTGTGACTACAGCTATAAAGCTTTGTTATATTTTAAGACTTTTGAATGTAATATATCTCATTTTCAAATAATATTTTAATCGTTTTATACGTCCAACATGTTGATTGCCAGCATTAATGACCCATCGTCAGCTTTGTTTATTAACTGACTGATTGCATTTGTGTTTTGCTTTTGTGGAGCAGTGGCTCTAAATCTGTTCAGTCGTCTGTTTTAATTGCTGCAGAACATTTTTCCTTTTTGCTGTGAGCATCTCACTTCTGTCTCTCTTATTACGGTGTGCATGGTGACCAAAGTTTGCCTTTTTGGGGATTAATAAAGTTATTTTTCCTCATTTTACCGTATTGTATCGTATCATATATCTTATTTTATCTTATCTTATCTTGTCCATTAAAAGATCATGTACAAAGAATATGGAAAAGACATTTTCAACAGATCTGCCGCTGATGTCCCAAACTATCCTAAAGACGCCCTAGAATGCTAAATGTTCAGTAAATGTGTGGGCACACATTAAAGCAGATGCTTTGATATCTTCTATCGAGAGTTCATATGAATGTGTTCCCTCATACTGAGTGATTCCCTGTTTTCTGCATTAAGCTGCTGCTCTCATTCAGAGAAAAGCTTCACTGAGAACAACTAGTGCAAGAAATTTGCTGGACCAACAGTAGAAGCAGCTGGTGGTTCAGTTACGCAACGGTTAAACCACAGCGGTCAGATGATGTGTCCCATGAGCGTTGAGTCCCTTGAACATTAACTAAAACATGCATGGTTATAATAAACTTGTCACTAAAGAGAAACATACTGCAGCCCAGTACCTGTGTATCTGATAGAAGGGATGCGGTCTGATCGATCGGTCGTCAGCCGTTCCAACGAAAACCTGAAGCGACAGCGGCTTCCTCTCGGTGTATCCACACAGCTGCAGAGGGACACAGTGTGAGCAGTGACATCAAACTGTGACGAGGCACAACATGCGTCTTCAGACACGATCTCACCAAAATCTCAGCTTAAAATGAAACTACATTCAACATAAACACTCCTCAGAGATGTTAAAGTAGGATCAATATGTGCAGCATCACTAATAATGTGCTTCAGCAGCTGCAGGTTTGTGCTCCACCTTGACTACAGGATGTCCGGTCGGTGCAGCTTTCACGGCTCCCCTGCTGCCCTCCGTCTCGTAGTGGGCTCTGTGGTGTGGACGGGGCTGCACCTCGATACGCAGCTCATACTGGTCAAACTGGGACGGCAGCGGCCAGTCGAGCGGCGGCAGCGCGTTGGACCTGAAGGGTGTTAAATCAGACAGTTTTAGCTGCAGTGAATGTGGACAACCAGGGAGCAAAGCAGATGAACAACTGTTGGGGGTCGATCAGTATGTTGTTTTTTTTTACAGGATATCAGTAATCAAGGAGATTGATTACTGATATGCGAAACTGACAAACATTTGCAGCTGAAATGTAAATCCAGGTGTAAAATTTTGAATAGCAACATGAAACTTTTCCGTATTTATCCAGTGTTGACTGGATGTTATTCATGACGTACAACCATTTACAGTCAAATGTATTCATAACCTCCCATTAAAGAAGGAAAAAAAACAGCTGTCACTGAAATAAGCTGAAATTGACAAAAGTAATAATAAATCAAAGTTTAATGAAAATCGTGACATTGCTGCTTCAACAAAAATATATATAAAGCAAACAAGCATGACGAGACTGTAAACTAACATTTAGTTGAAGAACCCTTTGAGGGAATCACTGCAATCAAACGTTTTCTGTAACTCTCCATCAGACTTCTGCACCTGTTGACAGGTATTTAGATTTCTAATTTGTCCAGGACAGTTTTGTTTGTTTTCTTAAATTATTCTTTTCAACCACAATCCTAAAGCTTATTTCTCTAAATTCTAATTCAGCAAATTTAAATTTATTATTACTTTTTTTCAGTTTCTAGTTATCTGAGTGGATATTGAGAATTTTGCCTTTTCTTTAACAGAATAAAACTGAACGACTGTAGACGGTGCTGTGAATGGGACACTGCTACAGAGTGGAGAGAGACAGCTGCATCAGCGCTGAAGTAGCACATATTCATTTATTTTATTGAGTTTGAAAAAAAAAAACCTGATCCCGTATTTGATCCCTGATGGCTGTATTGCAGCCAAATAATGAGATTTAAATATAACTTACACATGAAAGCACAATGAGGGCAAAACAGAAGTACAGCACACGAAAGAAGTTTTAGTCATCTGGATGAATGAATGATGGTTAAAGCTGGGGTAGGCAGGATTTTTTTGCGGCATCATTTGGCAAAAATTCTCCAATAACCTCTTCTGAATATTGCAATATAAGTGATATGAGAAAAAAATAGACTTCTTGCCTCTGTTGTCAAGCATCAGAAAATGTATCCCATGATGGGACAGTTTAGCCAATCAGAGGTCTTTTCAGTGAGAGGGTGTCATTGTTATTTATTGGCTGTTTTACAAATACAAACGAGCCTGCACATCCCCTCACATGGTTAAAAAGCCTGATTCATCCAGCAGGAGAGTTGTTTTTCCAGCACTGGCAACAACTTTCTATTCTGCAAAGTAAAACAAAAACAGATTCTAAAAGAGAGTCTGACAATAAATGCAGTGACGCAAGTGTCAGTGAAGAGTTTCAGAGATGGAGAGAACTTCATGATTGCATCCGCCTAAGTTTGTGTTCCCAGTTTCATTTTCCTCCCCTGGACAGGTAAACTGCTGTCGTGTCAAAGAGCTTTGCATGCACACAGGTCTGAAAAGAAAACAGGTAAACGGTAAATCTCATAGAAATGCTGCTGTACAAAAACACTGGGATCACGACTGGAAAACTTAAATGATAGCAGGTCCATTCATCCTTGTTGAAGCAGCATCACTAGATTAGCGTTGCATGCCCTTTAGAAGCACATGTATATTACTGTGCTCATAAGAAGAAGTTTAGGACAGAGAGGGGAAAACTATAAGGGAAAGCTCAAATTCTTGCTTTTATTTTGTGTTTCCAGATTTTTGTCTACTGTAGCTTTAATTCTATTAGATTTGAATTTGTGTGTAAGCTTATGCATACAGTGTGTCCACATCCGCTGTAAAATATCCATTCACGTAGGCTCAAAAAGTCCAGGAACAGACACAGTGGAACAGAGTCTAGACCGTGAATAACTTTCCTCAAGAGCCCCCTCTAATGAGCATCAAGTTGTGAAAAGTTAACATGTCCATATGGTGTTTTTTGAAATGTTGAAAGACACATTATGAGTGAAATAAGCTGTAATGGTTGAGCGTTTACACCTTGAGACAGTAGCCATGACGGTCCTAAAAACACAGATTTCACAGAGTTTAATATGTAACAAACCAAAAAAAAAACCCAATCCTGTCAACTTAGAGAAGGGGGCTTTCAGTATCATTCTTCTTCTTCACAATCTGCTTCCAATCAGAACGTGTACAGCTGAGTTACTCTAATATTACAAACTGTCACCATCAAGTGGTGTTACAGTGTTTGAGCACAGTTGTAGGTGAGCTGGTGTGCTCGAGCTGCAGCTACTGTGGAGAGGTGGTTGGAGAAAGAGGCAGTCTCTTCATAGACCTGCACTTTCTATTGGAAACAACATGCGGAGTTACACTGAAACCATTTTATGACAGGAATTGATTATCTTAAAGGGAAAACAACTACATTTGATACACAAAGATGAGTCTTTAGGAGTTGAATCAATGACCAGAGAGTGGCTTTAAAGTCAGATTGGTTTTAATACAGCGTACTGCATGTGACAGCAGATACTTCTGACGAACACAATCAATACTGGGAAGTGAACCAGCAGCCAACTGAGATCAGTTAAAAGCACAGCAGAAAAGAGCACAGTGAAATGAACGGTAGATGGTGACAGAAGCTTGATGTAGTTTGTTGCAATAAAAGAAAAATCTCTTGTCTGTGGCAGAGCAGGTTTTTATAAATGTAAATGTTGCAAAGCAGCTGATATGATATCCATAAAATTACTTGGAATCTTAAGTTCTGTGAAATAAAAAAAGGAAACAGTGGAATTGAAAGGCTTGTACTGGAAAAAGTTGCAAGCATGATTTTCCCTTTTACCCCAATTTCCTGCAACCGCTCGACTCCACGTCAAAACAGCCACAGAGAATTAAAACTGAGAACCACAACTACTGGAAAGCAACTGTCACCAAAATATGACTGGCATGAAGAAAAAATGGACGATTCAAAACAGAGAAAAATAAGATGTTAGGTCTGCTACGTTTATTCTTTAGTGAGAGTTTGGATCGAGCTTTTAATGCCAATACAAGTGCCAGTGTTTCCCTTTTTCATTTTGGGCTTTGTTTTTCTTGTTCAATCTTATTTTTAGTGACAAAATCTTTACTAACTCTGTTCCCTCATTGGTCGGTCCTGTCAGGATGGTTTGCAAACGGTCAGCGGAGCAGATTTTGAAGTCAAAGTTCACCAAAGCTGAACTTTATTCACAGAGAAACAGATTTCTGTTTTAAATGCTGAAATGATCAAGATTTTGGTTTCATGCCCTTGTTTGCATTTACAAACAAGTGACTTTCATCAATTGCGTCTTTTCAGAAAAATAGCATTTCAAAAAACGTTAACTTTGCCTCTGGAAAAGTTGAAGACAAGTTTCTGAAAAGATGCATCTTCAAAAAGTAACGTGTGTTTTTCTGTTATTTTGTAGTTTGAGTAAAACTTTTAACGTGATTTCTTCTTGCTTTGAACGTTATTTACATGCGTTTGTGTGTCCTTGCCTGAACAGAGGGCTGTGGGCGCTGGCTCTGGTTCTTCCCCAGGCCAGAGCAGGGGGCACAGAGAGGTAGTCCATGCCCAGCGAGGGGGGCTCCCTCCTGGGTTGCTGGGTCTCTGGCAGCTGGCCTGGAGCCTGCTCCTGATCCACCTCCCTGGGAGACAACTGGAACGCAGAAAGTCCACCACTTCAGTGCGATGCTGCTACTTCCATAACATCATAGAAACACCACAACACTGATCTTGATCTTTACCTGCTCTAATGACGTCTTCCTGGTTTTCTGCGGGATGCTGAGCTCACAGCTGCTGGGCGGAGCTTGGGACTGAGGGCTGGACTCTCCTCCCTCCAGGTTGCAGCCCTGCAGCTCCTCCGAGTAGCTGCCTCTCCGCGAAGTACAAGGAGAGGCCAGCGGGGAGTTTCTACGCTTCTTACCACCGGGGGAAGTCGGCCTGGACGATGGCGAAAGCCCGAAATTGATGGCGGCCTCGTTGAGCTCCTCCTCCTCAACCAGCAGGGAGTCGCAGCTGGAGGCGGGGCTGAGCCAACCCCGGGAGGAGGGGCTGGAGGCGGGGCTGGGGCTGAGCGAGCCGGGGCATCTGTCCCGGTAAGAAAAGGGGTCCAGCAGGGGGAGGTAGAGGCGCTCCCTGTCCCACCCGCCGCTGCTGCTCATGTCCCAGTAGCTAGAGATGGTGGGCGCCGACTCGTCCTCAGGCGAGATGGTGGTGATCTGGATGCTGGGACACTCGACCACGCGAGACTCTGAAACCTGCAGCGAAGACGAAAGCAAGCAAAGGGATACTTTACTTCCTTAGCTGTGTCACAGAAAATAAAACATTTAACAAGTAATTTAAGACATTTGTCTGTCGTCATGTAAAAATCTGCTGCTTTTTATTGGAAACCTTTAAATTTTAACTGTCAAGTCACCATTATTGATATATTATTTATATTGCACATTTAAAACAGTACGCTTTGAGCCAAACTGCTTTCCAATAGAGAAAGAAAGTGTGACAAATTTACCTACCAAATTAAAATATTAAGGTTGAGATGCTACAATAATGTCGACACAAGCAATGAGAAGATAAAACTGAAGGCACACCAGATTAAAAATCCTAATGTTTAACTGCAAATAAAACATATCACAGGTTGCAGACATTCCACACTCATTTTAGTGGCTAAAACCTGACTCTTACTCTATGAACAAAATCTACCAAACTGAGCATTTAGCAGCTTTTATATTTTGTCAACATAATGTCGTATTTATGTGGCAATGCAAGTGTGAACTCTTGGTGCACACATGACACTGATTTTCACTTGGGTCACCCACTGGACAGCAGTCCTTTTCATGCAAAAAAATCCTCAGATGATTTTCACAACTCCTCCGAAGCATGCTCAATTCAGATCTTTCATGTTAATTTTTAATATTCAACCCACAACAGTACTGCTACATGTTTCAGCAGCGGTCTTGTAAACATTTCAAACCCAGTAAACAAGCAGCCGAACGTGCAAAAAAATTTAACAAACTGCCCAACAACAGCATAACACAACAAATAAAAGCAAACAATGTGTTCACCATGTGGATTATCAAAACCAAGCAGCTGCAAATGATGTGCGTTCATTGACTAAAACCACTGGTTGCCTGAAAACTGAAAAATCAACCTAGTGGTCCAAACACTTGAATGGGTGCGAGTTTGGAAAATGTTTAAAGTCGACATAACATTTAAAAACTGTGCGTTAATTAGCTGAGTTTGAGCAGAAATAAACACTTGTGTCATAACTGTGATAATGTGCATCATAATCTGAGGTTAGTGGTTTAAAACAAGCAAAAAGTGTCCTTAAAGCAGGGGAACATTATGCTTTGTCCACTAGGTTGCAGCAGAAACAAGTCAAAATGATAAATAGAACAGCAGTTATAGAGCAACATCAACATCATCTGAGGTCCTGTTTCTGTCCACCTGTTCAATCTAACACAATGATTTCCTCTCTTTTTGCTCTGTTTTTGGTCTCCACCTCTTGAGGGAAATATTTGGCTCATTAGCTGCTAAAGGCTTCACGATGCAGCTAGTTTCTAATTATATCTGTCCAGTGTGTGGTGCAGAGTAGTTTGTATGCAGTCGGATCAAGTTGGTTTTATTTAAATGGCCCAAAATAATATTGCCTTGAGGGCCTTTGCAAACTGTATACCATGTGGCAACCTCCGTCTGGATAAGGAAGTCCTCTCCAAGAAAACAGAATAAAGAAACCTCAGGAAAAGCTGTATAGAGGGTGGATCCCTCTTCCAAAACAGACAGATATGCAATAGATGTGTGTACGCAAAAGCATACATAGAGAATCAATATGACAAACATATGAATGTAACATACCAACCAACTTCCATACCGACAGAAGAGATGCCTGCTGTGCAGTGGTTGAAAACTACAAAACTGCAGCTAAACAAAGACCAGGTTTACATGGAGGTGACACGTCTCTATCGGTTTGCTTTGTACTTTGATGTAGAAATATCAATTATAGCTGTTTTTTTAAACAAAATTTTGATTTGCTTTCGTTCAAACTGCAGATTACAACAAACTTGTAAGCAGGTCGTCTCACCTGTACGGAGCGCGCCGGCAGACTCTCGTAGGTTCCACTAAACTCTCTGATTGGAGCCCTTCGAGGAGGCGGGGAATGCATCCCTGCCCTCTGATTGGACGAAGGAGGCGGGCTCGGGATGCTGATGGAGTGTCCTGCATGAGTGGCAGCCAGGTGGTTGTCTGTAACTGAAAATAAATAAATGTCAGTAAGGAAACCAGATCTGATTTAGAACATGACTTGGCAAACACACACGATGTTCCTGTTGGTGAAAGTTGGACTTCATAGCTAAAAAAAATGCTCATAACAAATGCGGCTAATGAAGAGTTTACAGCTTGTTAATTTTTCTAATACACACCTTTACTTCCACATGGCAACAATTTGTCATCTGGCTGCTTTCTAGCAGAAAATTGCATGTTCTTCCGCTTTGTACAAACATGATTTCTTTTTATATCACATGTTGTGGTTTTTGGGGGTCATGTGACCTCACATTAATCTTTTCTCTCAACCGCACAGTGACAGTTCTTTTACATCTGGCATGAGAAAGAGTCATTAGATGGCCATCAAAATATTGTAAACACAATTTGTGGCCAGTAAAGATTCATTTTTTATCATCAGCACGCCCTCTATCATTCGTTGCACATCAGTTTTCCTTGATTTACTGTAATTACTGCCATGTGGAAAATGCACACACTGGGACTTTTTTCTCAGTTGAATTCTTTGAAGTAAGTGCTGCTTTTTGTCACTTTCATGAAATGGAGAAGTTTGATATTTTGAGAAAATGTGAAGCGGCACCCAACAGTCGATTAGCTTAGCTTAGCATAAGGTCTAGAAACGGCTAGCCACACCTGCCGGTTTGACATGTGAGGTCACTTCAGGTCGCCTCCAATGCTCATTAATTACCATATTATCTCTCATCTATTTTGCATGAAAATCAGAGTCAAAAAAATAGCACATTGTAGGTTTATGCTAGCTGTTTACATCTGTTTCCAGTCTTTATGCTAAGCTAAGCTAACAGGCGGTGAATTGTAATTTTAACTGGCAGCTATCAGCAAGAAAACATATCAGTGTCTTTCCTACAACATCCAACTGTTCCTGTTCATTTTAAATTTGCTAGTGTGATTTTTTTTTCTCTGTCTTAGTCTTTATCTAGTCAATTCTTTTTAACACAAATAATAAATGGTAAATGCTAACTTCAATACTGTTTTACGAAATATCAACCCAGATGACCATATAAATAAAAATGTGAACAAAAGGATAACCCCAAAATCATCCAGTGAATTTAAAAGGCATGTGTTCTTTTTAAAAAATAAATCACCAAAATTAGAAGCTATGAAAAGAAATTGAATCATTGGATTTTCAACTTTCCAGTAACCCATGAAATACTCATGTGTGATGTATAATCTGTCAGAAAAAAATTTCCAAAACTGAGCTACAAAACGAGATATTACATCAAAATCCTTCCACTCTACATGTCTTATTCAAATAATTAATCGCCAAAAATAACCATTTTCAGTAACCAGATTCCGAAAAAAAAGGAAAAAGAAGAAGAAGAAAAAAAAGAAAATTCTGGATTACTGGCACACTCAAAAATTCACAACTGACTCAGCTGTGATCAAAAGTCATGTGACTAAAAGTTCAGTGACTTTTCAGCTGAACTGCAGCTAGTGTTTATATAGATGCACATGCAAGACAAGTATGGAGGCAAATTTAAAAAGCAAGTGGTAAAATATCTATAGCATGACGAAACTCCATTTTTTCCCTTAATATTTTTAACACTTGTGGGCACTTGAAAAATGGTGTACATGCTAATTCTAGTTGTTTTTTTTCCTCCATTTTTGTTAAATAAATTTTTAAAAAATTAACATTTTCTTTTTCTTTATATGATTTATGGCATCACAATTGTGTCACACTGCACAAGAAACATTTTTTATTTATATTTTTGAGTTCCCTATACTTCCAGACATGCTTGTACTGTTTTCATGGAGGTGTAGGACTTTAAATTGAAGTGAAAAACAAGCCCACAGTTAGTAAAAATGTGACAGCAGGAGCAAAAAAAAACACCCAGACACTGCTCCAGATTCAAAGGGTTAAAGCAGGATTTGGTTTTATAATCAGTAATCACTCCTGGCAAGGATTTATTAAACACCCTCCTACACTTTTAACTCTGCTTTTGAACCATTTCAGTACATTTTTGTGTGTTTTATAGTCATAAATTCTGCAGTAAATGGTGAAATGGAAATTCTAACCAAATCCTGGAGTTTGCTTTTGGCTCATTTATCCAAACTAAGAACCACACACCCGTTTCTGCTGCTAGCCTTGACAGTTAACATAATAATTGTTTTGTTTTTTTTTCACGAGCTCTACAAAACTTTCGCCAAACAGCCACCCGGGCGAGGACACAACCCCTCAAGGCCGCAGCCCTCATCCCAACATTTCCCCAGCACGGTTCGGTCGGGCCTCGACGCGGAGCCAAACAGTAGTTACTCTGTAATGAACGAGGCTCCAGCCGTTGCTCTGCAGTGGCGGCGGGCCATGCAGGCAATTTTTTTTGGGCAACACACAACAGCAACTGCCAACAAATTAAGACTTTGGGGTGAAAAAAAATCTCTTCAAATGTTTCCTGGCAACAAAAAATATTTCCAAGTGATTAAAGCTGCAGTGCTGAGGCAACTCTTCTGCTGGTGGGTGTTTTTTTTTTTTTTTGTTCACATGAAACGGTGATTTAGATGTTTGTGTGCAGACCAGCAGAGAGGTTTATGAGCCACGAAAACTTACCTAACACTTAATGACCACAAAAAAGCTGATCTTATGTCTAAAAGATCTAATATACTTTCATGTGTAAGTCAGTGTCCTGACCTGAACCCCAAAAAATGCAACGTTTACACCTAAACTGTAGGTCAGGGCCCCTATGAGTGAGAAAGGAAAGCAGAAAAGGCGACAAAATTAGCAGACGTTTTGCTATTGCTACTTGTTTTTTCCTCTTAAATACATTGCATGTGCCCTATAGCTATTTGTCAACGTGTATATATATTGCATACAGATGAGCAGAAAACTGTATTATTGCCTGAAGTCATTGAAGGCAATCAGTTGTTTTCCGAAGCCTAATCCTCAGATCTAACATCCTAAAATATTTCATCCTGCCCTGAGATGAAGCTTTCGCAACGAGCCATCGTCATCCAGAGATGTTTAACGCAATTAGAAACCAGAATAAACATAATCAAGTCACAAAATTGCGTTCGTTTTTTTAATGTTTTTTCCACTCTTTGTTCCTTTTGTTATCTTGCAAATTAACAGATCATTTTAATTTCCAACTAAATTTACAAGATAGCTACTAAACACAGCTGCATTCTCCTGGAAATCCTGACCTACTTAGCACACTGTCTCAAAGTACCTATATTTTTGTTTTTTTTTTTACTAATATGAAAAGCATCAAAAGACGTGATCAGTTTGCTGCTTGCTTAGGTAAAGCCTCATCTGCACTCCAAATATACTTCACTACTTAATCTTGTATCCTGACATGAACCTCACGCAAGGAATGATAATTAGATCTTCCCAACCTGGTTTCAGCAGTTGAAATATAAACGTGCAGCCTCATGAGATAATCATCGAAGGCATAAATACACATTTCTGCTACACAAAGCAATGTTTACTTTTCAGATTCTCCTCAAATAGTTCCTGTTTTCCCTCAAAATAGTTCAAATTAATAGTGAATTTTCCCTCAATGGGTGTTTTTTTTATCATCTGTGATATAAAAATGCAATAAATTAGAAATTATGGTTAAGCAAGTAAAAAAAAAGACATATTTCTGCTACACAAAACTATCGTTATTTCTTTTCACTTTTCTTTGTTTCTCAAACTTAATAGGGAAGTTAGCACATTCAGTTCTCCTCTTAAAACTGTTTATGATACAAATCATTCAGATGTATGAGTCAGTTTTATGGGAAGTCTCATATAAAGTCTAACAGACCAAAAATACTTGTGATTGTGGGGAGTATAATGACTAACAAAATGTGATTTTTACATCAGTGGCTCCCAAATTGGGGTCAGCGTCCACTCAAGAGGTCACAAAACAGATCCAAGCGGTCATTATATGAGCATGAAAGTACTTTTCCCACACCGAATTGTGTTTCCTTTATCAGAATGTTCTCTATAAACACTAGATAACACTTTACTGTGAAACATCTGTAGTAAATCTAATTCATCTTTCTGCTTTTGTGAAGGCAGTTGTTGGATTCAATTATCATGAATTTGCACTTTGTCCCTTTAAACTGGCATCGTTCACATAATTTCACTTTAATTTCTGATTTCAGAAGTGAACATTGGGTTTACTGCTTACACAGGAGTGTGCAGCACGTCATGGCGTCCACGTTTCTTCAAATTTTTCTGCTGCAACTCAACTACTGTCTTCTTCAGGCAGGGTTACAGAGAAATGGAAAGAGCTGTACGTCTAATGGCAAAATCACGTTGTACATTTTACGCTTGTGTAAAGTGAACGATTGAGTTGGAGAAATTGGAAACTTCAAGTTGACTTTCTTTCAAATTAAGTCGCAGCATCTGAGAGGAACCAAATCATTAAAGTACATCTAGCTTCAAAACAGTGGCATCGAAATATTTTAAAACTTAATTAGCGTCAACTATCGTTAATAGAATATGCCACCACGGTTTTCATAAATGCACCTGCAAATACCATTTTTTGGTTGCACATATTTGCACATTTCTTACTGTACTTTTAAAAAACGTCTTCATGTGCGAATGCAGACAAAATTCCTGATTAATTTCACTGTACACTTTGCAATAACAATAAATTAAGTCTATTCTATAAACTTCATTCAATTGCGTGTTACTACATGAAGCAATCTGTCAACGTTGGTCCAACAATTCCATTTTTTTCAGAGTTTAACACAAACACTGACCTCATAAAACAGGCGGCAGTCATGACACGACATTAAATTTAGATTTTTAAAATCAGTTTCAGAGTGTGATTCATGGCGGTTGCCGTAAATAGAATTCATTTAGAAAGGAACGCAGTGTCGACTGCACCACAACAACCTTTGGATTTCTTGTTAAATGACTCCAACTACACTTTAACCAGCTAAACATGGGCTACAGATTGTACCTTTGGGAAAAATAAATCACTGTTTTTCAGCAGATATCTTGAGAAATCGCTCTATTTGGCCTCGTCGAGCATCTCAGACTAACTTTTTAGTTGGATCTGGGTGACAAGTCAAAACTTCTTGTATTCAGAAGCCAAAAAAGTTGTGTTACACTGACATGCTACATGACTACATGTATGGAAATCCAGGAGCGATGCAAAGGTCAGCCCGTGTAAGAGTTTGCCTGCTGAAATGTAAAACAACTAACAAATAAACAGAACAACTTATCACCCAAAGTGAAGAAATGCTCTGTTGTTTCTCCTGCAGTTCACTTTCATGCCTTGGGTGTGGTGATACAACTGTATGCCAGTGTGGGCGGGAAACAAATGAGTGCATGTGAGGATGTGAGGTGTGCATGTGTGAGAGAGTGGAGGTAAAAAAAAAAAAAAAATGAGGGAGATGAAGGGGTGAGTGAAACAGGGAGGGAGGGAGGTGTGTATGTGGTGCGTGTTCAGTACACAGAGGTTGAGGTTCCTCCCCAGATGGCAGCTGTTAACTTCACTCACACGCACAGCTGATTGGAAACACATTGAGTCTGGGGCTGCACGCACACATGCACAAACACACAAATGCACTCGGGATACAGCGAGATATGCACGCAAACGCAAAACAAACACACAAGTGAAAAATATGCAGAAGCAGGCACGCACACTTCACATAACATGAAGGCCCTCCATCACCACAGAGACGCACGCATTCCCATGCATTAAAACCTATATCGTCATGTTTAATTTAACACTTTCATCCACTCAAAGAAGGAGTCTAACCCAGGCTGCTGGAATCCAGGTGCAGCAGGGCGCCCTCGCTTTCCTCCCTGGCCACGGAGCTCTCCGGCTCGGTTGTGCGCACCGGGGACGGCCCCTGGCTCTGGCGCGGCGGCGGATCCTCCTCAAACACCAGCTTGAACTCGAACTCGCCCTCCTCCCAGCCCGAGCCCGGCGCGGCCCCCATCGCCCTCCGGCAGGATACAGGGACGCTGATACAATCTTATCTCCCCTGCCTCGGACACGGCGACTTTTAATGTCCTTGATGCGCAAAAAAAAAGAGGAGAAACTTTCACGAAGATATTCCCAAAAACTTCCTCCTATGCGTGCGTGTCATTGCGCAAATATTCCTCATCTTGGAAAGGCTTTGCTCCGGCAACTTTTCCACTGCTTCTTGCTCGGGGGTTTTTGCAAGTTTCTCAGACTTGATGCCTTTGAAATTCGCTCTGGAGAATTCACTTCTTCTTCTTCTTCTTCTTCTTCCCCCAAACACAGTCAGCTCTTTCATTCTCGCTCCATCGCCATCCCTGTAGCTTCTTCTTCCCCGTTTAAGACGCACAGAGAGCGAGAGAGAGAAAGGGGTGAAAAAAAAGTTTATCAAATATTTTTGTCGTCCTTTACCCTTAATTGCCTTTGGGTGGGTTTCCCAGCTCCAGTTGGTCCGTTACTCCTTCCCCATAGGGCCTCATGGGTGTCAGTCATGAATCCCCCCTGCCCAACCTCCATCCTCTCCTCCCCCCTTCCTCACTCACTCTGGAGAGGGTTTTTTTTTTCCTTCTCTTTTTACTTTAATACCCTGCAAATGTGGCTTTTCTCATCTTATTTTGCACCGTTTGGACAACATTTTACTGCTGTTTTCCTACTAAAATTAGCCTAAAAAGTGATTCCAGCATCAGTAACTTTCCACACAGTTGAACCCAAATAATGCGATTATTATTCCAATCATGAGCAGGACACATGGCAAGCAGCTCACTGTCTCCAAAACCTGCCATTGTGGGCCGGCTGCTCGGCCACCAGGGCTGTGATGTTAACTGTCAGTTAGTGAACATAAGAGGGCCTATTTCCTGTGGCGATGAACACGACAGCTACCCCCCCTTTTTTGGCTCTTCCCTCTCCTCCCCCTTTTTTCTTCTTCTTCTTCAGTTTTATTCCCCCCCCAACAAATCGTCCCTCCTTCTGGCCGAACCTCCCCTCCCTCCTCTTCCTCTCCACCAAAGATCTGTTTCTCATTATCCTCTGTAGTCTGCTCTCTGTCTGAGTCAGGAGACGAAAAACTTAAATAAACACACTCTCTCTGGCTCAGTCCAGCTCCTTATTCCTCCTCCTTCCCCCCCCTCCGATCCGTCTCTCTCCTCTGTCCTCCTTCTTCGCCCTCCTCCGGTTCTCACAATCATTAGGCGTATGTTATACTGGCGTGGAGCTGGGGGTTTGTTTCACTCTCCCTGTCATCCTCTTGGGGTTGTGTGGGCAGGCCTTGGATCCTGGACTGATCTCAAGATGTTGCAGTGTGGTCGGGGAGAGGAAAAAGTGCTACCAGCGAGGCAAGAATTTCTAAAGGCCCTCAGTAAGACTTGATAAACTCCCCCACTGTCACTAAATCCCAAAATGGCACTTAAACATGATCGAGAAAATTATTGTATCATGGCGATAAAAAAGCCATTCAAGAGTATGTCCAGACTAAAAGGGTACTTCAAAAAGGTTGAGGCGTCCCCTAGAAACAAGGGGCTTAACTCCCATTTTGGAGCATAACTTGATACTACAAAGGCTTATGTCACTTTCCACAAAAACTCAAATGTTTGTCGTCATTTCTTTGCAGTGGACGCCCTTTGAAAATCAGTAGGTCAGAGAGAAACCAAACAATCCTCAACAGACACCAGTGTCGAGCTCTGCCATCTTTTTTTGTCCAGCTTCACTCTCATCTGCTGATTTTGTCAACTTCCAAGAAAATGATGACAAACACAAGAATTTTGAAAGGCCCTTGGTAAGACTTGGTAAACGCCTTCTTCTTCACCATGACAAAATGGCACAGGAAAATTGTTATATCATAGCAATAAAAAAAAATCCAAAGTCGTTCATTGTATGTCCAGACTACAAGGGTACTTCAAACAGTTCGTGGCTTCACCCAGAAACAAGGAGTGTAACTGTATACTATGAAGGCTTCTGTCACTTTCCACAAAAACTCAAATGTTTGTCGTCATTTCTTTGCAGATGACGCCCTTTGAAAATCCGTCAGAAAAACCAAAAAAACAATGGAAAAGAAAGAGTGTCCAACACATAACGGAAACAGTGGACATCAGTGTCCAGGTCTGGCATCTTTCTTGTCCATTTTTTGGTTTCCCTCTGACATACTGATGTTCAAAGGGCATCATCTGCAAAGAAATGACAACAAACATTCCCGTCCTTGTGGACAGTGCTGTAGGGTTTTAGAGTATACAGCTGTGCACCAAAATGGGAGTTGGAGCAATAGTTTATCAAATCTTACTGAGGGCCTTTAGAAATTCTTGCGTTTGCCATCATTTCTTTGCAGGTGGCACCATTTGAAAATTAGTAGGTGAGAGGGAAAACACAGTTTGAAAAAGAAGTAAGCCAAAGCTGTGATCAAGTACCTGCATAAAGAGGAAATGTAAAGAAGTTTTGCTGATTTTAAGTGGGGACGGAAGAGCACCTAAGACACAAAATAACGGACACGGACGATCAAGCGCTGATTTAAAAAGGGTGTCATCTGCAAAGAAATGATGACAAACACAAGGATTTCTAAAAGCCCTTAGTAAGACTTGATAAACTGTTGGTCCTCCACCATCACTGAATCCCAACATGACATTCGAACATTAAAAGGAAAAATGCTATATGGTAGCGATGAAAAAGTCCAAAGAGAGGCTTGTGATGGCTGATTCAACCATTTAAGTGTATGTTCAATCTACAAGGATACTTCAAAAAGTTCTCACCCAGGAACAAGGGGCATAACTCCCATTTTGGGGCATACCTGTAAACTATACAGTCTTATGTAACTGTTCACAAAAACTTAAATGTTTGAAGCAATCAAAGAATAAAGTGGCTTTGAAATGTTGCCCCATGCACCTTGCTTACCCGACCTGCGCCATCCAACTTCTGTTGCCCAAACTGAAACCACCATTTTCAGAGTGATGATGAGGTGATGCATGCTGTTGAGGAGAATCTGGTGACTCAAGATGTGACCTTCTTCCACGAAGCTATAGCAAAGTTTAAACATCAGTGAACCAAGGGCATTGAAATTAAAGGAGACTATGTTGGAAAACAATGCAAGAACAGTCTTTTCTTGATGAGGCCTAGAGCTTTTTTGAGGCTCCTCGTATCATGGATTTTTAGCTAAAATGTACTGCTATGGGCATTTTCTGAGCTTGCTTACTTGTTTGCTCAGGTTTAGTCTAGTCTTGCATTGCTGGGCTAATCTGGACAGCACTGTGTCAACATTACATGACAGATTTACCAAGCAAAATTTGATGTGATGAGCTTTAAAGACCAGAGAGGAGCGTCTATACGCACCTTCAGCCACGTGTTGAAGCTATTTCTTGATAAATAGCGGTTTGCTTATCTGGCCAACACTTTCACACAACATCTCCATCCACAGAGCAGCTTTTCAGGTACACAACCTAACACATTTTATTTTGGACTGTGTAGGAAAGACGGCAACGTTGCTGTGAAAACAAGCTACTGTGCTCAGTCACAAATTGTTGTTTTTACACTTTTATCTGCATACAGATTAAACAGAGGCGATATAATGTGGTAATTTGGACGCAGCCTGACCAGCTTAAGTGGGTTTTCAAGAACGATGATCAACTCTTTTGATATGAAGAATATTATTTAAATGCTGCTCAGCCTGGCTAAGCGAAGATTTAACAACACCAACCTCTTTAAACCAGGGATGGAGCCAATGGTGGCCATCTTAGACTAGAGTCTAGCTACCCAACACAATGAAAAGCACTGTGTCAGCATTGAAGAATGGTCTGGCAACACCTCATTATCATTCTGCTATGGGGGAAAAAAGTTCTTTATTGTTTGTGTGTGTGCACATTTTATGTTATTTTAATTTTATTTTATTTTTTTAACAATCCCAATTGTCTTGGGCAGAGCTACTCAGCTAGGGTTTTTTAGTTCTTAAAACGTACTAAGACATTTCTGCATATGTTTTCAGTGGGAGGTTTTCTTTTACCCCCCAGAATGTTCTTTTTAAAGGCAGGATAAAGTCCTCTAAGGTCCTCTAAGGACTTTATCATTCATATGTACTTGCAAAATTGTGTTCTGGAAACTGTTTTGGTAGAATATTTGCATGCAGAGAGCTGAGCACTGTCATTAAAATGATTAGTTCAAAAGAATTCATAAATCATAGGCTTGACAGAAATGGCCATCTTATACATGAAGTCTACATTATGTGCGTCAGGCTAGGAGGCTATTAGAATCATCATCAGAAATATGCAGTCAAAGGTTCTGAAATGGCTTTGGTTCACAGAAATGTTGATTTTAAGTTGTAAATAGGAAGTTAACAGCACTCTTATGTTAGTCCAATGTTTTGTCCACCCATCCAATCACCCCAACCTCCTCCCTGGTTACTTTGGCCACTGTTTTTTATGAAAGGTCAGTCCTTAAATTTACTCATTACTACAGTCTAAAGCTGAAGCATTTCCTCAGTGATGTGCAACACAGTTCTTTACAGCGTTACGGTTTTATTGAACCAGTTCGATAAAAACACAGTTCACTGAATCGTTCAGTGGCCGACCAGCACTCTGACTCGGTGGTCCGACTCATGGAACAGAAATATGACTGAGCAGCATGTTTCCTTTTGCTCTCTGGCTTCCTTAACTATAAGTGTTGTCACTTTAACAATTAAACTCCATTTTTAATGGTAAGTGTTTATAATTACGGGTATTTTGAAAGTTTCCTCGCTGAATAATCAAGATAAAATCTGTTTTTAATGACTTTTAAGTCTTTTTAATTGACCTACAGTTCGGTCTGATTCCAGTCTGAGCTGTTGACTGTCACTTATGGCTGACATTTATTGTGTAGTACATTCAGCAAAAAATATTACTTTTTATTGACGTGTATTTCTGTTTCTGTCAATCAAGAACCTGTCTGTTAAGCAGGCATGCAGCAATTAGCAGCACGTTTTTTTTGTCAGTGTGACAAAACTGACATATGCAACAACAACATCTGTATTATGGGATCATTTATTCTCACAGTTTGAGGCAACGTTGTTTTGGAGAAGTTGATGTCTCCTTAGTCATGCTAAAATTGAAGGCTGCAAGGGATTTATTTATCCACTGTGGTCATCATTTCAAGTTTTGGAGTGTAAAAAACAGCAGCTGTCGCCAGTAGTGGAGAGAAAAAGATGCAGTTTCAGATTCAGTTGCATAAGTGATGAAGTGAGCTAAGTTTCCATCATTACATATTCTGAATTACAATCATTTGGTTTTCCAAAGTGACAAAAAGGTCTATTTTAGTTCCTAAAATCCTCCTGATGTAGCAAAATTAACAAATAAAAATGTCTTTTTTTAACATTCAGGTACTGTGTGCTTACACATTTTCTGCAGTTCAAACACAGGACGTCTCAAGAAATGGAAAGTTTTCAGCAATTGTGAAACTGTAAAGTTGAATGACTAATAAATCGTTAATGGACTGCTGCAGTGTGATGAATGAGTGCAACACATAGGAGGAACTGCTGAGTGTCAAGTTTATGGGAAGAGAAGAAATGTGGGTGTGTTGCCCTCGTGTGGCCCAAGCCAGAACGGTTTCACTTCAGCTTTGCCAAGACGTCAACTCTGCTTTTGGAGGCTGAGAACGAAGATTCTGACACAGATTACATTCGCTCAGTTATTTACACTCACACATTACAAGAGACATAGAAACGTTATTTAAATCTAATTCATTTATCTTTCAATTAAGTGTGAATACATCCTTAATCAAACACTTGGTGGCTTTAAGTGGTGTTGAGGCCTTCTGGGATCTTGAAACGGAAACACAACAGTACAGTCAGGCTACTTATCAATACGCTGCAGTCAAATCAACATTGCGCAGACCTGTATGTACACATTTGTCTTTCAAATAACCACTTACACAGAGATTGCTTCAAAAGAAATCTTTTCTTTTGTTGGTATAACTATAGCTGAACAGATCTTCAGTAGTGCCAGCTGAGAGGCAGATATGAACAACATTAACAGAAACATGACAAAGTTGTGCTTTCAGCCGCTGCATTTATGCAGTTATGACCCATTACATTTTTCATTAATTGTGCAAAAACCAAATGGAAGTCAGGTTAGTCATGAAGATACCCTCGTTCATAATTCCTCTGTAATAGATTTTTTTGTTAAGGTTTCTCAAAGCTCAGTAATAAAAGTTCAGATTGTTTGTGCCGACGTCAGACTCTTGTCGGTTGTTCTTGACCTAAATCTAAGTTAAATAACATTTCTCCAGCAGCAAAAGTATATTTGCAAATCCAATAGCATCCGCCATCTGTAACAACTATTACAGAATAGAACCAAAGTGTTTACATGGAGGATCCTTGGAGTGAGCCAGTAAAGGTACTGATGAAATAGTATGTTTCTATCTAACTTTGGAACTTTAGTCAAAAAATTAATTCAGGAAATTACAGTTTAGCTCCAAACCTTTTTCACGCTTTCCAATAAGGAAAACTTTGGGAAGAAGACGGTTAGATAGCCTTTATTATATGATTAATGTCTTGTGATGGGAATAATTTTAGGCAAACTAATCCCTCCACTTTTATGTGACAGCTGGAGTACCTGGGTAACAACTCATTGTTCTGCCATGGCACCTACAATACCCACAATGCAACTTCACCACCAATAGTTTCATCCATTTAAAGGCCTCCTCTGGGGAAAAGCAAGTTTTTTACCATGTTGTCATGTCCATGTGGTGTTTTTTATATACGCTGGAAGACAAATTATGAGCAAAATACCAGCACAGCTGAACATTTCCACCTTGAACCTGCAGTGTTCTGATCACAGTTTCTAAAGCAGGATTCAGACTTTCAGAGTTTTATATGTAACAAACTCTAAAATAGTTCAATCCTTTTAACTTGCAGGGTGGGGCTTCCTGTATCATTAGTCTTCTTCAGAATTAGGAAATATGGCTGAATCACTCTAATATGACAGGATGCTGCTGTGTAGAATAGTGTAGCAGTGTTTGAGCAGAGTTGTAGGTGAGCTGGTGTGCTTGAGATGCAGCAAAAGGCAGAGTGTTGGGTGGAGAAAGAATGAATGATTTCGTAGAGATCTAAAGGAAGCAATAGTGTAGAGTTACATCTGAGCCAAAAAAAACAAAGGAATCGAGTAATTTTGAAACACAGAGGTGACTTTTTAAGGGTTTAGTCAAAGACCAAAGAGGGAGTTTAACACGGCTGTATTGCAAAAAGGTAAGAGAACTTTATTGTCTTCATCTTCCCCATTCCAGTGGCTCAGTGGTTTACAGATAATTTTCAGATAACGCTGTTTACTCATCTCCGGTGCAGAAGTGAAACTGCACAAAGGGGAGAAATGGCGTCATTTAACAAGGACGTGCACGTTCGTCAAAGAACACCTGAAAAGATAAGGGCTGAGGAATCGTGCTTGTTCAGTTCTACGCGGAAACCAACATTCCTGACGGTGAAGGAGACTTGTACAAACTGGTGTGCTTTACATGTGTGTGTGCGTGTTTCATATATGCGTGTTTGCGCTTGTGTGATCAGCATCTATGACACAGGCAGCTTGTGCAAGAATTTGAATCACCTATAACTCCTCTGTTCCTTTTTTATTACACAACACTTGACTCAGAGTGAAAGAAAAAAAAAAAAAAAAAAAAAGGTGCCCGAGGACACAAAAATTTGCATTTTGCCATGTGAAGCTAGCATGTGATTTCATGAAGAATGCATGTTTGTTTATGCGGAGGACTCAGTGTATACAGACTTATAGTGCTGATACTTGGGAAAACGGCACAGAATGTTCATACATGGAGATGAAATACAACATTTGTGACAGAGTGAGAGAGAGTGATAGTTTACAGAAGGACACACCCCACTGCCTGCCTCCCACCGACTGCAGCATGTTAGAGCCTGTGAGACAGGACATGGTTCAGTTTATTATGGTCTGAGCTGACAGAGACACTGTCAGAGCTGGACAGCAGTGGGAGATTTGAATCCGACACTTCATTTAGAGAGACATCACATCCCAGAAAGGTCAGTCACTGCTTCACGGCGCCTCCATGTTAAACTTCTTATTAACATTTTGCTTCAGTCTTTCCCTTTTCTCACTAATGTTCCATCTTACAATAATAATTTACTCTTCTTGACTTGATTATTTACATGAAGCAGATTTATTACAAACCCATGACTCATTATTTTAAAACTTCTAGACTAAGATTATCCATCAACGTTTACTGGAAAACAGAGCTTCTGACGGGAATTTGCAGTGTTAGAAAGATGTCTCAGGTTTTGTTTTGTAGATTTTGTACCCAAATAAATGTTTGAAATTGACTTTAAAGCATATTTTTTTGCTCTTTTTTTTGTTTCTCCGACCACTCCTTTCTTGAATTTGTCATTTTAACATAAATTGCCTAATATTTTTCCACTTTACTCCATTCTATGTCATATATTCTTTGCAGGATAAGATTTTGTGTTTTTACAAAAACATATGTGGTTGCTAATTACACCTCATTGTAACAGTTTCCTGACAAAAGCTCTTTTACCTGACAGAATTAATGTTTTTGCTCAGACTGTGCTTTCTGCTGCATGTCTTACTCGTGATGTAAGTCTGGCTCTGATTCATTTTGTTTACCCGCTCGCTCTTGTTTAAAGCCATCAGGGGAAAATAAACAGATGGTTTTAGTGGGACCAGAGCAGGAAAATTAGGACTTAATCAGGAAATAACTACTTGAAGTCTCGTTCTCATCCTTATGTCATGTGCTGGCCACTTTCTGAACCAATTACCTCCTCGCTCCGTCACTCACATTGAATTTTTATGTCGTGGGCACCGTGGATGCAACTTAAAGGTCGACCTCCTGCACCACCAGTTTCCATGTGAAAGGAAAAAAACTCCAAGAAAGGATTTAAATGAGAACAAAAAAAATATAAGTGAATCAAATGCTGTGTCGCAATTCTGGAAGTCTTTGATGCAGAGCTGCCATCGGTTGACGTGTTTTAGCTTGCTGCCTCTGAGCTGCACTGTTGGCTACAGGGTCTGATGTAAATACTTTAGCGGCTGCGTCAGGATGGCAGGCATCCTCCAGTTCTGAGAAAAAGAAAAAAAAACTCTATTAGTGAACTAATATTCTGTCTTTGCTTGTTTGTGCACTTTCCTCGCCCAGAACATCACCATCTTTGACAATCAAGCCCACAAACTGCTATTAAAGTCAATAGAGCATCAGACGAAATAACCAAATCATCACAACACATCGAGTTCCTGTATTTTCTGACCCTTTTTTCCTCTTTCATCAGCTATTTTCGTCATTCACAGTTAGAAACCATTTCCTTGAAAAGGAAATTGTATTTTCGACTATGACGAGTGGTGCAATCAACACAGATGCCTATCTGTCAAGAAGTTTAAAAAAAACAAGAAAAAAATACTTTTTGAATCTGTGGTTTGTGCAGTTTACCAAGCAGAAACTGATTTGATGAGCTTTAAAGACCAGGAAGGAACTTCTATGGGGACCTTTTGCCACGTGTTGAAGCTATTTCTTGATAAATAGCGGTTTATTTATCTGTCCAACACTTTGATGCAACATCTCCATCCACAGAGCAGGTTTCCAGGTACACATCCTAACACATTTTATTTTGGACTGTGTAGGAAACAAGCTACTGTGCTCAGCTACACTCAGCTCACTAAGAAATAGATTCAATGCGTAAAGTTACAAACTGTTGTTTATACACTTTTGTCTGCATATAGATTCAACAGAGGAGATATAATGTGTTAATTAATGTACTTCAGAGGTCTTCTTTGGTGTGTTTTTCTCACTTTGGACGCAGCCTGTCCAGCTTAACACACAGACTTTAGAGTGATATCAATCCTCTTATCGCGACCTTGTAAAATTAAAAATAGAAAGAACGCAAACAAGTTCAAAAACAATGATCAGCTCTTTTGGTATTAAGGATTTAGATGCTGCTCAGCCTGGCTAAGCTAAGATTTAACAACACTAACCTCTTTAAACCAGGGGTGGAGCCAATGGTGGCCATCTTAGACTAGAGTCTAGCTACCCAACACAATGAAAAGTAAAGAACGACATAAGTACGCACAGAACTGGAGTTACATCCTAATGTGATTTAAAATGTAAAACAGTTAACAGTTAAAAAATAGTTACTTGGAACAACTGTTAGGTAGTTATGGCTGCATTAGTGGAATAATATAACAATATATCTACACTTTATACTCTGCATTAGTGCACTTCTGGTTGGATGCTAACTGCATTTCACACTTATACATGTGCGATGACAATAAAGTTTAATCTAATCAAATGATAATGAGGCGCAGTCAGATCATTCTGAAGCACTGAACGGTCTGATTGCACCTTATCATGATTCTGCTGAAGGGGATAAACTGTTCTGACTTGTTTGGTATTTCTTTTAACCAATCATCTTGGGTGGAGCTAAGCCCAGGATGCAGCAATGGTGTCCCACTGAAAATAGTGCTGGCTGAATTGTTTTGTTGGAAAATGTACATGCAGGGACGCGAGAGCTGCTGTTAAAACGGTTCATTCACAACCCCTACAAACTAGCGTGGATGCCTTACTGCTCAGTACAGCTCCTCTGCAAACCTTGAAAGGGGAGGAGAAAGAGAGATAAAATGCGCGGCAAATGGCAGGTTTATACACGCAATCTACAGCCAGTGAGTCAGAATGTGTCTGCAGTAGCAAATGATGGAAGAAAGTTTCCAAGAAGATTTACTATTTTGGCAATTTAAGCCTGGCCACTCCTATTAAAAAGTATCTGGCCTCGGCACTGCCTTACACGCCACTGTAGCTTCAATATAATGGGCCCACTCTGAATATTATAATTTGATAGTCTCACAATGCTAACATTTAATTGTAAACCATTTTAAGATACAAGTACTGCAGAAACAATGATCTCCTGCTTTGTAATAAGACACAAACAGCAGTTTCCTCTCTCATCTGTCATCTATGAGGGCACATACCTGGTTTGCACAACCTGTGGGTTTCACAGTATTTTCACTTTACCATCGATTGAACAAAATGCCTCCGAGCTTTCAGTCTTTTTCACTTTAAAGGGATGAACGGGTTAAAGTGGGTTGTCAAAACACAGAGCTCTACTGAACTCATTATAGATAACGAGCTAGTGAATGAGAGCAAAGGTGAGGTTTCTGTTTCAGGTTCTAACTTTGTCTCCCGGCTTCAGGTTCATAAACTTCTTCAAGGATGAGCAACTTCACTCGCTCCCTGCTGACTGCCCCCCTCCCCATCAACGAGACGAACGTCGAGGACGACAGCGTCGAGGACGACAGCGTTGTGAGCAATGACTTCTCCACCACGTTGGGCGCCCTCATCCTCGGCCTGGTCTTCCTCCTGGGCGTCCCCGGCAACCTCTTCATCGTCTGGAGCATCCTGGCGCGCATCCGGCGACGCTCGGTCACCACGCTCCTCATCCTCAATCTGGCGTGCGCCGACGGCTTCCTCATGGCCCTCACCATCTTCTTCATCATCTACCTGGCCAAGCAGACGTGGATCTTCGGCAACCCCATGTGCAAGACCCTGTTCTACTTGTGCAACGCCAACATGTACGCCTCCATCTTCCTCATCACCCTGATGAGCGTGCACAGGCTGGTGTCCGTGGTGTTTCCGCGGAAACTGTCCTACATGATCAGCAGGAAGGTGGTGACGAGGGTCATCGTGGGCATGTGGGTGCTGGTGATGGTCATTGCTATCCCTTCGCTGGTGTTTCGAGATGTGAGAGAAGACAGCGACGAGAAGAACAGAACCAGACACGTGTGTGCGCCCAATCACACTGAGGCCCGACATGTAAGTAAACCAGGACTGATCATGTTTATTATCTGCTACTGAGCTGAATATTTTCAGGATTGTTCCTTTAAAAGAGATTTGAACCTCTGAGAGTCCATGACAGCTGGGCAGCTTCATCTGCTGCTGATGATCATGTGTTACTATCAAAAGCTCCAGAACAGTTAGAATCAACGCCTTGTAGCTGTATGCTTCCACCAACCAGCCCAGATGCATCTTACATCCATATTTACCCAAGACAGAATACAAAAATTTAAGTTTCGAAACAGTTTTAACTGTCATTTTTTTTCAAGAAGTACTGTCATTTTAAAGATTTTCACGTTTTTGTTCAAATACAGACAATAACTAGTAAAATCACAGGATAAATATTATTAATTTACACGTGAACTGTAAAAAAATTACAAATAATAAAAAATGCCAAAAGTTGAAATATTGTCCTCTTGAAAAAATCTGTCTAAATGTATAAACATCTATTGATTCTCCTACAATGTTTCCCCATTGAATTTTTATTTTTATCTTTTTTTAAAGGGTTTAAAGTCAGGGAAGATATCACTGTTTTACAGATATTTACTGTGCATATTAAGGATTTTAAAATAACTCTGTCTGGTAATTAGTTTTTTACATTTTTCCATAAAATCTCACTATTTTTTTTCACTGTATTTAAATCTTTGACAAAAAAAAGACGTAAATGCTACATTCATTTTTAACTGCCTCAATCTCCTTTTTTTTTTTTTTTTTTTTTAACTGTAATTACTTTTAATGTTTGAACATTAAATGTATGTATGTATTGCCCGTTTTAAAAAATCTCCAAAAGACCTTTTAAGAATTTTACATGCAGTATGATAAAGAAAAACTGTAAACCCTTCATTTGAGAATCAGAAGAAATTGTAGCGTTTTTTTGTTTTTAACTACTTTTACTTTAGAAATTAATTAAACAGCAACCAGCCAATCATTTCAGCCCTGCTCTGCCTTGTTTTGGCACATCAGTTTATGTCCACAGAGACTACAGATATGATTTTTTATCCTCCCGTGTGCAGGTGAGGTTCCAGTACGCCTTCGAGACAGTGGCCGGGTTCATTCTTCCCTACGCCATCATCATAACCAGCTACGTTCTCATCCTGAGACGCCTCAGGCAGACCAAGTTCCGCCGAAAGATCCGCAGCGAGAAGCTCATCCTGGCTATCGTGGTGATGTTCGGCCTGTTCTGGCTGCCGTACCACGTCATCAACATGATACAGGTGTGTGGTGACATCGGATCACGGTTCTGGATGCGGATCAATTATTGGACAGCTTTTTTTTTTAAAGGGTACTGACTGCGTTTTGGTGGTTTTGGTGTCTTAGGTGGCAGCTGAGTGGTACAAAGAAGATTCACCCACAAGAGAGATGTGAGTAATGAAAGAGTTTATCAACAAATTCAAACACAACTTTTTTTTTCTTAAGGTTTCAATCACATGTCGTTGATTATTAAGAGTTACTGCAGTAGAAAGTGGTTGTTTCTGCTGAAATTGGTACAAATGCAGAGAGTTTTTATTGTTTTTTTAAAAATAAAACTTAATATAAAACTGCTGTATACATTCAGACGGCAGCTAAAATAACACAGGATTGATAACCATACTCAGTATTTCAAAGCTGATATTAAGTCTGTCTGGGGTTGTGTAACAGCCAAAGCTTTATGGTTGATGCAACAATTAACTATTTAATTCTGCGCGCTGTAACACTTCATCAAAAAGTCTAGAAATAAGTTTTTAAGTGATTTTTGCGTTCGACACTGTGATTTGGATTGAATTCAATCAGAGGTTCTTATGTTTCTGTTGAAGCTTCACTGCAACGTTTTTTATTTTTGCGATGGTCCATCCATCCATCACTTTGCATTCTCTCTACAGGGGTTCGTCCATCTCAAACTATCAGGAACCTTTTGCTCAACCATCTCTGATTTACTTGAAACTTTTATGAAATCATAACTGCATGAGGTTTAGAAAATATCACTGCTTGACTTTCGCATTATTGATTTGTTTTGTTAATCGGTGCTCAAAGATAAAGGTTTTTACACCAGCTGCATTTATTTTTCACATTTTAACTCATTCGTAATTCCAGATTATTTGATCTACTTTTACAATAAATGCAAATAATGTACAATACTTGTACAATATCATTACAATAATGGACTTTAGTTTGTTGAATCTGTTGGTCTGAGAGCAGGATAATCAAGAAGGATCCGACTGAATATCACTAATGTTATGACCGGCCTCAAAATGGCCACAACAAAAATAGGGAGGGCACACCAAGTATAACAATTAAAGCTTGTTTTTATTAACTTAAATCAAGTCAAATTAAAAGCCAAAGTAGTGTGGCGCTATGAGAATCAGTAGAGTCAGTGGTGTGTGACGCATGTGTGAATCACGTCTGTAAATGCAAACCAAATCCTACAGAGCAAGGCTAAAACATCAGAGTGTTACCAGAGGAGGGAAGCAGAGAGGATGTTTAACAGCATCCAGCTCTTAAGTAACCCTGGAACACACCAGAGCCCAAGAGTTCTCTTGATTACAACCATCAGCAACCTGCAGAACCAATAGAACAAACTACCCCCCTTAAGTTGACCTCAGGGGTCATCACACTGAACATTCACTGTTCACCAGAAATAAACATCTAAACGTTGTGTTTACATGCAGATTGGACCACATCTCTCAGTCCAGTCGTGCCGTCACCTCGGCCCTGGCCTTCATCAGCAGCTGTGCCAATCCCGTCCTCTACACCTTCGCTGGGAAGTCGTACATCAAGCAGAACGGCTTCGCCTTCATGGCGAAGCTGTTCGAGGGGACGGCGTCCGAGTCGCTGGGCAACAAAAAGAGCAGATGGGGGGGTAAAGACAATGCGGGACACAGCAACACTGACTCTCCGAACAACACCTCGACTGCAATGACTGGAAATGAACTTTGAGATCAGAATGGACTTTGTACAGAAATGGAAAATTGCGAAGCTGCATGTGGAGCATGTTGACTTTGTTGCGAGGCAGCAGACGAGCCAAAGTGCTGAAATATGAGTTTTATTGCTGAATAATGGTGGCTGCACCTTTATACCTGTATACCAGGACTGTAAATAGTTTTTTTATTTTTTACATTTTTAGAGTTCCAGACAACAGCACAATACATGATACTGTAATGACTTACTAAACACACTTCAATGCATTTGTAAATAATACATATAATAAATGCTTTATAAAACACTATAAAGAGCATGTTTTCAGCACATCTGTGAGCGTCTATGAACGTACAGTGTTGATGAGGGATTATAATTTCTCTTATGAAGATCTACTTTATTTAAACTGTTTTGGTCATTTCCTACATTTTCTAACAATAATCACACATTTTCTAACAAACACATGACAGTGTTGACTTAAATTCACTCTTGAAATTCTTATGCTCCTCTTTGAAATGTTTGGAGCTGGACTCTAACACGGTGCATAAAGTTTTGTCCTAACTTTTCACATCAAACACTGTCGGTTATGAACCTACACAGAAACTTGACGTTTAGACTTGGTCTTCTTTCATCTATTTGTGTATTTCTGTCATTTAGACACTCAAATTCTTCTTGAGATTATCGGGATGTGGGATTTACTGATGTACTTAAAGTTGCTCAGAGAGTTTATTTACGACGTGGTTCACAGCTTCTGTCCTGAGTTCACGCTGATGTGTTGCCGTTAAAGCACTGAACTGTTTTGTGACACTTCATTTTTTCTTACGATTAATGAAATGTTTTAGCTCAATAAAATGACATTTACTGATGCTACACTTAGGATTTTGTTGTTTTACACACAGAAAGGTACTCAGCTTATCAAAACCACATCTAGCAGGTTGTCCTCCTATCGTAAGGTTGGCGGTTCGATCCCCTCCACAGTCTAAGTGTCCTCGGGCAAGACGCTGAACCTGAAGTTGCTCCCAATGGCAGGCAGCACCTTGCATGGCAGCTCTGTGGCCATTGGTGTGTGAATGTGTGACTGAGAAAACACAAAGCGCTATGTGAGTGCAGACCATCTAATATCGGAGTACAAACTGCTTTAGGATTTAAGATCCAGTCACAAATCAAAAACAGTTTTCTACTGAAATTCAGTCATTTGCTTCGACGTGTTCAGTGACGATTTACCAACAGCAGGCAACATTTAATCACTACCAAATGCCCAGCTATTGATGAACCTCATACATATTCTGTGACAACTTCCAGCCTCTACTTGATCTGCAAACTAGACACCATTTCAACTCTGCTTTATTTACCGTCTTCACAGTTCATAAACACTTGCTCTACAATTTAATACAACTGTTTGGTCACAAACTGCTTCGATAAAGCTTCTGGTGTTAAGTTGAGATTGACAAGTTTGACCATTTAAATTCCATTATATTGGAAAATTAATTTATTTTTTACTTATGCAACCAAAAAAAAATTGATAGCAAAAAGTTGGAAAACCTTATAATTCAGTCAACTTCACCATTTAATTCAAAAGCAGAGCCAGCAAAACTAATCTAACACAGGTGATCAAACATCTGCTCGCTATCTGCTCTGCAAACGGAAAAATAAAGTGGCTGACTGATCCAAACAATAATAATCCAGCAGATACTGAACACAGGCATGCTCAGTTTGAGTGTGATGTTAACCATCTTAAGTTATAAAACCTGTCTGAAAACTCACTTTTATGACCTGGCATGAGACTCCAGTTTTATTGTTTTTACTGTTCTTATTGTCCTTTTTAATGATTTTATAATAATTTTATTGTATTGTGTATTTTAGATGTTTTAAATTGTTGTATATTTTGTGTTCAGCACTTTGTTTCCATGTTTGCTGTGTTGAAGTGCTTTATAAATACAGCTGAGTTCATCTAAATAATCTTCCTCCAGATCGACAGACTTCCCCTGAAAGACCTCGATCATTTAAAATAACTGAGCTCACACATTTTCAGTAACAAAAACTGACAACACATCCTCAAGTATAGCAGAGCTGCTTTATTGAAATGCAACCAACTGTACAGATATTGCTAATAAAGCGTCCACCAAGTATCTTAAATCAGGATTCATTACCGCTCTAAACAGACTAAACACTATGACAAAGCATCAATATTCAGATTTAAACTAGAAGACCTCAAACTGAGGCGATAAAGCAGAGCTGGAGCTCCTGCAGGGTTCTCACCACCTGGAAAAGAGGGGAAACGACAAAAAGGTGAATTATTTTTTTTAAATCAAACCAAGAGGTTAATTCAGCTTTAAGGTCAGTTTGGAGGTTCAAGGATGGAAGTGTGCACCGAATTAAGTTAAACTCCTGTTTCAAAATGACACCTTTCAAAGTATGAAGGCGTGTAAATTAAAACGAGGGAATGAAGGCGTGTTTTAAAAGGTAGATTTACCACAAGTGCACGAGTTTATATATTACATGTGTCAGTAATATTTAACAACTGCAGCTGAAATAAATCACTTAATTCATCTATTTAGGTTGATCATGTAAGTATTTGGTATTTCTAGCATCTCAAATGTGAGAATTTGCTTTTCTGCAGCTCAAATTATAGCAAATATTACACTCTCCAGCATTTTATAGATGGATGTTAAAATCTACAGAAGGAAGAAAAATCTTTGAAAATCTTATTTTTATGGAAACTAAAATGGTGACCTGCAGACATACTGAATATTAATGTGCAACTCCAGGCATCAGTGAGTGAAAGGCACAAACTTTACCTTATAAAAATATGTCCATCGTGGGTTCTTCAGTCCTAAAAAACACACGAAAAGAACAAAAATAAAAAAGTGAGAGGTTAGTTCCAACTCTGAATCCACCAAACGTCCCGACTTCTATCCGTGTAGTCAAACCATCAGCGCAGTGAAGAGTAATCACGAGGTTCAGGTGAAACACGGACTCACATGCAGCTCATCATCAAGGTTTGACAAGTGGATTCATTCAAAAACAGAAGTGGGACATGTTTAAGATCTGCAGCTCCTCAGAAGTTTAAAAAAAAAAAAAAAGTCTCTCCGTGGAAGATGGAGGTTTTACATCCAGCTGCTATTTTATGTAAACGAGCTAAAACTGTCCTAAAAATGTTCTCATGCAGGTTATAAAGTCCAGTTTTAGTTTAAACTGCTTGAGGCTCATTTTGAAGGATTTGTGATTTTATAGCAGTGTCAAACTATTTAAGTCTCTTTATCTGATATACAGTTGACAAAACAGAAAACCTTCTCAGTAACGCAAAAATAACTTAAGACGACCCACATTGCAGAACTGTTGTATTATAACTACATCAGGTTTAATTCGGTGTTTAAAATAGAGTTTATGCTGATTAACCTACAACTTCCACGTGGACTGAGGCCATGACTTAAACTACAGTTTCATTTAGCAGACGCTTTTATCCAAAGCGACGCACATCTGAGAGCAGATGCAACACAAGCATGGACCTAGTCAGGAAAAAACAATCTGGATAAGTGCCACAGGACAAGTTCAAGTGTGACAGGGCGCTGATGCCGATAGCAGGCTGTGTGGGAGGTAATAGGATGTCTTGAGAGGGAATCAGCAGATTGAACAGAGTTTGGTGACTCGTTCCACCACAGAGGAGAGTCAGGCTATCGACCTCGGCCCTGCTGTGGTGGTTGTGTCAGGCGGTTTTTGTTGGTCGAGCGTAGTGAGGAGAGGGAGTGTAGACCTGAATGAGAGAGTTCAGGTCGGACGGAGCTGCTCTCGTTGCGGTTTTGTAAGCAAGTGTAACTCATCGAATACACCATTAACAAAGAGTGAATCTGAAAATTTTATGCGGTTAATAAGTCTCTGTACAACATCAACTTTAACTACAGCTACAAGAATATGTGCAGCATTAATAGAATCTGTGCAATACCACAATTCACCACATTCAGTCAAATATGTGAGCCATCTGAACTTCCACATATTTAATCTTTACAATACAAACAGAATTTGTGTGTACATATATGATGCTTATTTGTATTTTTTCAACTCATGCCTTTACATTTTTTGCAATATCCCTGTCGCTGCTGTAAAGTTGCACATTTCCTGTCAGTGGGTTTAAGAAAGGCCCGTCTTATCCAACATAAAAAGATTAAACCCACCATTCTCTCCTTTCATTTTCAGCTTTTCATCACTACAAAACCACAAGTAACTGGTTCAAAAAAGACTCAAAGTGGTAGAAAATGACATGTACCCTCTGCAAAATGGTTCAAAAATAATAAAAAGAGACTAAAAAGAGTATAATAAGACTGATTCTGTTGTATTTAGGTGTTCTAAATAAACTGAAAACAACTTTTATCGTCTGATCCCTCCCAGTTTAATAGTGAAACTAATACACTATTCCTGCAGCCCAACGTGATGCATGAACGCAGCAGAAGAGTGAATAGTTAAAAATACAGATATTAAAACGCCAGTTAAGCTGTTTTAATCTAAACCACAGGCTGTATAAAGCAGATATGTGGATTGAAAGGGCTGCACCCTTTCATCAGCAGACACCATGAGGTCGGTTTGGCGCTACACAAGCATCGAGCTAACGGTGATGATCTGCGCACAAATAACCCGCAAACCGCCGCAAACACGACAACAAACGGACCAGCTGCGATGTAAACGATGAGATCCGATGCTGAGCGTGAATATTTACCGTGAAACGAGGCCTTCAGCAGGTTGATTTCGGTGCCTCGGCTGCGGCTGGTCCGTCCTCCATCACCGCAACAAGGAAGAGAGACAGTTAATGAGTCTGAGCCGCAATTTATCGCTTGATCACAAACCACGTGTTTCTGGATCACCGCCGCCTGCTTCCGGGTTCAATACAGCTGCAGCGGCAACGACTTCAAAAACCCTTATTTTAAAAATACATTTTTACACGCCATATTGTTTTTAATGCATGTATAGTACATACTGTCAATAAAATAAAACGTTTTCTATTGGAAATGTAAAGAAAAAAAATCATAATCCAGCTACAAAATTAAATAAAAAATATATATTTTAGATATTGAAAAACAACCTTTATGCAGCAACTTCATACTTAAACTGGTTGACAAAGTAGTAAAATTAATTATAACACTAACAATAAAAAATATATTACAGGAAAAGTTGTCCAAAATTACTCAAGATTTGGCCAAAATACTTTGGTATGTGTCCAAAATGATTTGAAACCTTTCTAAAATTAATAGCAATTGTTCAAAAAAAACCTCAAAACAGAATTTGGATTGTCCAAAATGACTCGAAACATGTTTAAAATGCCTCAGACCTGGTTCAGAATTACTCAAAGTTTGTCCAAGTAACTCAAAATTTGTCCAGAGTGACTGAAAATTTGCACAAAGTGACTAAATATTTCTTCATAGTGTTTCAAAATTGTTCAGAAGTACTCAAGATGTGTCCAAAAAGACAGAAAGAAAGAAAGAAAGAAAGAAAGAAAGAAAGAAAGAAAGAAAGAAAGAACGAATGAAAGAAAGAAAGAAAGAAAGAAGAAATGCAACCGAACTGGGCTCCAAAGAGACTTTAGTGCCTCTCAAACCAACCTGAGAAAGCACAGCCACAACATGATGCATCATGAGCATCATGCAGCTCATCACTGACTACGAGCAGTACTCCTATAAAGTAGTGAGCGCCAAAGCCAGGATCGGCTGGATGGAGGAGCTGCTGCAGGCCAAAGAAAGAAAACGACAGGAGGAGCACCTACAGTTCTCGATGGCTAAAGACGGATCTCTGGAGCTGCAGAAGAAGTCCAGAAAAACCTCGAGCAGAGAAACAAGGGGCAGTAAAAGGAGAAGATCTCACTTCTGAAGCAGAAAAAAGAGGTCCAGATAAATAAGAAACAGCTCGAGCAGAAGAACAAGGAGCTGCAGGACGAGAAGAAGGTGCTTGAGCAGGACAGAGAAGAAATGCTGAGAAATAAAGTGCTGGAAGATCTCAAGAAAGAACTGGAGCAAGAGCAAAAAAGAGAAATCCGGGGGAAAAAAATCAGAATTGGAAGAAATAGTACAGAGAAAACTGGAGGACGAAAAACAAGGACTTCAGGACAAGAACAACTAGAATTGAAGCAAGAGAAAAGAAAGAAATGGAGGTGAAGAGTGAAAAACTGCAGAAGGAAAAACAGAGAACAAAGAACTGAAGCTGCAGAAATCAGAAATGGAGGACGGGAATAAAGATCTGCAGGACGACAAGATGAAACTGCAGACTTCAGCCTCACCCCTATCTGCTCTCCACCCTCTCTACCCTCTTCTCTTCATGCCTCATCCCCTCTATTACCCTCAACCCTCAAATAAAAAAAATAAAAATCCAGAAAAAATAAACAAAATCAGTAATATTTCTTCATATCGTTCAGTAGCAAGTAGTACATTCTGGTTCACAGCTGCTGTATCAGTTGAAGGGCTGATGTACAACCCTGTAACTCTGAAAGTCTTGTTTAGTTGTGGAAATACTGCTTATACCGTTTATATGGAATTTATATGTTGACTCAGTGTAAAACTGTTCACTCAGTCAGATGAAGTTTTGTAGCCTGTTAGCTGACTTCCCAGCGTGAACTTTATTAATACAGGTACAATGTACAGGTACAGTATTCCTCTGCTGGAAAACATGCAAATCAATTACACTGTGCACCAGTGCTGCATGTAATATTTTCCAATATATTCTGCATTTTCATATGTTTGATTAATATGTGTTCATTTAGACAAGTGTGAACAGAAAAAAAACACATAAATGGGCTTTTTATGGGCACAGAACAATAAAAAATACATGTATATTTCTGGTTAAAATGAGCTGCTTAGTCAGGTGATTAGATGAGTTTTAGTAAAACTGTAAAAACCAGTAAAAAAAATAAATAAATCAAATAGAAATCTGGCAGCAAATGTGCCAGAAAAAAAAAAAAATCAAAAATAACAGCTTAAACACTGCAAAAACGATAAATTTTTGTTTGTTTGTTTGGTTGGTTGTTTTTTTTGTTTGTTTTTTTTTAGAGTTTTTGCAAGATATTATCTAAAAACATTAAAAAACTATCAAAATAAAGACTCAACCTATTTAGGGTGACTTGAAATTCGTTTATATTTACTCGGAATTCTTCAAAATGAAAATCAAACGTGAACTTACCTGCATCAAACCCGAGACGACGCTGCTTCTGTGAACAGCCAATCTGCTGTTAAACTACAAAATGACGTACCTTCCTGGCTGAAGTACGGAACGCCTATTGGTCCAAACGCGCTAAAATATTTCACTGACGCTCAGAGCATTTTTGTCACTCGGATAAGGTTTATGTCTCAGCGACGTTCAGATAATTTCATCCAGCTTTGAAGGATAGTCTTCTTGCTATGAGAGTCTTAATAGGTATGTAGAGTTTATAAATAATTCAACTGTGTTTAAATGTCGCTCGGAAAGGTCAATGTGACATAATGCTACCAGCTAGCTGTTAGCTAACATTGCAGCTGTAAATTAAGTGCATGTACCAGTAATTTACTACGTGTGCACGTCACTCATCCATTAAACTGCAGTAAAACACACCGTCAGCTGTGTGAATTAAGCTAGAAAACTGTCAATTTGTGTTTTTATTGTTATTCAAGCAAAGTTTGCTTAAGTAATGAACAGTGTTCTGTTTTGTAAGCATGTATAGTACGCATGCGCAGTGGTCTGACTCGCTGAGTTTACATCAAACAATGTAATCTGACAAACGTTTCAGTTATTTTGTCCATTAAGAGCAGGCAACTCAAAGCTGCTACTATTATTAATAATCACAGTAACAGTAATGATAATAATAGCACCCCCCTGAACAATGCAATGCAGTTAAACTGAAATATGTCATTAAAGCTGCATTAAGACCCCTATAAGACAGTTTTAACAGCAACTGAGCTTTATGAAAGGCGCATATTCCAGGACTGCTGAACTACAGTGCTGCATGTAATACTCATATGCAGTATCTGTCTAATATATTCAATGTTCGTGGGTAAGCAGGATGTAGATACGTCTTTGTACAATTAGGGCAAATATAAGCATCTTTTTTCCCATCCAGATTTATTGTCATTGCTAACTGATGCATGTAGGTGCATCTTTGGTTCTTCTGTTTGTTCTTTATGTGGAATTCTCTACATATTGTTTTCCTGGTAGGAGGGGGATCCGGCTTCGTGGGCCGTGAGCTGACTCGCCTGCTCAGAGACAAAGGCCATGAGGTCACAGTGATTTCTCGCCAGCCTGGTCCAGGGAAGATTACATGGGTATGATAGCAAGTTAATACTGAGTAGCAATAAAAGAGGTTAAAATGGAGAGATCAAGGGCAGTTTAAAAGCTCCTGATTTATCACAGCTTTTAGTATGAGGTGATGATTAAGAGTTCATTTTCCAGATGAAAGTGTGGCACAGAAACATTGCATTAATTAATGTTTTTTTTGCAAGTTAGACAGTGTGCAGGAGTCTAGTTGCAACTTTTGGAGACACTTGTCCCTTTCCTATGCACCAGAAAAATGAAATATCTGTGTCGAAAGTTCCTTTTGTCATATTGTCTCCAAATTTAGTGGCACTTTAAAACTCCTGCTTTCTCTTTTTAATCCTTTTGCAGGGTGAGTTGGAGTCCCAGGGCCTCCCACCATGTGAAAGTGCCGTCAACTTGGCTGGAGAGAATCTCATGAACCCACTTCGATGGTGAATAAAAAACAATCAGGGTGTCACTCTCAATTTAAACACCTGCAGTATTTTCAGATACTCAGAAGGTTGCTAGTGTTTGCAGTGAGAGATCACTGTTACACACCGGGTTAGTAATGACATCCAGTCACTCGAGTCAATACAGGTAGCCACAACAAACGGCACTAGTGAGCTCAGATGTTTTCAAACAGGACCAACCATGAAGTGACAGTCAGATGATAAACCACAAGGTGAGGAACTGTGAGAAATATTCACACTAAACAAGCTGAATCAGTTAAATCAAGTCATCTAGAAATTTGCACGTCTACCGTAGATACACATGATACTATTCTTAAAATGTTTAATAAAATGATAATATTAGTATTTTGCATCATGTGCTCCACAAGGTAGCAACTAAAACAGATAAGTCATTAAATCACCAGATTATAAAATGTAAAAACACAATTTGGTTTACAAAAAACAACGCAATGGTGGAAAAGGTCAAAAATATTATTCAATACAATAAAAGACAGTTTAATGCTCTGTTACCTTTACTGTTCAGTCGGGCCACCATCTGTTTGGAATGAGATGAAGAACAATCACATATGGGTGTAGAACCAAGGATTACATCTTCTTTTTCCAAATATGTATTGATCCACTTGATGTACACTTAACATAAATAAAATGATAGAACACCTACATCCACACCAGAAAAAAGTACATGCTTCTGGCCATTTTCTTAATTTCCCCCTGCTCACGAACAGTTTTAATTTATTGCTTCACGTGAACTGACTGAATGATTATCTGTACAGAATCAGTAGTGCTGTTAGTCTGTTTTAGCATACAGCTGCTGGATCTTTACCTGCTTTTATCTTCTTTTTTTTCAGGTGGAATGAAAGCTACAAAAAAGATTTGTTCTCCAGTCGCATTGACACGACAAAGGCTCTGTCTAACGCCATCGCTGCCTCCTCCAGTCCGCCTCACTCATGGGTGCTTGTGTCAGGTGTAGGTAAGGCCTGTAACCTTTCGATTTACTACCCAGTGGGAGGCAGACCACATGAACTTGCAGATAAAATAGACTGTGACATTTATTGCTGCATGTTTCTTTGCTTTGCTTTTTGACCCGCAGCTTGCTACAAACCCAGTCTGACAGCTGAGTACACAGAAGACAGCGAGTGGACACCGTTTGACCTCCTCTCAAAGCTTGTCAAAGAGTGGGAAGCCTCGGCGCTTCTTCCTGAGAGTGTGGCAAAAACAACCAAACAAGTCGTCATCCGGCCTGGTGGGTGCAAACCACGGTGACTGTAGGAAATCCTTAAACTTAAAGTCCCAGTAAGCTTCCACTGCAGGGTCAGAAAGCTGCACTCATGTTTATCAAACAGGCTGAATCCTGTGAAGAATTGTAGCTCTGCTCTCAATCCTCCTAAAAATTTTCTGCCACAGCTTCTCAATTTGGCTTAAAAAGAAGTTCATCAAATATCTAAACCGATGCTGTTGAGGGATTCCTGCAACTTTCACAGGAACAGCAGTAGTCCCCAATTAAACTTTATTGTTGGCAACCAGGAAGCTAATTTCTGTAACCGCACTAAACCTGTCTTATCTAAAGTCAAACGCAGGTCAGTCTTTTGAAGAGGCTCTGAGGATAAAATGGTCAAATTTACAGCATAGAGAAGCCTAAAGAGAGTCACTATTGTCAAACTATTGATTACAGATAAATACATTTAGCCAATAGATTAACATGAGGTTTTTCTTTAATGGATTTTGTTCTCCAGAGTGACAGCTTTTTTCCTGACTTTGTTCATGCTAAACATAGACCAGTCTGGTTTGGAACATTTTACACCAAAGGATGCAAAAAAAGAAAAAGAAAAAAAGGTAAAGATTTTGAAAGAACAAAATTGGTTTGTCAAGATTGATTGATCAAGTTATTAACACCAGACAAAAAAACAAAACGAAAATATTACACACGCGCTACGTACAGTATTCACTTAGAAATACCTCAAACTTGCATATACACTTACCCGTATGTTAATTCAGTTGATGCACTGCTTCTAAATGTTAAAGGGCAACTTGCACATATCTTTTACTAGATGTCATCTGTAATTAAACAAAACTGGGAAAGTTTTAATACTAACACAACTAATATTATTACCAATAATGACTTGGAACGTGTCCAGAATCCCTCAACAATTGTCTAAAATGGCTCAAACGTGTCCTATGGGGCTTAAAAATGACTTGAATCTGTACAGAAGGACTAAAAATTTGTTTAAAACCTGGCAGCAAAGGTGGCTGGAAGAAATGCTTTGAAATGGCAGAACAGTGTAATGTTGACAAGTTAGTTAAAAAAATGGTGAAAAATATGGGAGCATTGTTTCTAAATTTTAAAGAGCAACTTGAAGGTTGTACAGGAAAATAGATTTTTGAAAAAATATATTTATATGTGCATTATAATAACATTTAATTGTGTTTTATGGCTGCGTCAGAGCAACAAAACAAAGCAGCCAAGCTAATTTAACAATAAGAAATATGGACCCTCGTAGTCGTTTTGACACTGAAGAGGTCGGGTCTCACTACTTTTCTATTTGTCTCCAGGACTGAGAATATATTTTAGCACACATGTATCTGTAACATCTTGTTGTTAGCAAGTGTTTGTTTTTAGTTTCAGTTTTACCTTCATTTGAACTTAAATCTTCCCTTATTAGACGCTTCTCACAGCAAATATTTTAACTTGTCACAGCAGGAAAAGGACCGAGTGTAATTAATGATGGCTTAGTTCCATTAAGTGTTCAGTGAGCCTCGACAGCGAACCAGAATATACAAAAGGAATGCAGCCATCATAAACACTCCTGTACCTTCTCTGCAGTGAAAAAGCTCTGTGCTACATCCTATGTCCTCCTACCTCCGTTCTCCAGGAGCGGTGTTGGGTCGAGATGGTGGCGCCATGAAGCAAATGCTGCTGCCCTTCTGGCTCGGCCTCGGTGGCACCCTGGGGTCCGGGAGTCAGCCGTTCCCCTGGATCCACGTCTCGGACCTGGCAGGAATCATCGCCCAGGCGCTGGAGCCCGCTGCCGACGCTGCCTCCCCTTCACCGCAAGTGTTGAACGGAGTCGCACCTGCGCTCAACACCAACTACGAGTTCACTAAAGAACTGGGCCGGGTCCTGAGGCGGCCCACCATTTTTCCCGTGCCTGGCTTCGTCATGAACACCCTGATGGGCTCTGAGAGGGCCGTGGTCCTCACTCAAGGCCAAAAAGTCATCCCACAGAGGACTTTAGAGTCTGGATTTCAGTACAAGTACCCAGACTTGACCTCAGCGCTGAAGCAGATTGTTGGGAGCTAACAAATATTGAAGGAGTGTGTGTCGTATTTACTGTGTTCCAAGAAATAAAATAAATATAAGCGCATAAGGATCATAAGTGAGTAAACTTTCATGCACATTCTTCAGATTTGAGGCCTGCTGATGTTTCTCACATCACATAAAACCCATTTCTAAATCCGGATTTTAAAAACTGACAATTTAAATCAAGTTTCTGAGGGTCTATAAGGGTTTTGCATTCAAATAGCTCTAAACAAGTTCATAACTCGTTTCTAGAATGTCTTATGCCAAACTGAGGTGTTAAACATGCAGGATGTTGCAGCGCATGAACTCCGTACAAACACTGATGAAGATGAATGGGACGTGAGATGCAACAACACAACGATGACATCAGTGTGTGATGCTGCAGCTTAAAATCCTGCGATGATATAAAATGCACTTTTCCCCTCTGTGCCTGAGGCGTAAAATGTCAGCAGGGACCAACACCTATTCTGTCACTTCTTGTCATAAAATACAACAAAACTGGTGAATATTTTGCAGGATATGTGAAAAATATCCAGTATGGTTTTGCAGATATATTTTCTTCTGGGTCATATAATTCAAGATGCAATCATTGATGCTGGTTCTGACAGACTGTAAGAGTCTTGGATATGCTAAAGGAAGAATATTTTTAAGTCCCAGATAAATGACAAACCTCCCACGAATTCTACAAACTGGTGTTAATCATGGAGTCCTTTGCTGGTGGTTACTTGACCTGTTTACGTCCCTGGACTCCACTTTTCTGTTTTCTCAGTTCCACAGTGGCTTCAACACCAAAGTGTTAACCCTCAATTATTTATAGGCTTCCCTTCTGAACCTTGCTTTTAACTCTGATCTCGATTTGTATCATTAGATTTTGGCTTTTATTTTGAAAAAAACAAATGCACAAATGCATTGAACTGTTGATTCGGTTGTTGTTGAGTGTTGAGTGTTGAGTGACAAAAAGTACAAAACTCAAACATACCTGTGAAAAAAAACGGTTCTTATAACAGACAGCTCTAAATATCAGTAACTTTTGTCCATTAAGGATGCACTGGGACTTGATACATGTCGTGCCAAGACATACATGCTCATATCAAAGGCGTTGGGCAGAGCTTTTTCCTTTCACACAAACTCTAATGTGAGCAGAGATGCAGAAGAAAATGCTGTCAGATGTCAGGTGTGAAGTGTGAAGCCTGGATTATGAATGATTCTGTAGATTATTATCTCAATTAACTCTTTATCTGAGACAAAAGGGTGAAACATGCCCATCACAGTTTTACAGAGCCTGAGGTGATGCTGTCAACAGTTGACTCGCACAAGAAACCACTGAGAAGCTTGAAAAGTGACTTAAATAATTAATCAACAATCAGATCCGTTAACCTCGCAGCTCCACCGGACACAAGATAACATATCTGAACACTTAAACCACTGAATCTTCACATTCTTTGACCACTACATCCACTGCAGTGTAGCTGTCCTTACAACTGCATCACTGAAGGCCTATGTGACTGCAAATCATCATTAGGTTCAACGGGATTCTCTCAGTAAGAAACATAATAGTCTGAATTTTAACTCGGTGCACTGAAACATGCAGGAGGAAATTTCAGTGTCTAGCTGGGAACTTTAAAAAAAAAAAAAAAAGCTCACGTTTCAGTCTATGGTGCTTATGAAAGAATAAACAGCCTTTTATTGAAGGTGGGACACAATAAAGATGGGTGAAGTACAGCTATGACAGCAGCTTCACATATATATGAGTCAGTATTTTAACAGCTACAGTGAGGAAATGTAGATGTTATGTGTAACCAGCAGCTTCAGGGTGTTTCCGCTGTTTCTAAAGTCCAGAGATTGTATCATAATGGCTGAATCATCCCTCTGAATCACTGGTGACGTCTTCTTCGACTGTCGGAATGATGGGCACTTGATCTCCCCAGTCGCTGCTCCGAGCGCAGCGGTACACGTCTCTGATTCGGGAAAATGACACACAGTTAACAGGAAAATCTAGAAAAGTCACATAAAAGCTAATAAACAAATGGTGTCCCAATTTCTCCACTGTTCAGAGACACGATCAGATAGTAAAGGCTGGATTTGAATCTAAGTCTACTTGAAATCTTGTCGTACCCTATTATTGTTTGTTGTTTTTATTTTTTACTAGTAAACTGAATCAAATTTAATCAGCACATTCTTAATTATCACCAGAATAAGAGCATTTACTTGAACACATTTTTTTTAAATTTATGAATATTAATCTGCCACATAATGAAAGCCAGTAATATTTCTTCATGACAAATGGCTGCCTATAAATGGTTTTTAATGCAAGTTTCCTCACGTTAGCTGGTTAAATACTGTACAAAAACAACTGGAGTTTGGTAAAGCCTGAATACAATATTTTATTTTACTAAAATGCAAGGTACTCCTGGGGCTATTTATCTTTACTTTGGAATCTCACCTTGACTTGGAAAAATTGCAATATTCTATCCCTAATATCTTAAAATATTTTGAAACAACAAAAAATGTGAAAATGTAAATGTGGCTTGCATTTTTGAAAATAACTAAATAGTCAGCACTGCGTAATATTGGGGGAAAAAAGCTTTAAATGAGTCCATTAAAATTAAAAATGCTATGGCGCTGTGAGAGTGGCAGCCAGTTGCAGCGGCTCCTACCTGCTTTCTGTGTTTTAGCTATTTACTTTGACTTTTCTTCTATCTTTAATATTTTAATTTCACACAGCTGTACCACATTTGTGCGGGAATATAGGAGATGCAGATTACGTTTTTGTTTGTCTGTTCTTTGCTTGTTTTTGTGAGTTTTTGGGGTCTGCGTCTGGTGAGCCTGTGAGCCGTTGAGCCACCGAGCCATGGCTCTATTGTTGTTACACTCATCAACAGCTGTTGGCGCTGAGCCAGGCCAAGCCACCGCCGTGGGAGAGATCGGACATCCCCGATGAGCTCCGCAGGAGGAAGAACGGATGCAGGGCAAGACTGAAGCCTCGGGAGAGGAGGAGACGCTACAAGTCATCTGTCCATCCATCATCATAGAAACATGAGGTCTCTCCCTAACAGATGGAAGAGCTAAGAGCTAACAGCTAACAGCGCTGACCCGGTTGCAGTGGGAGTAATGGGAGTGCAGCCGTATGTAGTTCATGGAGTCATGGCTAAATGAACTCACTCTGGACTTGCTCGTAACTTTGGACGGATTTCACCAGCAGTAAGAAGAAAGGCTGGGGACTCGCCATGTGTGTGAATGAGAGATGGTGTAATGCTGGCACGTTAGCGTTAAAGAGCGGCGCTGCACCAAGGATTCTGAAAAATTCTATAGAACTCTAAATGATTCTATAGAATTTCAAGGATTCTATGGAATTCTAAACAATTCTATAGAATTCTAAAAATTCTATAGAATTCTAAATAATTCCATAGAATTTTAAATAATTCTATAGAATTCTAAAAGATTCTGTAGAATTCTAAAAAAATTCTATAGAATCCATGAAAATTCTATAGAATTCTAAATGATTCTATAGAATTTTCAAGGATTCTATAGAATTCTAAATAATTAATTCTAGGATTCTGGATGCTGCTGTTTTTAATTTCCCAGGTCTGGGATAAATAAAGTATTTTTCATTCTATAGAATTCTAAAAAATTCTATAGAATTCTAAATAATTCCATAGAAATTTAAATAATTCTATAGAATTCAAAATTATTCTATAGAATTTTCAATGATTCTATAGAATTCTAAATAATTATTTCTAGGATTTTGGATGCTGCTGTTTTTAATTTCCCAGGTCTGGGATAATAAAGTATATTTTATTTTATTGCATTTTATTAAATTAGTGCTATGTTCAGCTGAAACCTGTATTTGGTAGCATTATATCACTACCTGAATCTCAGAGCCTGATGAACAAAAACAAGCGTAAAAAGACACAAAACAACTATATGTGGATGTAAAAACAAGAACAAATAGATACAAAAACAGCTACAGAGAGATGCAAAACAACTACAAAGAGGCACAAAACAGCTACAGAAGTGATGCTAAACAACTACAAGGACACAAAAACAGCCACAAAGACATCAAAGCAATGACAAAGAGGCATGAAACAACTACAAAGAGGCACAAAATACAGCTACAAGTAACTACATCTAGACACGAAACAACGATAAACAGCTACAAACAACTACAAAAACACAAAAGCAACTTCACGGAGATGCAAAACCACTACAAAGAGATGCAAAACAACCGCAGAGACACAAATAACTACACGCAGACACAAAGCAATGACAAAAAAATGCAAAGCAACTTCAAAGAAGAAGTTATTAAAGCCACTGAATGAGGCAATGCTGCAGTCCTCACTTCATCACTGTTTTTTTCTACAAGAAAATAATGAGATGCGTTTGTGCGCTGCAGGACGTTTACCTGCTGTGCTTTCGTGCCGTCACCACCTTGTGTTGCAGTTGTCCGTCGGGGCAGCACATGTGACAGTGAACATGTCTGGATCTGCGCAGCACCGGAGCGGTCAGCCTCGCCCAGGTCACTCCTTCTGCTTCCACTGGTTCCGTCCGACTCAGAATCAGGTAGCTGAACTTCTCCATGCTATGATTGCTGTTCTTTATCTGTTATGAAATAGAAACGTTTTCAGTTTGCTTGTATATTCTAACTTCTGCCTTGTAATTGTGGTGATTTAAACAGTAAAGAGTTTAAAATGCTCACAAGCACGCTGATCCCAGTGTGCTGACACAGATACTATTTTGCACACCTGCAGCATTTGCACTGTATTTATATTTGTATTCTTTATATATATTTATATTTTTGCTTTCTGTACACTACGGGACTTCGAGAAACAGCATTTCAATTTCTCTGTATGTTGTGCACATGTAGAGATATTGACAAAAAAGTTTGCTTTGACTTTTGACTTTAACTTTTTAAAAACTAGTTTTAAACACAGAAACGTCAGCTTGAGCTGTGATGACACAGGAGCTGGGAAAATAAAGAAAACAGCGCCACCTACAGAAGCGGCTTTGCACTAATTTATTGACAAAAACACAAGAAGGCGCAGAAAATAAAGTTATAAAGCTACAAGCAATTAAACAGCTTGTTTCAGTGACTTAATCTGAAGAGTAGTTTTTCTGAATGACTGTATATAAGAAACTCTGTTTCTGGAAGGAAACTATGTGGCTGATTGGGACTTTGTTTGCAAATGTAAGAAGTATTTTTGTTTACAGTCTGACTTGACAAATATTTCACTGCTAAAAAGCGTTCATTCTGTTTAAACTATTATTTCCAGGGTTAAGAATGAACTTTTATCCTTTTTTTTTTTTTCACTGTTTTAAGAAGAATTCAGTCGACAGATGTAAGTAGGAGCTGACTGTTACCCCAGGCAGAGACAGAGGATGGTACATCTGCTGGAAGTTGCAGGGTGTGATGGGCTCTCGGGCCAGTTTAGGACACATGAGTTCATGAGAGCACTGGGGGGAAAAAAAACACAACAATAGGGAGGAGATGCAATAAGACTGTTGGCTGAGTGTATGGTATGATTTAAACCAGCTGTGAGTTAAACGTACCGGCGCAAAAACTGACGCAGGTCTGAAGTCGTGGATAGTCTTCTCTTCTTTCTGGAGTTAAAGAAATGTCATTTTAGTTTGATTAACTGCGTCAATTATTTACACAACAGCATCTTGCACGTGTTAAATCTTCTTTACTGTATTTGAGTACATTTAATAAAGTGTCTCTGGCCTCCATAAGCGTCTGGTGGCCTTCTTTGGTCCCGTTTTCCACCAGCACCTACAACATAAAATGTGAAAAACATTATCAGGACTACCACTTACATAATATCCATCCATTATCTATACACCGCTTAATCCTCACTAGGGTCATGGGGGGCTGGAGTCTATTCCAGCTGACTTAGGGTGAAGGCAGGGGACACCCTGGACAGGTAACCAGTCTATCACAGGGCTACACTTAGAGACAGACAACCAAGCACACTCACATTCACACCTACGGACAATTTAGAATCACCAATTAACCTCAACATGTTTGTGGACTGTGTGGGAGGAAGCCGGAGAACCCAGAGAGAACCCGCGCTGCACGGGGAGAACATGCAAACTCCACACAGAAAGATCCTGGGTGTCCTCACTGGGACGCGAACTGGCGACCTTCTTGCTGCGAGGCAACAGTGCTACCCACTGCGCCACCTTGCAGCCCTACATAATATATTTTACTATAAATTAAAATCTTCCAGTAGTCCAGTGAGCAACAGAACACACAAATGTGCACCATCTGTGAGTTTTATCGTTGTTTTAACCAACCAGATACGAGCTCGTCTTTCTCCACAGTGTGAATGCTGCGTCTTCTCGATCTTTCCCATTAGGAAGCTCAGACAGGGTGAAAGCTGCGACTACCAAGTCAAACTGCACCTATAAAAATGAAACAGACAGGTCACAATTTCTCATCCTTAGGATTATCTGCAAAGTTGGCAACATCACTGCAAAAGTATGAGGAGACAATCCATTAGAATCACTATGTTTCTGTCACCTTGCCCCACTTTTTGGAGCTACTTTTAACTGCATGTAATGCTAATATTCTCATTAATGTTTTGACTTTATTTTGCTCTGTGTGTCTTTCTAGCCTCAGTGCCCTACACTTTTATTTTATTAATAATCTATTGGAGGTATGAAAACCTAAATGTGTGTTTGAAGCTTTCTTACATATTACTTAAATGCATCTCGATAATAATGATTGTGGACAAACTATCCACGAACCAACTTTTTCCATGTGACTTTAAGACCAGAAATGTCTCTGTTTTCATCTCATTTATGACTCAGAATTAAAGGTTATAACACAAAGTATGTTTTGAAGGACCTGTAACTTTCTTACAGTGAATGCAGAATGTATTTCGGGGGCCTTACCTTAGGAGAGACAGGGAGAAACTGTCTGAAATAGACTTGCTTGAAGTGAGGTTCGGCTCTTTCATCATCACCTGCGCAACAATAAACGCACAAATGCTCAGTTTTTTTTAAATTAAATACTGTGCTTGACTTTAAAATAAACTAGTAAAATAGTTTGTGTGTACCTTTGAGAAGTCGTTCAGCCAAAATGTTCATTGGCCCAGAGCTGTCCACACACACCATTTCCTTCAAAGAGTCGCCCCAGCACGAGTGGGACGCCCTGTCAGAAGTAAAAAAAAAAAAAGAGACTTCATTTACTGTTTTTATTTAATTTAGACAAAACTCTCTTAATGTTGCACCAGTGTTGCAAACTAACCAAGCAACGGTTCCCAGGCCTGAACCAAAATCCAGGAGAGACTGAGGGGCAAACGAAGGATCTCTCTTCTTTATCTGAAATACAAAAACACTCACTTAGGAGAGATAAAGCACAAACCTCACCCTCTGACACCGTAACTTTTACAGGCTTTTCCTATGTGATCTGCTTGAACCAACTCTCTTAAAAGGAAAGCCCCACACATCACCGACGATGATCCCATCTAACACCTCTTCGTTACCTCATTCAGAGCTCTCCTCACGGCTGCGTAGCCTCCAGCCAGCCGAGCCGCCATGTACACCACACCTAACTCTTCATCAAACCTGCAACACAGAGAGTCTGTCTGTTACAACTCAAGCTCCAAAATGTAACTGAGTTCACCGTTTACTGTTTTTTGAAAGGTCAATCTGTCAACATTACATTCTTATACAGTAAAATTCAACACATAAGACTTTTATAGCATCTAAACTCTATAAATTAAAGGTTTAAACTGTTCAATATTCGTCAACACTGGCATAGATTAGCCTAATATCGGTAAAGGAGGCAGCTTCTCCACGAGAAATGGGTCAACTAACAGAGAGAGAATGTCTGAACACACCCGTAATTTTCTAAATTTAACAGATTCATGGCTACTATCCATGTACAAAAGAGCATGCACAGTGTATAAATTGTGCGTTACTTCAGGGGACTCCAGCGATATGTCGTTCTTCTGAGCTCTGAGAAAACCTTCCTCCTGATGCGGTCTTCCACCGCCTCCTCATCAATATCTGCAATACAAAGCACATGTATTTTCTCCAGCTGCTGCATCAGAAAATCTCTCCACAGTTGTTATCACTGTTTGTCCATGTGCCACCCACCTCCATCCTTCTGCATGGCTTCCTCCCAGAGCTGCTTCTCCAGACTCATAGCTTTCTGCCTGAGCGGTAAATCCTCGACTGCTCGTTTCCGGCTCCACAGGACGTTTGTGAGTTTGTGAGTACGCTCGGGGAGCCGAGTGACCTGAGCTCCTGTAGGTGGAGAGATTAAGGAGTGATAAAGTCCATCCATCCATTATCTATACATCGTTTAATTCTCACTAGGGTCGCGTGGGGCTATCACTAGTCTCTCGTAGGGCTACACTTAGAGACAGACAACCAAGCACTCACATTCACTCCTACAGACAATTTAGAATCATCAATTAGCCTCAATATGTTTTTGGACTTGTAGGAGGAAGCCGGAGAACCCGGAGAGGAGGAGTGATAAAGTGTTTTCACAAATTTTGAGAAGCAGGAATCATTTGGTATATTAGCTGACAAGTACTACATGACAACAGAGCTTACTGTGAATAATCGACTGCGCAGCCACCTGGAGCTCCTCGGGTAGTCGCAGAGCTTTCAGGTTGGTCACACCAGGGTGCTTCCTGTGTTTTTCTCCTTTCAGGAAATCTGCCTGGGGCTGCAGATGGGCAGCTGCACTCATTGCCTGAGAGTGTAAAGTTCACATGAATGTAGATTTGATACACCTTTAAGGTCAAGTATAATAATGCACAGAACAAAAATACTACTAGAACCAGATTTTCTAAAATCTTCAGTCCAGTCCAACTATAACCGTATGTTCGATTTCTTATTTAAATAACTCACACTCTCACACTCACACTGGATATGCATTTTCTTAATTACATTTACAAGAACTATATTTCAAGGTGATATATATATATATATTATCATAAAAAATGTGCATATTGGAATATTTTATTCCTATTATCCTGCCATCATCCACACAAGAGGAGCATCACAAACAAACTACCTACAAACTGAATGGCAGAAGGACTGAAATCTGCAAGGCAAGATAGACGGAAATCTTATTTCTCAAACACCTACTCCAGAAATGTGCATCTCACACTGTTTTGCATAAAAAATAATGACAATGTGTGTAAATAGTCAAATAGTGAAATTTCTCCCCTGTACTAGTTTTAACTGCATGCAATGCTTTCATTCTTCGACCATCAATATGCTTTGAATTTTTTGCGTGTCTCTTTCTATACAAAGAAGTCAACACTGTTTTAATTAAATACAAAAATAACACTTAAATCAATTGGGAACATAAAGGTGTGTTTCAGGAATTTTATTAAGAAAGATCACAACTACATCATCAGTAACATAAGCGAATGCACAATTAAACAGTTTGTTAGCCAACCCAACAGTTATTTTCATAATTCTAATTAAATACATCTGAGTAATACTGACTGACAGAAAAAATAGACCCCCCAAAAAAACGATTTTAAGAATGAATTTTTGCAGTACGCTAAAATAATTTGGAAGAGGTTTCTTTAAAAAATGACAATAGAAGGGGCACAAACATAAATTTAGTAACGAAGACAAATATCTGAGAAGTATTTAGATCACAGAATGTTTAGTTCTTTGAATCCTGTTGAAAAACATCAATTTTACGCAGATTAGACAGTGTATGTATAAGTCCAACCAATATGACCACAAATCAAACAAAAATAAAGCAGAGAATAATACAGAGGTAATAAACAAGACAAATATTAATCAAGCTGGGTAGTTTGTTGATGATATCTAACACGTTTTCAGTTTGTCGCAAATGAAATCAATGTTATTTTAACCAGTTGTAGGTTTCATCACCCAAAACACTAGTGAGAAACGTTTGAAGTTTTTATTCCATTCTGCAGCCTAAACCCTAATAATAATCATATACAACAAATATTCTAACATTTTTACCCCATAAATCTGTGCTGTGAACTGAGTTTAACTCTTTCTTTCTCCTAGCTGTGTGTTAACAGTTTATCTGACCTCCATGATAAACGACGCTGCGTTCAATGACACCCACGAACCGCACTCACCCTGCGGGTCGGCTTCACCACAACCGCCCGCTGACGGAGAACACAAGTGGCGAAGCACCGCGATGCCATGTTCGCGGTGCTAAATAGTATTTTAATAGTCTCAAATTAAACTCATAAATTCCATCCACGTTCGGCACGTTAGGAGCTTACCGGTCCATTAACAAAATAATTCCGACTATGAGCTAAGGCGGAACCTTTTAGCCTTGAAACTTTGTTCCCCCTTTAAGACAAAGGTGCACACTCTCTTCTTTGATCAAATTTGTGAACATGTGATCATAGTATGAACAAAATTGCACATAAGCATAAAATATATATATTTTAAATTATGGTTGAACGTATTTGCAACAAACGTTGTCAGTCTAATAGACTTCAGTTAAAACCGTTGTCATGGTAACTGCCAATACGCATGCGCACAGAAAAACGATCTTTAGCAGCACACACCAGTTCAGCAAGCAGGAAGTTAGTAGAGAAAACTTTCCCGCGGTGTGCTATTGTCACTTGTGGCCCCTTTACCACTGCAGCTAGCGAAGTAGTTCCATAAAACACCATGAGACGAACAAGAGGTTCCGCAAATAAAAGTCAGAGTGCACCAGACAGTGAAGAAGTCCAGTCGAAAACAGGTTGGTGCTTGTTTTTAGCTTTAGCTGCCGTTAGCTGCTGTAAGTGGACAACGGCACTCGGACTGAGGACATGTCTGGGCAAAGAGCAGCAGGAAATCAGTGTTATCAGATCTTATAAGTACTCTAACCTGGCTTTACTGTGTATGTAAAGTTGTAAAAATCAACTAAGTTTATTCTCAGTGTGGTATCTGAACCTGGTACGACATGTTATAATAACCTGAAACTGTCAAATCCAGTTTTACCAGTCAGACAGGAGTCCTGGATAAAAACGGATGTATGTGGTGCATTGTATTTGTATTGCAGCTTCATACTGTTCACCAAGCAAACATCCACGGTTTTGGCATTAAATACCAGTTTTACGAAGATTTGACTTTTCACTTTAGTAGTAGGAGGTGGTGTTTAACCAAATATTCAGGTCTTCGGGTGAAATAAGAGCAAATTGTTTCATGTAATATTTCTACAGTTGAACATACTGTTGGGCTCAAAATTGCTCACAGACAAATATCGGCAATAAGGATCATTTTTAGGCTTTTACAGCTAATATCAGGCAATATATTGGAATTGCAATGTGTGATGCTTCAAGCAGATACCTGTTTTGGTTTCGTTTTCGTTTTGCACGTTTCCTTTGGCAATTTCCTTTAAAAAAAAAAAAAAAAAAAGACTTTTCCAGAAGCTTTAAATTATAACAATGAAAAAGCACTATATTAATTTTGTCCACAACAAAGTAAAACTAACAAACAATGAACTCTCTGTGTTTACTTTCCACTTGTTTGTACCTGTTATTAGTACCAGAGGAATAAAATTTGAACAGAAACACCCGTGAAAGGCAACAAACCGTAATCAGAACCAGTATTTTAATGAAAAGAAATGTCTTGTTTATGAATTTAATCAATTGTAACTTTTCAAGTTAATGACGGTGAGCTATTAATCTTAATTATCCTGTATACCAGGGCTGCTGTGAAAGATTATGTTCAATTTTGATTAATGTTAAAGATGTTTTGGGTTAATGCATTAATCATTTACTCTATTAAATGCAACAAAAACAGCAAATGACAAGTTAATGGAACCCCAAGTGTTTTGAAATTAAAATATTCAACCTGTTTCAGCAGCGAAATTATAACTACTCTGTCTTTCTCTATGTGATCAGTGTGGCAGTGGAAGGGAGATGAAGGACAGTGGGAACCATATTCGCCTTCAGCCTGTGCCTTGTTGGACTCGGCTGTTTCTTCAGGGAAAACATCTGTCACTCTGAGTCTGGGTTCGGGGACAGCCTACGAAGTTGATCTAAAGAAGATGTTCCAGATTAACCCTGTTACTAAGTACAAGAGGAAAATACGCTCTCAGACTGTAAAGCCAGGTTTGTATTATTATGTATCACACTGTATATGTTCCCTTTTTCTTTTTCCAGATTTTTTTTTTTAATGCTTAGTTTCTGTCATCCCTTCAACATGCCAGCTTTCTGGGGGCTGTCTATTTTCAACAAATCCACATTTAGAATTGTAAAATGAGACTGTTACATTTTCAAAACTAGTGTTGTATTAGAATTTTTAGGAAAGGGTTAGGGTTAGTTGTAGTAGTTAGGGCTGTCACAATCATGAAATATCAGTTGAATAATAACTGTCATGTAAATAATCGTGATTAAAGATTTAATTGTCTTTCTCTCTTCATAATATGCAATTTGGTGGTAATGTGACAAATTGCTCCTTCCACATTACTGGGCTGTCCTTCTTTTTCATTTGGCTTAATATCAGCAGGGGCCCACAGAGATCCTGTGGTGTTTGACTTTGCAACTAAATCCATGAAATTTAGATGCTTATTAAAATACAGACGGTCAAATATTAAAAGTTAGGCACCTCGATGAATAGTTTGTGCTATTTAACAATAGCAGAAGGGAGCGCAAATGTTGGAAAATGACATGGAAATAGTGATTGAACTGTGATATTTCTGTTAGTTTGATCCAGCTGGTTTTAACAGGTGAAACTATTTTAATGATGCAAAATAATTGCAGTCAGCTCAAATAGTTGCAGTTGTGTAAACATTTTGATAGGTATAGTACCAATCACAGGAGCAGAATTATCAAAATTATCTTGCATTTGTTCAGTTTTTTCATCATATTTGGGTTTGCACAAAAGCTAAACTTCTCAAAGTATTTAAAAAAATATATATTTTCTGTTCTTTTGTTAAGAAAGTTCCAGTGAGGCTGGCGACGTGAATACTCAGAATAGCAAACCGGTTCAAGTTAAAAAGGAAGAGGAGGAGACGGAAGAGCAACCTGCAGCTAAGAGGAGGAGAGGACAAAGCAAGAAGCTGACAGAAAAGGAAGAAATGCCCAAAGAAGAAATAAAAAGCGAAGGTAATACAGATCTAGTTTGTTATATATGTTGTTTAACTAATTTACAACTGTGGACTTTTTTTTTTTTTTTTTGCTGTTTTTACGCTTGTGAGTTTATACAGGTGAACAGGATGTGATAGTGTTGTGATAGTGTACCTAGCAAATGCCAGCTCACCTCATTGATGTCATGATGTCCGTGTGCTCAACAGAGGTTGTGAAGACGGTGGTTATGAAGGGCAAAGCTCCAGTGGACGCTGAATGTAAAGCCAAGCTTGGAAAGGTAAAGTTTCCTGTGACCACACGAGACATGAAACTCATGAGTCACATCGGTTGTGTTTTGCGGTTTGACACCTGGTTGTGAGAGGGGTTTTGGCAAAGCACTGCTCCAGTTACAGTTCCCTTTGTGGGCATGACATGGTGTTGTAAGTGTGCTTCTAAATGTCTGGTTACAACATAAATGATTAGATTGAAGTTTAAATCTTGTTTAACCAGAGTAACTTTTTAAACATGTAAGCGAGTCAAGCAAAAACTCAGTCGATAGGCAACAAATCTGAACAATGTCATTGCAGCAAACAAAATGAAAGCATTCAGTTCTGCACATCTAAATGCCAACAACTATGCTATTTGTTTATCTGCTATTGCGTGAGAATAATATCTAGTACACTTTTTTTTTTTGTAATTTATCTTTATTTCTTTTAAGATTTAATTTGCAGTCCTTGTTACGTATCTTTTCGCCCCACTACCAGCGGAATCGATAAACAGCTAATAATTAGTCATTTTTTGAATGTAAAAATTGCTAGCAATTACTTGTTCCAAGACATTACAAAGAATTTAATTTGTCAATTTTCTTTAAATAATAGTGAATAAAATACATATTTTTTTTGGTTTTGTGTTGTCAGCTGAACAAACAAGGCAGTCTCAGAATGCTAAGTGGACACTAGAAAGCTAATCAATAATAATTACAATTGGTTCATCAAATCATTTTTTGTTTGCTTGTTTGTTTGTAAAGCTTATGGAGTATTTTAATTATTATTGCACTTTTTACTTGTGTTATAAGTGTGCAATTTCCTAAATTGTGTATGTCTTAAACCTCATTAAATAGTATGTTACAGGATGCTAATTTAATGTAGTTACCCTCATTTATGTAACTAATTTTTGCTTTTCTCTTTCAGGCTCATGTCTACAATGAAGGAAAAGATGTTTATGATGTGATGCTGAACCAGGTAAATCTTTGAACAGCATTTAATTACAGGTTGATTCAGCTATATGCCAAATTTATTAGGAAATATACCTTTTATACAATCAAAGCTGGAGGTATGTTTTCATCAAATATTTTGTTTTCCCACACTGAGTAGTGCTGATTTACTAAAGCAGTAATTTGAGCTTAGTTTAATAGAAATTCTAATTACATCTATTTATGGTTTCAAGCATTTGATTTTAGAACAAATTAATTTTACTGTGCTTCACAGTTAACAACTCCTAGACTGCTTCTGAAATGATATCTAACGAAATTAAATCAAGCAAAGGCTTTAAAACAATTGTGTTTTCATTTTAGATTATGGCTTGTGGGAGGGCGAATTAATTTTTAAGCTTTGTCTTATTTTGCAGACTAATCTTCAGTTCAACAACAATAAATACTACCTGATCCAGCTGCTGGAGGACGACAGCTCAAAGGCTTACAGCGTGTGGAACAGATGGGGCAGAGGTGAGTTTACTGCTCTCTGATTTTGTTTTTATTTGTATGTAAATGTTGGTCATTATGCAAAAAAATATACACAAGAAAGCTTTTCTGAAATGAAATTACTGTGTGGTGACTGAATTAATTCATTTTTTATGTGGTGTTTGTGCAGTGGGTAAAGTGGGTCAAAGCAGCCTCACAGCCTGTGGTGGAGACCTGCTGAAGGCCAAAGATACCTTCAAGAAAAAGTGAGACTGTGTGACTGATTTAAAGAAGGTTGCCACAGGTCTTGCGTGGAAGTGTGCTTAATACAATTCTGCTTTTTTTTCTTTTTTTTTTGCTGCAGGTTCTTTGACAAGACAAAGAATGAGTGGGAGCAGCGAGACAGTTTTGAGAAAGTAGCTGGAAAATATGACCTGGTGTTCATGGACTACAGCACGAATGAAAAGGTACTTTGAAGTTTAAAGAGCCAAAAATATTTATGCCCTTAACATATTTATCCTTAGGACTTGACATCTTGGAAAAAAGCAGCTTCTGTTGTGTTCATGAATGTATTTCACTGTTCCAGGAGGAAAACCAGACCGTGGTGGATGCTGCGCCCAAAAAGAAGACCTCCAAGCTGGATGTGAAGGTTCAGTCTCTCCTGGAGCTCATCTGTGACCTCAAAGCCATGGAGGAGTGTGTGCTGGAGATGAAGTTCGACACGCGGAAAGCTCCGCTCGGTCGGTCTCAATTTGCAAACAAATCACTGCAGAAATGTACTGAAGTGTGTCATGATATACTCTTTTAGTTTGTACACTTTACATCCTCAAAATTTACTTTTCCGCATCAATCATGCGACAATATCATCAAAAGATGCAAACAAGCTCTCAGTTGTGTCTCATGACTGTTTGAATGTATTCCGCTGGTGAAAAAGTGACCAGTATTTCCAAAGCTTTCACTGTTTTGCTTCATGCTGTTTGTGTTTTTCTTCGTACCTTTAGGGAAGCTGACCTCAGAGCAGATCCGTGCAGGTTACACGGCACTGAAGAGAATCGAAGAGTGTTTGAAGAAGAAGGGCAGCAATAAAGAGCTGCTGGAAGCGTGCAACCAGTTTTACACCCGCATCCCACATGACTTTGGGTAGGGAATGTGCAGTTCAACTGTTAACACACTGCTGCATCAGAACCAACGTCTGAATTGTTTACATGGATTCCTGTGTTGTTGTAGCTAAAGAAAGTATTTCTTTTTTAGGTTGAAAACTCCTCCAATCATTCGCTCAGAAGACGAACTGAAGGAAAAGATTGCCCTGTTGGAGGTAAGATTTTTCGAATGAGTTAAGAAGTGCTCCAGTTTGGTGATGTTTTTGTCTTTATCTGCTACATACTGAACCATGTGTACATTTAAAGTCTGTCTGCTTTCTTTTTAAGGCCTTGAGTGACATCCAGATAGCAGTTAAAATGGTCCAGTCCAGTGAGGACAGTGATGAACACCCTCTGGACAGACAGTACCACTCCCTCCAGTGCAAACTGCAGCCTGTTGATTCCAGCAGCAATGAGTACACGGTCAGTGTGTTTTCAATAATTTACTAACCAATTTGCTGAACTTGTATCATGACAGCCAAATTTAAAAAGCAACAGTGGTGGTAACAAGACAGTTGGACGGATTGATTCAAAACAGTTCAGCTTAGTTTGACTCAACCTGTTATTAGCCCTGAAACGGATACAGTCGTCAGTGTTTAGTCAGTCTCATCCGCTATGGCAGCAGTCTTCAACCTTTTTTGCACCACGGACCGGTTTTAAGCAAGAAATTTTTCTACGGACCGGTCATTGCGCACCTAACAAATAATAATTGTTTTTTTTTTTCTATTAAAAAGTTTCATAAATAAATAAAATTACTTTTTATTGCTTAACATGTTTACTTTTTCTCTGTCTCAGTATCAAGTCTCTCCCACTTTCCAAAGCAGCTCTCCTGAGACGTTTGTTTTTGACTGACGGCTTCGTTTAGCAGCCGGACATAAAAACTGACAGTCAAGTGCGGGAAACGAACGAAAACGGAAGTGACGGGAAGACGAGCTAGTCATGTTTCAAAATAAAACACCCTGCAGTCTCTGCTGGAAATAAAAATAAACCAATAAAACGTTTTTATTCTATCTGTGCGGCCCAGTACCAAATGACCCACGGTCCGGTAACGGTCCGCGGCCCGGTGGTTGGGGACCGATGCGCTATGGTGTCCACTTCTACACTGTTTTGTCTCGTCAAACTGTATGTTCGCACTTTGTATTTTACCCTGCAGTACATATTGTCTATTTCATCCCATCATATGCTTTATATATGGCTGAGATGACAATTAAGAGAAAGTTAATTCTTTAAACTTCAACTTGAGCAAATTATTACATTACTTTAATTGCTCACAGTTCCTGATAGCATATACGTAGTCAGATGTCTTTCTGCAACAGAATCCATTGTAGTTAAGGCCAAAAAGGCTCATTTCTCCACTGACAGCCTTTAACTTGTGTGGTTATGAGGGATATCAAGTTTTATTTGCTCACAGTTCTGTCCAACACATGTATTATTTACTGTCTGTTGATACCTGGTAACATTTTACCATATAATACACACTTCAAGTATTGTATATTAGCTGTAGTGCTTGGTTTTACCACCAGGTACTGCAGCGTAACCAATGAACCTCTTACTGTTTAATACTGTGGCAATCAGACCAGGTAGCAGTTCCATGTTGGAAAGCAGAGAGCATTGTGGGAGTTTAGCTAGTAAATGGTACCATGCCAAAGCCTTCTTAATGCCCTCTAGCTTGTGTTAAATCAAGTCAGGATCAAGTGAAGTAGCTTCTCTGTAAGTGTAACATGCACCTTCGTGTCATGTGTTTGTTGAAATTTTGCTGGGTCCTTGAATTGGATCTTAAGATTGGGATTGGGACATTCATCGTGGGTTGCTGCTGGGTTTTGCAATAAATTCCCTCTTCTCTGTGCCAAAGGTGATAGAAAAGTATCTGCAGTCCACTCATGCTTCCACCCACCGTGACTACACCATGACTGTCCTGGACATGTTCTCTGTGGACAGAGACGGGGAGAGCGGCAACTTCCTCTCGCAGATACACAACAGGTTAGCAGGAATGTCATGACTGCTTTATGCTGACTTTGATTTCTGATTTGTCAAGTTAGAGTTAGACCAGACAGACTTTATTGTCATTCAATGTACCACAAGTGCACACAGAACGAAGCTCTGTTGCAATTAGCCCAGCATGGATTTAGAATATAAAAGTATGTGTTAAAATAAAAAAAGTGTATATTAAAATTTAAAGTATATCAACATATACATCAGCAAAAATGCTATAAGGTGCAAAAAATAGTGAAAGTGACCTGTGGAGTTAACAGAAGTGCAAAAAAATGGTTCGTATATGATAAGAAAGTAATTGAAGAGTGCACAGAAGACATGGCATCCAGTATGAGCAGCATAAGTTCCTTGTTTACCTATAAAAAAATGTGACAGTGATGTTGATTAAAATGATGTTTTACTTTACAATGAACTCTGCCTGTTTGTATGACGACCAGAACTCTGCTGTGGCACGGTTCCCGTCTCACCAACTGGGTCGGCATCCTCAGTAAAGGCCTCCGAATCGCCCCACCTGAAGCTCCCGTCACCGGTTACATGGTAGGGATGGAAGAAAAGACACACGTAGACTTGATCGTCTGTTAGTTTGTCTGCCTCAAAAGCAAGTCTGATTTAGAAAATAGCAAAGAAAAAAAAAACAAGACACCGAAGCCAAAGTTGTCAATGTGTCTGTGAACGGGTGAATCAGAAACATGTTGTAAAACGCTTTAAGTACCACTAATGCGGAAAAGCGCTCCATAAGTGCAGACTATTTACCAAAAAATCAGATTTCCACATCATTTTTCACTCAACCAACTCTGATTTGGCCGACATTTTTATAGATAAAAATATGGATATTTATAATAATATTCAAGAAATTTTAGCTTGACTTTCTATATAGAGATTTTTTTTCTATTTTCCCTTTTTTTCACACATTAAAATAATGGTTATGTTGGAATTAAACTATCTCAGGACAAAAGTCTAAATTTTCACAGTTATTTCTCATCGTGTCATTGATTTAGATTATGCAATATTGGACACGAAGATAAAATAATTTGTAATTATTGGTGAGATGAATTAAAAAAATCCCATCTTTAAGCACTAAAATTAAAAATGCAAAAGTCAACTAGTGATGTTTTCTGAACCAAATGTAGCTGCATATCAAAAAAAACCAAAATCATGTATATTAGTTTATATTTTAAAATATTAGGTCAAAAAACATCTTGGAAACTTATCTTTCCACGTATTTGATAAATCAGTCTAAAATTTAACAGATGGCATTTTAAATATTCATAGTTTATGAGAAAAAAGCGTTTCCAGAGAATCAGAGATCGTCGAGCAGGAGGCCCCTGATGGTTTGAGACGGAAAAACCCAGACGCATTCTTGATTTTCAAACTGTATTTCTCCATATTTTTTAAAACATTTTGGCCATTTTCAAACTAAGTGATCCATGATTATGCTGCAAAATATCATCGCCATACATCTTAATTTTCTCATTTCTCTTTCATGCAGTTTGGTAAAGGTATCTACTTTGCTGACATGTCGTCAAAAAGTGCCAACTACTGCTTTGCCAGCCAGAACAACAAGGTTGGGCTGCTGCTACTGTGTGAGGTGAGTTTATCTGAGGTTAACTATAACTATTTTCCTTCAGGTGCTGCAGCAGGAGATTTACTGAGGAAATATCTTCAACAGTCTGCGATGGGTTTTCTTTTTGCAGGTGTCACTTCTGCTATTTGTCGCTCTTACTTGTCCTTCTAACAAGCCGTTCTCTGATCCAGCCAATGAGCAAAGAAGTGCATTAATTGAACGTAATGTCACATGTGTGGCCCAGATGTGATGCAACACGTCATTGGACGGTAATGCTCTTTGTGTTTGTGTGGCTGCAGGTCGCCCTGGGAGACTCCAACGAGCTGCTGGACGCCGACTACGAAGCCAACAAGCTGCCTGCTGGAAAACACAGCACCAAGGGCCTGGGCCAGACCGGACCTGACCCCAAAAACTCTGTCACACTGTTAGTCCCTCTCATTGCTCTGATAAGTACTGATGTAGTTGTGTTTAACTGTTACACACTAAAAACCACTACATCGTCTTGGCGAAAAGGTTTTGCAGTTACATTAGCGAAGACAAATATCAAAATAAATCTTACAGGAAGTAGCCGTTTTGCATGATGCTAGTAACAAATCATTGCTGGTGCCATGGGATAGGTCCTAGTCAGTAGCTTTAGCAGTTTTTCTATTAACTTCTGTCATTGTTCTCATCATCAGAGTCCAACACTCAGCTCAGAGACTCCTCCATCCTCACACAGCTTGTATAGGTTACCTAATCTGTTTAATATACGTTAGGCTTGTTCATTGAGGGCCATGATCAAGCACTGCACAGAAATGTCAGTTTTTAAAAAGAAAAAATTCACAGGAGGCAATTTGGATGTAAACCACTTAAACGAGAGTCAAAATACTAAATGCTGAACTGTGCCGTGTGGTGACTCATCCACTAATGGACTGACCTTCTGCTGCTTCTCCTGCTGTGCTGCTTCTCTTCTGTAGATTCAACACAACTCTGCTGTTATCGCGGTGCAGCGAGCCGAGCGTGAAACAAAGCAGTCGTTTCATTTCACACAACCTTGACGTTAAAGTCTGAGCTGCTTTAATAGAAAATGATGGTTGTTTATGTATAAATAAGATCAACAAATATTAATTGAGCACAAGATTGAAACCTCAAAAAAGCAGCTTTTTTTTGAAAGTTGAACTAAGTGGTAAACTAGTTTTGGCTTCTCGTGAGAGGAATCTGAAACGTTTTGGATGTTTTTAAAAACAGTGAGAATCATTTTAAAGGAAAGTCAGTTTGTACTTAATGTGTTACAAACAACTAAAACGCAACTTTCCCTCGTCTCTCTCTTCCTCAGGGACGGCGTGACGGTGCCGATGGGCCCCGCGAAGAAAACCGGAGTGGGCAAAACCAACAGCTACTCGCTCCTCTACAACGAGTTCATCGTTTACAATCCTGCCCAGACTCGCATGAGGTACCTGCTGCGGATCCAGTTCAACTACTCTTCGCTGTGGTGAGGCTGCAGAAACGGTGTGCTGGTGTGGAATCTGGGAATCTCCTCTCCATCCAGATCTGTTGTTCAGCCATTCTTCACGTGCACTTGGCTCCCGTGTAGCTCTTGCTTTTGGGGATCGGCTGTTGCTGGGTGGGAAACTGAAACACTTGTTTCTGCAGCAATTCACTGATTAGCCAGCTGACAGAAAAATAAGATGTGGATATTCTGATAATCATCATTTCTAGTATGGTTGCATCTCTTCAAACATCACTATTAGCTGCTTTAAAAAAAAAAAAAAAGATTCTAAATTAAATATCTTTGGACTGTTCACCCACTAAAACAATCAGTTTTAATACATTTTTTGCTTTTTGACATTTTCTATACAAATAGACTAACTGACAGAATATGAATTGATGATGAAAAATAAACACTAATTGCAGCTCGACAGCGACGTGACCAGCAGGACTTAACAGATCTGATAGTTCAGTGCATTTCAGTCAGTATGTAAATGAAAACTGGGGGGAAATATCCACAAAACTGACTTTTCTACGGCGGGTTTTCTGCGTTTTTCTCATGTATCACATCATCCTTTATAATGTGAGGACCCTATCAAAACATTTCTTTTGTGGCTTCTACAGCAGGTTTACTAGAGTGGATGGAGGGAAGAAAGTATATAGAACATTTTGCACTATTTTTTTTGTCTGTGTTGCTTCCTATAAGTGTCTGAATATGAGTGAAAGCTATGTTCATTACATTTTGGTTTTAGCATCGGTGCTCCGTGTAACACGATTGGCCTTCTGGATCTAATAAATAATCCGACTTTAAGGACAGAACATAGTGATGGAACTCAAGTTTGATGGGATGAAATGTGTCTTATTAATGTCCAAAAAATAATAATTGGATGTTTTTGTTTCTTTTAATAATTGTTTGGGGTTATAATGCAAAAAAAAAAAAAAATCAACAACTACACGTAAAGCATGTTTTATATTTTTTTATTAATGTAAAAATAAAACAAAGACAGAATTCTGCAGAAACACTGATTCAGTTTTTGTCGCTTAACGCATGATGCAGTTCAGTTATATACATAATGATAATAAAGGACATTTTCTTTCACATTTTGGAGTGTTTACATGTTTGTACAGTTTCACCTCCTTCCCAGGAGGTAGAGGAAGATGAGGACTATGTCGAGGTAGATTGTGAGAGCGGCGCTGATGTATTCCTCAGGATCCAGACGGTAACTAAATGTCCCCATCAACAGCTGACAGTCGATCATCAGGAACTGAGGCAGAGAAGGAGATTCAGAACAGGGTGAGGAATCAGTTAGCTGCTACTCAATTTTTTATCTTTCTGGCGTTTTTTCCTTTGTTAGTCAGGACAGTGAGAGAGTGAGACAGGAAAGGGGGGAGAAGAATGGGGAGAGACCTCACAGCAAACTGTCGCAAGCGGGAGTCGAACTCACGAACGCCACACCGGGGAACTACAGCCCCTGTTCATGGGTCGCCCACTCAACCAGGTGGGCTATAGGGGCGCCCCAGTCAGTGTTTTTTTATCAGGAGTCCTTTGCCTTGTGAGATGTTTCAACACATTCTCAATAACAAAGACGAGGTAAATTATTTAGCTGCTGCAGGTTCAGTGAATGCTGACCCACTGTCACACTGTCACAGCCTCAACGAAACCATTTTTATATCCACTGGCCTTGGTTTATCTGTTTTAAATAGAACTGACTCCTACTTCATGGAAAACAGCTTTAAAGGTAATAAACCATCTTGAATTTCATTTCTAGAGGTGTTAAATGTTTTGTTTGTGTGGGCTATAACTTTACATGTAAGTGTGTGATTTCAGCACAAATTAGCTGGAAGATCCTCGGTATGAATATTCTTCTAACATCAGCTAAAATCCACATCTAAAATTTAATGTGTTATTTTTAAATTATTCGATCCATCCATTTCCTGCTACTTTTCCCAGTTAGGTCCTGGTTAGTGATTTTTAATGACATAAGTAACCCTATCTGACCTACAACAGGAGAAGTTTAGTCACATTTAATGTCAAGACAGTGAGGAAAGAAAGAAAGATTTTATGTTTTTTTGTACAGTGTAAGTAAACTTCTGGTTTCAACTGTTCATATGTTGAAGTCTTTCTCTTACCATTGAGAAGAACAGAGCTCCCAGACATCCGTAGGCAACTTCAGCCACGTACGAGTAATAGAAGGTGCAAAAGAACCCAAACATGATGACGTCCACGGCAAGAATCAACATAAAACCGTAGCAATACGTGAAATCATAACGAGTCTGAAAATAAAACAGAAAAAACTAATTAGTTTGTTTCTCTAATTCATTTGCTGCTGCCTTTGCAATAAAGAGATAAAATATCACAGACTATGACATGTAACTATCTGTGTGCATAAAATGTTGTGTATACCAGTTGCACAACCCACCTACACACCTGGCCTGTGTAAACTTGAATGCTTTTATTACACACATTTCTAAATTTTAAAATCATTTCATTTCCATTTCTAGTTCCAATTATTCTACTTTATTGCACAACCTCCATATGATCCTGCATTTTACTGCACATATTAAATGAGCACATGACGAATAAAACCTGCCAATCTGGCCTCATAAAATAGATTGTACTTGGAATTATGGTGTTTCAGAATTGATTCAGTTTTTGAGACAAGATTTGCACTCGATTTCCTAAATTCTGCACATTTTTAATGAGACCTGGGATTAAAAAGGGACACACTGTAGCTGTCTTCTCTTTATACGTTGGATTACGTTGATAGTTATTGTTTATAGTCGACAAAATGTCAGAAAATATTTTTTAAAAAGTGTCCATCACAGTTTCCTAGAAAACCACGGTGATGTATTTAAAAATCTTGTTTTGGTCGACCAACAATCCAAAACAGGAACTATCAGAAGTTCACAGTGAGATAGAAAGAGGTCTTGGAGGAGCATTTTCCTTGTTTCCTATTAACCTTTATAAGACCATGATGTTAGACCCTGCCAAATAATTTCTGCATAGTTTGTGGTTAGTAGAGCAGATGTACTTATGTTGGATGGATCCACATAATTTATTTAAAATATATGTTTAAAAAAATAGATTGATTTTTCACCAAAATAACATGATATTTTCTTTTTTCCACACACTGAGATTATTATGCCTTCAAACTATCTGTTGGCCATAATGACCATCGTTACATTTGGAGGACAAAGGGGGGAAGCTTGCAAGTCTGAGAACACCATCCCAACTGTGAAGTACGGAGGTGGTAGCATCATGCTGCAGGAGGGACTGGTGCACTTCACACAATAGATGGCATCATGAGGAAAGAACATTATGTGGAAATATTGAAGCAACATCTCAAGACATCAGCCAGGAAGTTAAAGCTTTAAACGGGTCTTCCAAATGGACAATGACCCTAAACATGCCGCCAAATTAGTTACAAAGAGGCTTCATGGTCAAAAAAAATATATAGATTTTTCACCAAAACAAAAAAATTCTAAACTGAAGGTCAATGAAACATCTGCACGTGGTTTTAAACACATATTGCGATCGTTTGGTCAAGAAATGCAGCTTTTCACTCAGTCCTGCTTGTCTAACCTGCGCTGAGAAGGCGATGATTGCGACAGAAATGGCCAGCGTCACTCCCATAGTGACGACCACAGCGATGGTGTTGTGAAAGGAGGCCACAGTTCCCACCATGTACGACAAACTCAGGGTGACGACAACCTGAAGACACAAAATTCACCGTATTACACATAATGACACTGTGTGAACTTCTCCGTCCCGCGCTGGTGTGTTAGGATCCAGTTCATTTGTTTTTTCTTTCACATTCAGGTGCTTAGTTTGCACTTTGCTCTGCATCAGGTGCAGTATTGAACAAACAAAATGTAAATTAACATGTCAATAAAAACCACAGCTGAATCTGTGAGAACAGCTTTAGAAGAAGCTGAGGTTTTCTTTTGAGACAGAATTCTGAGAACTCATGTGAATGTTTAGGGAACATTTAACCGCCAAAGAAAACTGATTTGATTTCATACTGAAACTTCTTTTGTCAAGTAGTTCTTCCACAAAATGCTTTCAGCTGAACTGGAAGCAGAAAGTGTTTCACTTCTCTGTCCAGGATGTGACTGTGTGATATCAGGTGTTTCATATCCAGTATTTATCTCCTTTTAGAGACATGGTTCCTCTGTTATGGATATTATTTTTTACTATCAAACTATACATTGAGGATCCCATATCTAACCCTGCTGCAGGGTGGTGCAGTTGGTAGCACTGTTGCCTCGCAGCAAGAAGGTTGTCGGTTCGCGTCCCTGTAGAGCAGGGGTCTCGAACTTCGGTGCTCGAGGGCCGCAATCCTGCAAGTTTTAGATGTTTCCCTCTTCCAACACACCTGATTCAAATGATCAGGATCGTTATCAGGCTTCTGCAGAGCTTGATGATGAGCTGATCATTTGAATCAGGTGTGTTGGAAGACGGACACATCTACAACATGCAGGATTGCGGCCCTCGAGGACCGGAGTTCGAGACCCCTGCAGTAGAGGCACCAGGATCTTTCTGTGTGGAGTCTCCATGTTCTCCCCGTGCAGCGTGGGTTCTCTCCGGGTTCTCCGGCTTCTTCCCACACAGTCCAAAAACATGGTGAGGTTAATTGGTGATTCTAAATTGTCCGTAGGTGTGAATGTGAGTGTGCTTGGTTGTCTGTCTCTAAGTGTAGCCCTGTGATAGACTGGTTACCTGTCCAGGGTGTCTCCTGCCTTCGCCCTAAGTCGGCTGGGATAGACTCCAGCCCCCCATGACCCTAGTGAGGATTAAGCGGTGTATAGATAATGGATGGAGGGATATCTAACCCTAGTTATTTTGGGGGTTTTATGCTCCTGTATTTGAAGAGTTCAACAACAATTAACTCTGCCTTCACAAATCTGCAGAAAACTCACCTTTCCATTTGTCTACCTGAGACAATATCAATCAAACTTAAGTTATCTCCATTTTTGTCATGTCATTTCTACTGAGTCAAATCCACTCAGCTTTAGTTTGATTGATCCTCTTTCAAGCAATCAACAATAAAAAGTTTTCTGAAAATCTACAAAAATGGAGTCATCTGTTTTTGCAGATGAACTCCTCGTTTGTAACCCACCAGCCCCACGATGTTCCACGGGTGCCGGCGGCGGAAGGACTTGCAGAGGCTGAGGACGAGGGCGACCACCAGGAAGATGATGAAGGAGCTGAAGTAAACCCACAGGTTGTCCTGCACGGCCTTTTTGACCTCGCTGGAGAAGGTGAACACGCACACCACGCTGAAGGTGAAGAGCAGCTGCAGGGTCACGATGCTGAAAACCTGCACGCGTGCGGAAAAGACAGAAGACGGCACTTAAACAAATGAAAAATGAAAAACTTCATCACCAGATGAGAAGAACTGTGGATGTGGGTGGTGCAAAGCTCATAAACAAACTGATCTTTTGAGAGAGTCAAAATGCGTAAAACAGTAAAAGCTGGCAAATATACTGAGGTGTAAATCCCTGCATTACTTTTTAAATTTTAGTTTTAATCATTGTTAGTGTCCTGATGAGACAACGTCACCCATCATGTCAGAAAACAAAGATTAAGGCAAAAAGATAAAACTGAATCCTTAAGCTTCTGGACTCTTCTTCTTGGGTTTTGATTTGGTTCTCTACTCTTCAAGAACCAAAAAGAGAAGTCCAGTTGCTTTTTGCTGAAGCTCTTAGGATTACCTGGATGACTGACAATCCACACAGAAACATTTTGTGTCCCCCCCCAATTGCTGTAGACAACTAAAGTCAAATATATCTCACATACGTTGCTATCATTCAGTCGTCAAACGTGGGGAAACCGAGACTACAAACCTTCCTGATGAACCCTCTCCTCACTGTCCTGTCATCGAAAGAAGACGAGGATATAAGTGGAGTCGTGTCGGATGGGGCTTCTGGAATTATGTCGCAGAAAGACTCATATCTGCCTGAGGGCTGATAGGCGCAGGTGGTGTCAGTTTTGGATGGATCGTAGGTCGCCGGGGCTGCAGAGTAAGCTGGAGGCTGCTGTTCTTGGTAGGTATACGGTGGTGGTGGTGGTGGTGGTGAGGAGACATCACAACTAGGAGGTGTCTGTTTGGATTCAGAGGCGTCCGCTGCAGCCGACATTCTGGATGAAACTGAGGAAAGAAATCAGGTTAACTTATGTAAAAGATGAAACCACAGATCTGGGATGTGTAACAGCAGAGGTGGGTGGTTCTGAGTTTACAGAACTACCCTCAAAAGTAAGACGTACAGAGTAAATCTGGTGTCTAAACTACTAAAAAAAAAAAAAGCCTGTTTTAAAGGCTAAGAACGAGTCGCTGGAGCAGAAGCTTTGGAGAGAAAACCAAACGGCAGTTTCTCTCAATGACTGGACAAACTTGTGACAAAGTTCATCTGTAAATTGAGAACACTGATGACAAACATCAGAAGCAGGAAGTGTCTGAGTGAGGGCGTCTGCTGTAGTCAACCATATAATGATTAATGTTTGCAAAAGACAAAAACAAAACACAGATCATACCATAAATGTATGACGCACTGTGTAAATGTGGCATCTAAACTGCTGAAAACGGTTGATTTAAAGGCCAACAACACGTTTCACAGTCAATCAGTAAGTGCCGATAAATCATTGACGAGAAATGAACGTTGGGGAAAAACCAAATAGCAGTTTCTCTCCTGTCCTGTCTTTTTATTATCAGTTTATGATTTAGCGAAAAGCTGTTAACTTCAGCCACACACACATGATGCTTACGTCAGACTTGCTGCTGACTCGTTGCTTAACAGTGAAGTTGACTTTAGGAAGTAAAACTTGAGCTGAGGGGCCCCTTCGCTCGCGCAGTTCTGGGAAAACCAATGTTGGGCCATTCAAATTTGTTCAAAAGATTTAACTCAAAGCAATATAGTCAAAGTAAATTATCACAAGCACCACAGCAAAGTGTGCTGCCACTTTCAGTGACAGCAGCACGATGATTTTTTACAGTAGGTTAAACTGGACTTGTGTCGTGTTTTCTTTATTGTTTTTTCATACTTCTTCTGTGAAAAGGGCTCCGTAAATATACATTAAAGCACTTGTGAAAGGAAGCAGGCCACTAGAAATAACCATCAGTTCATGCAAATGTTTGAAAAGAGAAACGAAACTACTTGACATTTACCTGACATTAAAAAACATTCTACGACATACTATAGAGATGTCTCTGATCTTACTTATATTTACTTCACTTTTTTTGAACATATTTTGAGGAGCAAATCATTTCTGAGCAATAAACATTGAAATAGAGATTTTTTTAGGGAGAAGCTTTACGTCCAGACACTTGTCTCAAGAGATCCAGTTACTCTTGCGATACACGACTGTACATCCTTTTTAATTCAGATTTTCAATTCAGTTTTATTTGTGTAGTGCATATCTACAACAACAAGTCATCTCATAGCGCTTCACAAAGGCAGAGACAGAAACACCCAACAATCCAAAACATCTGGATTCCCTATAAGCTTCAGCAGTCTGTAGCAGTGGGAAGGAACCGAAAACCCCCGCAGGGGAAAAAAAACCTCCGACAGAACCAGGCTCAGGGAGGGACGGACATCTGCCTCGACCGGTTGGGTGGATTTTCCATCCATCCATCCATTATCTATACACTGCTTCATCCTCACTAGGGTCATGGGGAGCTGGAGTCTATCCCAGCTGACACCCTGGACAGGTAACCAGTCTATCACAGGGCTACACTTAGAGACAGACAACCAATCACTTACTTTACTTATTATTTTAGAAATCTCAAAACCTCAACAACAGTATAGCAATTGTAGAGAAAAATGTCAAAATATCTGCTGTGTGATCTGAGTGAATCGACCCTTCTGTGAGTGTTACAAGCTGACAAGTAAACAGGATATTTCCTTATGTCTGTAAATGAGAATAAAGTCAATGATCTTCCTACCTCTACTGCTGGATTACGCTCCACGAACAACCACTCAGTCCTGTGTAAGGAGGAGGAAGATGCACAGCAGTTATCTATTCTATCAACCTGTGGCGCAGTGTTTCACTTCCTGCAAGCTAGAAGTGCTGAAAAGGATTTGTGTCTGACATGTGACGCTCAGAAACTCCACTGTTGTGTCAGAGTAGATTAGCAGTCGTTAAACTGTCAGGGCGACATCTAGGAAGCAAAATCCTTCCGGTCAGACTGGAGTACAATGAATTACACACATTTACTTCTCTGTGAGGTTCTTTTTTCTTTACTGTTTTCCAGTGAAGGACAAAACTCGTGGAAATCTGGGCCTGCTTTGATCAGATTATTATCTGTGTTTTGGGGAAGCTGATCTCATAGTTGAGGAACTTTTTGTGTTGCTAAAGAGATTGTAGGTGCAGCCTGTTTCCAGAAAACTGAGTCACTGCCCACATCTGAGGTTTTGTTTGTCAGTACTAACAGAAAGTAAATGAGTTCAGTCTGGTTACGGTATTGGGTTAAGTGTGTCCTAATACTGCAGTGTTTTTTTTAATACCTACTGTCACTAACCGGTAAATACAACCCAACGCAGCCTTTCTTCAGATATTAATGGTACTTTCTATTTCACAGGCTTAATAATGTCTAATGTTTTCTTATTTGTATCCAGCTAAGACTCTTTCCATTCTTGATTTCAGGATTTTTCAGCCGCCCCTGTCTTTGCAGCAACTCTGAGATATTTTTAGGTTGTCTTGCACACGCAGCATGTTTAAGATCTGCCCACAGATTTTCAGATCAGGACACTTTGTTATTTCTTCAACGAGTTTGTGGTGGATTTTTTTGTGTGTGTCTGCTGTGAATTGTCGTCCTGCAGGAGAAGCAGGAATCTTTTCAGTTTCACTTTCTGACTGGATGACACCCAGAGTTGCTGATATTTTGTGGATTCCGTTCTTGCCCCTATTGGAGCAAAACCGGCTGTCACGCAACACCTAAATACTTCTGCTTAAAGCTTGTGTTTCTGACAGCTTATCCATGCTGGCTTATAAGCTCAAACTCAGAGTTTAGGATGTTGAGCACAGAGGAAATGATAATGGAAGATCATGCAATACAGTCAGAAGCAAAATGATCAATTCTGAGCACAAAACAACAAAAAAGTCAAAAATGCATTTAGATTGAATTCTGTTCTTGCTGAATCAATTCTGCAACTTCAAACAAACCCTGTTATCAAAAACATAAATGACATCCCATTAGATTAGAAAGTTAAAGGCACATTCATGAAATTGAAACTATTTATTTACAACTAATAGTGTTAGAGGGAGGAATTTTTTCAAACTTTAGCATTCAGGACCTGAAATGAAAATCAAACTGTAAGTCACTCTGGGAATTAGTAACTTAATTGGCATTATTGTGTTATTAATTCATTTTTAACTAATCAGTTTAACTTTTTGGCATTTAAAAATATTAAAGGTTTTTTAAAAAAATGTCTGTTTCCGTTTCCCGGAGCACAAATTTGACATTTTTAAATGTCTGACTAATACTCTTAAACCCCCAAAATACTAATTTTAAAGTGATTTAAAAACCAAATTTTGTTGTACTTTGTGTATGATGACAATGAAAGCATTCTATTCTATTCTTCTTAAAGCAGCTAATCCTTACATTTTGGCTTAATAATTGACGATTGTTTTGCCGTTAAAATCTTTTAAAAGTTTTAAATATTTTTGCAATCCTGATACTCTCATGTCACTTAAAATTGTAGAACTTATTTAGAATTAAACTCCAAATGTTGTTGTTTTTTTAAAATTTAATTGTAACATATCCAACCTATTACTGTAGCTCAGTTTCATTTAACTGCTCAAACAGAAACGCCTCGACACTTAAAAATCACACACAAAACAGACGTCGACAAAACATCTCTCACACATATTTATTTGTAAAAAATACATATAAAAACAATTTCTGAGACATACAAAAGATCGGAGCTTAGAAACAGTATATTGAACAGACAAGGACCAAGCCATTTTCTTGAATTGCATTACATATTTACAATTTAATAAATAAAATTCAATTTGTTTTTATACCAGAGTAAAGGCAGATTGTCCATATCTCGGGGATGCAGATACCGTTGTGGTGACTCTTTGAAAAAAAACCAAAAAAAAAAAACCCCATTCTCATCTAATACGTTGGCCTCTAATCACAGGGCAGACTCGGCGCCCTGCGATTTGAAAACCGAGGATTTAGGGACATTTGTACAAAACCCCCACCCCCCCCAAAAAACACCGTCCTTGGTTGGAGAGTTTACATACACAGCGTTTAGCTAGCATTGGTAAAAATTGAGGTATTGCACCACACAGCTTAGAAGGGGGGTAAGAAAGTAAATGAAAGTCACGTGGGGGTTTCAGATTGTCTGGTTTCATCTGTTTTTTTTTTTGACAACCCGACCTCCACCAACACAAACGCCCCACCCCCACCCCTCCCAGCCAAAGAATACAACATCATAACTTATCACCACAACAAATGTAACATCTAATGATCAATGCACCTCTGTCGTCTGCACTCTCTCACGCATTTAAACCCCCCCCGCCCCCCATCCCGATCTCCCACACAATGCGCAGACAGACTTTTGGCATTATTTTTCTATTCTCCAATACAAAATATGAGAAACATGCACAGGGCTGCCCTCTAGTGGCGGGACAAGTCGTAGCACCTCAGACAGCAGAACACCAGGGACCAGGAAAAAAAAAAAAAGTTAAAAGAAAACCAAAACTGAGGCTGGGGGTTGAACAAACTCGCCGGCACGGAGAGTTAAACACGTTAAAACAGACTCTCAGCAGACGGCAAAAGCAACCACGTTTTTTTTTTTTTTTGTTCTTTCCGCTGGAGTTTCCACTGGCCTGTGCAACAACAACCAGACAGCATGTGTCGAGCAGCCTCACGGTCGGGCTTCAGCCTCGATTCAAAAAGCCCTAAAATAAACACTACGAATACCTGCTTGCACAAGAACCCCTTCACCAGGCAAAGGCAATCAACACACACACACACACACACACACACACACACAAAAGGCAAAAGGAAAGCCATTTGAACACATTTAGCAATAATCATGAGCAATGTGATATTATCATAGCTAAAATCCTCCCCTTCAAAAAAACAAAAAAACAACAGGGGGAAAGGGGAGGGGGCTGCTTATGTAATAATTAACCATCAGCTGTCCATAGCCTCCAGTGTTGTGGAGCGAGGCAGATACCACATGGTGTAAACATGCCCCCAAGAATACATCCCTCCATCCATCCGTCCCTTTATCCCTCCCCAGATCTGGCATTGATTTAACCAGATGGCGAAACTGACGCTTAGGGCCTGGTCCAAAAAAAAAAAAACAAAACACAAAAAAATAAATCCGAACAACCCCCTTTGAGAGGAGGATGAGGAGGGAGGAAAGGGGGACAGAACACCCAAACCAAAGTACAACCGGACCACGTGAGCCACCATGTCGCGTACCAAAGAAAAAAAAAAAGCCACATGTGACAGGATGTTTGCGGCTAAGAAAAAAAAAAACACGTTTTATAAGTTGTAACCCGCTTGACCAAGCAGACGTCTGGGCAATTTACAGTAAACACACACACACGCTTTCTCGATTATACAGCCGTGCTCGGGACGTGTACAGTCCCTGGTCATCATCAGAACGCATACGTACAAACACGCAATCTTATCCCAGACCGTACGTCAAAAAAGAAAAAGAAAGAAAATCAGCCTTGAGGGACAAAAGTGCTCAAATTGGTGCCAACACCGGCGCTACTATGGCCCTATGAAATACCTAAAAAACACTCAGCAAGTAGCAGCACATTAAAGTCAGCGCTAACTAACAACCTACAGGAAACCGACTGACTGAGAAAAAGAAACAAAAGAAAACAAAAAAAGCCCCCAAACTTCCCCTGAAATGTTTACAGGTCATAGAAAACAGAGAACACCTAATAACGGCAGCCCCCATTCACCAAAGACAAGCCCTCAACCTCCAGCTCGATCCAAAGTAAAGCGACGTTTATGTGGCAACAGTTTCAGGCTTTCAGTGTGAGGTTTGGTTCATTTGGGGTGAGCCGAGGAAAGAAAACATTCATCCAATGTATGACATGGAACAATACTCTTTTTGCAAAATACTTGATAAAATGATCGATCCGGTTCAGAAGGGAGGGAGAAAAAAAAAGTACACAGGAGAGGATCCAGAGTCACAGTTAAGACAATTTCTTCTTTTTGTTTTGTTTTGTTTTGGCGTTCCTCCCCAGGTTCAAAATCATTCTGGGATGATAACTATGTTTGTTTTTTTTGTATTGTTCCGCGGGTTCAAGTCCACAGAATAGACGGGAAACGCCATTGTTCCTGTTCCAACGAGGGTCTCCACCACGGATCAGAGACGGAGCAGCTGCTTTTCGCCGTTTGGGAGTTTGGCGTTAAATGGTTCGAGATCAAATCGATCGATCCGAGCGGAGAGCGCCCGGTGCCGCGGGCTGTGGCTTCCTCTCAGGATCGTCTGTTCTCCACTCAAATGTTTTGCGGTTTGCGTCTGAGAAGGGACAGTGGGATTTTGTTTGTTCAATTACATGTTGTTATTTGGATTTTTTTTTAATATTGGGATTCAGTGTAGTCTCCTGTAAGAGAGGGGAAGAAGAAAAAAAAGAGTGGACATTAGACATAATATTTAAATTTAACTGTATTTGAATAAAGTCTGCGACAAGGCTGGACAAATGGTTGAAATAAAAGTCACATAAACACAACATTGTAGTGTGACTGCTCATATCATGACATGCATTAAAAACCATATAAAGTATTTCAACTGCTGTTCAGTGAAGCATCTGCCAAACAAAACCCTCCTAAAAATATTGTTGCGCTTTTAAGTGTAGTTGAACGACATGACAAACTCCGAAAAGACAACAAATATGATGTGTCAGCATGTTTCTTTTAGAGCTGCAACGATTGATCAACAAATCAATCAGAACTGCCAAACAGTCACTGGTTCATTTGGGGACTTTCTTACGTGGTAATAAACTGATTATCTTTGGTTGAACTAAAACGAGACATTCTCTACTGTTTTCTGTTAAAATGATCAAATTAAAAAAAAGCAACCACCAGATAAATCAATACTGGAGCGAACTGTTGATTACAGCTGTCATAGATAAACGAGAAAACAGTTCAGATTAACACCCAACCCTTCAGTTTCTTGTGGGAACAAGAAATGATTGTTGCTATGGATACAGTAACAGCTTTAAAAAAAAAAAAAAATCAAAACTTTTATTGAAAACTCAACCTTGACTTAATGCACTTCACAGCTGAAGAATGTTGATGTCGATGTGCCATAAACTGCATTTGATTTTGTAAAACTACAGACACACACATGCAAACAAAAACCTGGTGGGAAATCTACCTTCAGATTTACTTATTTATGCTTTTGTTTTTGGACTAAAACATGAAACGTGTTAAACCATTTACTGACCAGCAAAGTTCTTCCATCAGTTGTTGTGTTTGAACATGTTGCATTGAAGGACTTCAGTGTCTTTTGCTAAATGAAATAATTTGATAATGACACCAAATATGCAGCTGTTGTTTCAGCACCCGTAAGGGAACATTTCAACGTATTCCATCCATGCATTATCTATACACCGCTTAATCCTCACTAGGGTCGTGGGGAGCTGGAGTCTATCCCAGCTGACTCAGGGTGAAGGCAGGAGACACCCTGGACAGGTCACCAGTCTATCACAGGGCTACACTTAGAGACGGACAACCAAGCACACTCACATTCACACCTACAGACAATTTAGAATCACCAATTAACCTCAACATGTTTTTGGACTGTGTGGGAGGAACCCGGAGAACCCACGCTGCACGGGGAGAACATGCAAACTCCACGCAGAAAGATTCCAGTGCTCCCACCAGGACGCGAACCGGCGACTTTCTTGCTGCGAAGCAACAGTGCTACCAACTGTGACACCTTGCAGCCATTTCAACTTATTATGTGGCCTAAACAAAAACTAATCAGTTAATACTGGATATTGATTATGTCTATGTGTCTGTAGGTGCTATGATTGACCGATAATTGGTGTGGCCAATTATCAAATCTGATATTCTGCAATCCCCAGTAAAATAAAATGAATGTTAAAATGCCCTAGTTTGGATTTAATGCTGCAGCTTTTCACTCTGTCGTCACTTTGTGGTTTCAAGCAGTGTTACATTCACAGCAGTATATGATTTGTTACTGTGAGAATCACCACTGAAGGATAAATGCTGAAAATGTCATGCCATACCTAATGAATTCACTACAATTGTACTTTTGTGGGGGCACTACTGGCCATATTTAATTCCACTGTCCCTTTTTATTTTTACTATACAACTGCATGTCCTGGTGAGCGTGGCGCGTATGTACCTGAGTCGGGTTGGTCACTGTGCAGAATCCATGTGACCTGTGAGTCAATCGAAGGGATGTTCGGGGCAGCAGGGCTTCACCTTGGACCAGGAGTCGATGCAGCTGCGGAGGAGACAGAATCCGATTTAGGCTTTGTGGGTGGAGGCAGCAGAACAATGCACTCTGATTAACTCGTGCTAATGTGGCAGAAGCTCAAAGGTGTGTTTTTGATTGTGGCGTCTCCCTCGAGGCCTAATCTACTTACTGTGAGCGCGAAACCAGATTAAATGTAATCACTGCAGCCGGCTGTGAACAAGTTTAAGGCCGGAGGACCACAGACATGAGAAGGGCCGGTGCTCAATTTGATTTGGTTTAATTATTGACTTAAAGCTGAAACAATTAGCTGGAACACAATCAGTAGATAAGACAGAATAAACATTAAGTACTTGTGGCTTTGTCTCTCCTTTGTTGGATAGTTACCCGAGTATATTTGAGCTTCTATTGATCCAATACAATATAAAGACCACATGCAGACATTTAGATTACTGTGGTGCCATTTTTTTACTGTCTGCTGATAATTCATGAGTCAAATGACTAATGGATTAAATAAAGAACATAATTGGCATGTTAATCAGAAATAGAAATATTACAGCCCAACACTAATAGGTGGGTTTCATAGTTTAAATTAAACAAAATAAAATAAAATAAAAAGTGTAGCGTGTAATGATTTTAAGCTTCGCCACTTTTTTGCTTCTAAATTTCCAGGAGTTTTCCAAATCTCAGTTTGTCAGTGGTTGGATTAAACTTTCAGTTAGGGATTATTCAAACAGCTGCACCTAGAAACCGTGGTGCAAAAAAAATGGAAACACACAAAAGACTTGAAGAACAAGAGACAGCTTGTGTGCTTCATGTGAAATTACCTCTCATTACAGCCTAAACCTGAATTTCTATTTTCTCTCACCACAGTTAAACATTATGGTTCCTGCTGGGTGAAAAAGGAATGTGGATTTTCCAAGTCTGTCGGCATTTAAATCTGCCTAAACACATAATAATGACATAACTTTGACAAACCTGAAAAGAAGAAGAAGGAAAAAAAAAAAAAAAAGCAGACAGGACCTTCCCTATGATGGATTATGTAATTCTGGTAAATCCTTACTGTGCTGGGAAACCAGTCGCCCTTTGGAAGTTCGGAAAGACCGAGTGTTGAACATTACAGCGTGCTTTGAAAATGAGACCTTGTTTTGCAGTAAATGGGCTGAAACAGGCGAAAACACTGGTGGTCCTTTTACAGCTTCAGAGCAATTTATTTTTCCAAGAATCTTACAAAACTCTGGTGGATCTGTGAATACGTCTAATTAAAATGCAATGACGGCGCAGTTGTTTTCACAGTTGTAAAAGCTCTCGTTGGCAAATATTTGATTCCTTTTTTAAAATAAATTGTTAAACTACAGAATCACAGACAAACATTTACTCAGCTAAGCAACGTGAACACATATTTGCTTTTATCCACCTTATCTTATTTCCAAAATAACGATTCTTAACGACTGTAACTCTGCAGTGGTTGCTGAGATAACTTCAGAACGTTATATCACGGGAGAGGACGATCGGTCTGTATTTATCAGAAGGGGCCACTTTGTATGTTCACGAGTACAAAACAATTTTTACTTCCTTAGACCGGCTACCACACTGTTTTCAGATCTGGAAATAGATTTCTCTGGCCCAAATTCTGAGCTGCCATTTTTTAATCTCACCACTAGCACAGACGTATCTTTATCTGCGTATATGCCGTCCTGTATAAAAACAGATCACAATACAGAAAAAGATGCTTGGGGTTATTCTGAAGTGGTGTCGTCTTGTAGTTTGTCCTGCACCGATGCTAACGTTTACAATCAGAGTACACAGTGGTGCGGAGTAAAGCAGCGTCTTTATGGAAAGCTGCTAACTAGTGGGTGAAATATTTTGCTGGAAAATTAATATACAATGATGACAAAATTTGTCCTTTTCAATACAGCTGAAAAAATATATAGTTTCATATATTAATACCTTAATGTCTCACTCCCTACAATCGCTATCAGTCACAAAAAGGCTCTGTTTTTACCCTCTGTTGTTTGGTTTTGTCTGCCCTGGATTCTACTGTAGTGCCATACATCAACTGAGCTTTTTTTTTTTTTTACCTCTTATGGTAAACGCAGAGGCAAGCCAGCCTGGCGATGGTCTCTCCCTGTACCAGATCCTCCAAACAGATGGAGCACTCTCCGCTGTCTTTACTGAGAACATCCGCTGTAAACACACACACACACAAAGCAACAATAAGTATATCTAGCATATTTTTAAAAAAACAACAACACACAGCTGTTGGGGGCATTTCTGTGATATGATACTCACTATTGTAAGGTAGGGGAGGAGACGTGAGGCAGCTCAACAGGTGATCCTCAATCCGACCCCCAGGGAAAGGCTTCGAGCAGAAAGGACAGCGGATATCTAAAGGGGGGAGGCGGGGAAGAGACACAACGGCTGATATTAACACAGTGTGTCACAGCCAGATATAAATGATGGATGATGCACACATCACGACGGGCACACGTGCTGCGTTTGGACATCTAGATTACACAGGCCGACACGGCAAAGCAATGAGCAGACGGAAACACGGTCAGCCAAGTAGAAATGCTGTGTTCTCATTCCAGAGATAGAGCGAGCGATGTTACCGCAATGTAACTGACCTGAAATAGCTTTATTTGACTGTATGCACTGCTCAAAACAGTGACTCAGGCCCGAGGGAAAGCCATGCATGGACGGGGACAGACAGGCAGAAACGCCGCCTTTGCTGCCCTACATTCCCCCCTCCTCCATCTCTGAGCGGCTGCCAGCAGCGAGCGGGCATGTGAAGTTGTGACCCATTTCCCTACACTTGCTAGAGGGCTGGCCCGGGAAAACCCACCACACACTGCTGCGTTTTGGCTCAAAATGTCACGTTTGCCGTCACATCACCACTTTCCCTGTGAATCTGATTATCTAACTCAAACAGACGTTGCATTACCACTTCCTTTGCAAACTCATGTTTCTCATTTTAATGCAGTTGAATAAGAGGAAAAACAAAAAAAAAGACAGTTGGTTGCTTAATGTTTTCGACTTGCACGCCGCTGGATGTGCCACTGAAAAACACTGTCAGCGGGAGTTGTGACATTAAAGAGCTTGTATGTCACCACTTCCAGTTTTACGCCACAGTTCTGCTTCATACAATAGGGTCTCTGATGCTTTCAGTCAGCCTGCAAGCACGGGAAAAGAGATTATCTGTTCAGGAATGTAAATTCCTCAAATAATCCATTTTAATTTCAGACTGGGCAGATTGAGGGTTGAACTGGAATATATTTTGATGGAGTGACATCCTAGAACAGCGTAGCTATTTTCCTTTGCTTGAAAGGCTGCCTTGGAGTGAAAGTTATATATTCAAGAAGACTGAGTCAAGTTGTCAATGAATACCCCGACCTACTACATGCCTTTCCTTTCTGTATCACTATGAATTTCTCAGAACCAGTCACCCACTCCTCTTCAGTTAAACATCAGTTGTGTTATAATAGCATCAACAGTCATAACACACATTCCTGCATTATTTTTTTTTTTAACTTTTGTATTGAGTAACTTAATTTTGCTGATATTGTAAAGCTCTAATACACCCATGAATTCCATATTTTAAATGGGTTATTGCATGTTAAACATGTAAAAGCAAGGCAAACCACAACCACCAGGCAATTACCAGACAATTGCTACTCATGCGGCACAAATATTGAAAACTGCATGCACAGATAATACTGCTGCACTGAGTTAACATGTTAACTTACTGCCATGACGGTTGTTAACGCGGTACAGGCCGATCCAAGCCTCGGACACCGGCCGCTGGTGCGTGCCTCGGACCCGGGCGGATCTTGCGCCAACGCTGCGGGTGGAAGAGTGGCGATTCCCGGGCAGCCGCTCGGAAAAGGTGCGGTGGGGTGTGCGGCCTGTCTCCTCTCCGGGCTGGTGCTCTGCGTCGACGGCAGCCTCCGGGCTCACGTTGCCGTCTTCCTCGGGTTTCCCCTCGCTGTTGTTGTCGTCGGCGGGTGACGCTTGGCTAATGCTGGAGGGGATGCTGTGGTGGTCGGCGGGGCTGCCGTCGGCGCTCGCCCCATGCTGCCCCAGGTCCGAGTCGCTGCCTTCCTCCGATCGGCTCCGGTTGGCCTCCGCGTACTCGAAGCTCACAGAGACGTCGACAACGAGGCTGGTGGGCCTGGCGCAGCGGGGTCGCCGGTAGGAATCCCGCTTTGTGCCGTCTTTCCCGAAAGCCGAGGGAACCGGGTCCTCCTGGAGGCGACTTGCTCTGGTCCCCATCTCTGTAGCAGGCTAGCTAACCGCCGAGCTGCTTCCTCAAGGCGAATCACCAACTGAACAAGGGGACGAGGTTAACCTCGAAACGACCCTTAAACCGTCAAATACTCGGCTGGGAGCTTTAAATAATAACCACAGCCTCGTTACCGAGCATCTGCGAAGAACACGGTGGTGGTTCGATGCTGTTTCTCCGGCCTCAGTTTGTCCTTTCTGTCCACATTTTCCTTTCTTTTTGGACGTGCCCGTTCTCGCTGCTGCAGCGGAAATACAGCATTTTCGCTTCCTCTTTGAGCGGCGCACGAATAGTTACGGTAACGCCACGGTGTCACCGGAAGACTTTCTAATTAAAACAATAAACAACGCAAACACATTTATATACGTTTTTATTCGTCTATAATTACTTTTTTCTCTCAAATTCTGCTTTTGTTTTACTTTAAATTTAATATTTTTTTCCATACGCGCCCATATGGAAGTTATTACGGTAAAAAAGTACACAATTAACTGACCAATCAACGCCGTCCATATTTCTGAGTAACCAAGCAGCTGCACGGATGAGGACATTTACTGGAAATCAGCAGCTGCACTTGGCTTCCCAAACATTGAACAAGACCGCAGTGCATTGAACTATCATCTTATGACCAGAAGACACGTTTGTTCAGAGTAGTTCTCTGCCCGTGGAGGTCAACTGTGGGTTTTGCGGTGAGTTTTCAGGGTTTAGCGTCGGTGCTAGCAGCTAACCACCACGCCTATGCAAACTCTTGAGTCATTGCAAACAAGTAGGAAGCTGCTTCACCAACGTTCAATGCTGACTAATATCACAGCTGAGTTCGTTTGTGGCGGTGGAATTCAGTGGTTGATGTGTTTTTTTTAATGTCTGATACTCTTTATATTCATGTAAATATATGTCACAAAGTGATTTAGCAGCACCAAATACTTTAGCTTTGGACTTTGGAGTTGCAGCTACTTGATCTGTGTTTTAACCTTGTCTGTGAGTATAAAGTGTTTTCCTTTTAGCTCGAGCTCATGTTTTGGTGTGCACAAGGCTCCTTTTCTTCATGCTTAATTCTTTTCCATTGGCTTTGCTCCATCATTCATTCATTCTTCATGTTATCTACAGAGCTGCTATGATTAACCATTAGGTGTCAACGAGTAAATCAACCATCAGCTTATTTAATAGCTAATAAACTGGTTTGAGCATTTTTTTGATTGTAGACTGTAAAGTGGATTAACTGATAGTTGGAGATTGCAGGATAACTTGGAGCATTTTTGATTTCTTTCCTCTTCTGTGACATTAAGCTGAAAATCATTGGCTTGTGGGGAAAACAAGACATTGAAGGGAAACATGGGACACACAAATCAACATTTTCCTCCATTTTCTGACACTTTATGACCACACAACTAATTGATGGAAACTCATATATTGACAATAGATATCCCTATAAATGTGTGTCCTAATGAAACTCCTTCCATTATGTTGTTGCCTGTTGGGTGTTGTTCTTACACTTTTCAGACTTTGTTCCCTTGTTGTGGACGGTTTTATTGAGCAACACACCCTAAAGTGCAGCAGTACAATGCTAGCTCAAACAGCAGAAAGAATGCTGCTGAACTGCTTATTTCAGTACTTGATGAAGTGTGGGATTAAAAGTGTTTGTAAATGAGAGGAGAGGCTTCGGTTTGACCTTCTGATTGATGTGTTTCTCCACAGCGATGAGGGCGCTGACTTTACAGCAGGTCAGCGTGGCTCCAGGAGAGCAGCAGCAGCAGCAGCAGCCGCCGGCCACATGTGGACGAAGCTTGTCCTCCAACTATTCTCCACCGAATCTGGAGAATAAGTTCTTGGCTCAGACCACGTTGGTGATGCCCCAGCCTTGCTCTTCACTCATAAACTTTGCTGCTCAGCCTTCCTCCTGCCCTGCGCTCCAGCCCTCTAGTCTGTCTTCCACCTCGTCCTCCCTGCTCTCCACCTCTTCCTACGCTGCCTCTCTCACCTCACCCCTCCTCAGCACCCAGAACAAGCTCCTAACTAGTGATTCACTGCTTCTCTCCTCTTCCCTGACCTCCTCTGTCCCCAATGCCTCTTTGCTTTCCACATCCCTGCCCAGCGGTGCTCTGCTCAATCGCTTTGCTAACGCTCCCTCATTCCTCCCTCATGGTCTGGGCGGAGAACAGAAAAAGGTTGAAGGAGTAGACGAAGACGGAGAGGAAATATCTGAAGTCATGCAGTCCTGTTTTGAAGAAACAAGTTTGGTACATGAATCATTCTTCGTTTGTGTTTTAGCATAAACTGAAAGTAGAATTGAGTGGGCTGCTAGTTTAGAATTATTCAAACTATTTGGCCAGCTCCATTTTTGATGTATCCAGTTTTTAGTGTAACTTATTATACATCAGCAGTGTTCAGAGGAAGATGAGAGTTGGTCTGAAGAGGAGGAGGAGGAGGTGGAGGCTGATGCTGGGACAGCAGCGCAAGTACCTTTTCTGGAAACAGAGTCGGGAGACCAGGACCAAACTGTGGCCGTCATACAGGAGGATTTTGCAGAGGTTGAAAGAGGAAATGAACAGGTTGAAGAGGACCTGAAAGATGCAAAAGTAAGAGAAAGCATTTTACACTGCATATGAATGTCACTGGAATAGTGTCAAGTTTTGCATTTCAGTGCTCCAAAATTAAACTCCTTGGTGCTGATTAATGTGAGTCTAACTTGATGTGTTTCTGCCTGACCTTCAGTATCTGCTGCTGAACGCTGTGTGCTGCTCCCTGGTTAATAAGAGCAAAGCTCCAGGCCAGGAGGAGTGGGACAAAGAGGACAGCGTTTGGACCAACATCATAAAGCTGGCGAAGGACATTTCTGCCTGTGACCCGCAGTTTCTTCTGAAGGTGTGTGTGTGTGTCTGTGTGGGTGTTTGAGGTTCAATTGGATTGTAGCTTCTGAACTTTATTTAAATTAAATCACAAGAACTGGTGAAAAATGGAAATGTGTGTATTTTATCAAAACGGTGAAGTTTGTATATGAGAAAAAGCAGATTTTTTTCTAATGTAGTCATTTTTATGTGGAAACAACAGCATGTTTCAGCAGGACAAATCTAACATAAAAAAAAGAACATGTTTTCACAATATTTTTTTATTTCTAGTAATTCCTTATTTAAACAGTTAACCTCTTAAGACCTGGCGTCTACAGTATTTATTATTGTTATTATTATTGTTGTTGTTATTTTATTTTAGATGCTTTCTAAATATATTTTTATTTTATAAATATTTTTTATTGCTATTTGCAATTTGATCAGATTGAAAAGCAAGGTAAAAAAAAATAAAATGCATGTCAGACAAGAACGTGGGTCTTAAGAGGTTAAGCTACTTGTTTGACCTAGTATATATAGTGTTTCTCACCGAGATCCTGTTTAAACTGGTTTAACCTTCCAATTAAATACATTCATGGATGATATCAAATCATGGCTCTTTACCCGGTGAATCGTCTTTGTACATATTTGCTTGCATCCAGCAAAAACACTCCACGATATTAACAAAGTCTTTATCAGGTATTTCCTTGTGTATCCTCCTACATGTTTCCATAGTTTATTGCAGAACTATTCTTTGAAATGACGTATTCCCATAACGTCTCTCTATGGGTGAATTTCAGAAGCCCCAGTAATGTTTTAGTTGAATGCAACTCCAGGAAATATCAGCATGTTTTGGCTCTAAGTCCTCACAGAGCCTCTCATGTGGTTGTTGGATGCTTAACTGTCTGATTTTCATCTGGACTTTTATGAGACCAGAACAAAGTTAGATGACAAAAAAAACATTGCATTTTCATTTGCATCCAGCAAGCCAGAGGTGCTTTTTTGTCCTTACGTGTTCATTTTCTTTGAACGCAGCTGATTGTTGTCGTAGCATCTTTTGAGCGAGAGAGACAAGCGAGTGGCTTTTTTTTTTTCAGTTGAAGTGTTCTGACAGCCAAGTTTTAGGTTGATGCATCAGTAAGAATAAGCAAAGCAGACAAACATGACAGAGCACACAGGAAGTATGAGGTTATACCTATTTTTATTAGACACATTCAGAGTGTTTTTTACTTGTTTCCCATCCAGGTGGCACTTTACACTCGACAGGAGTTAAACATCCGCATCACAGCCAACTTCTTACTGGCTCTGGCTGCTAACCAGCCCTCCACCAAGCCTCACTTCCGCAGATACTTCTGTGCTGCCGTACAGCTGCCCTCCGACTGGCTGGAGGTAGTCAGAATCTACAGCACAGTAAGTCTCAGTGAGCTTCCTCTGCACGTTGGAGTCTCTGTGTTTCACTTCTTTCTGAGCACTCATCGTCTGTTTTCAGTGCTTCAGCCGCTCTCTGCCGATGTGCCTGAAGAAGGCAATGGCTGACAAGTTCAAGGACTTCAACGAGTATCAGCTGGCTAAATACAACACACGCAAACAGCGCTGCAAACACCCCAACAAGAAGAACAGAGGACAGGTGTTGTTCTCTGCTTTCTTTTTTTGTTTCAGTGCTGAAACTACGGTTTAACAGAGTTACACTCATGCTGCCACCCTGTTATTGGAGAAAAAGTTTGGCAGTATTAGTAAAAAGTGTGTTTCTTTTCCTTTTACTGAGGCAATATAATAAAATAAAAACCACTTTCTTGTTCCCTCCGTGGTTTGTTCTAAATACATTTTCTGTGATTTCCAGGAAGTGACCGATGACCAACTGAATAAGTGGGCGAACATGCTCAGATCAGAAAAAACTATTCTGAAGAAATTTGTAAGTTAATGTTCTTTTCTATTGTCTCTGAATAAAGTTTATGGCTGTTTTTAAATTTTGAGTCACTACTTAATGTCTGGAAGGTTTCTGAAGTAATATTGGATGTGGTATTTTGCTAAAACCAGGTGTTCAGAGTTTACATCCATCTCTGTTGTGTGTGTGTGTGTGTGTGTGGATATGGGCCTAGTTGCAAAATTAAGAGCTAAAAATTCTGATGCTTTATTGTATTTTTTCTGTGGCGGGCAAGTTTATTTTGCGAGGCTTCACACTGCTGTGTAACCGCTGACTAATGCTGGTTTCTGTGCGTCTCTGTGCAGTTGCAGGTTGAAGGCAACCAAAAGAAGGTGGACAAGAAGCAGAGCGAGTTCAGCATAAAGAAGATGATCAAGAAGTTCCACATTAAAGAGCCGGCTGAACACGTGATGGCCATTCTGGGGAAAAAGTAAGACACAGAATTGTTGTTTGTGGTGTTTCTGTTTAATACACTCAAAGTCAAAAGTTTAGCTCAGGTGGACTCAGTCAAATAAATTAACTGAGCAACAAGTAACTTTAGAAATCAGGAGATATTCATGAAAAATTAAAAACTAACCCTGAAAATGTAATATGGTTAAGAACAAAGGAAAGACAACATGTATACATTTATAACTATACTTTTATTATTATTTTACCAACGTAATATAAACTATAAAATTATAATGTCTACATGCTTTATGCATTTAAAGTAGGTTCGATCTAGATGATGCCACACAGAACAATAGCATAAAAAATAATAATTTGCAATCTAACTATGTTTATGCTTCTAATTTTACTGTGATGGTGGAAATTCTGCAACACTTCGTAACAGGATATTATGTCGTCATAAGCAGTTAGGGCATTTTTAATGAATTTATTATTAACCTGCGTAATATGTACAAAAAAAATCAGTCCTTTGAAGATAAGTTTTATATTTTTAAAGTCATGTTGTATCATATTGTCACTCATTATCTGTCATATGCCAACATTCAGTGACGAATGTGTCACAACAATGTAAGTAAATACTTAAAAGGATCTTAACGCAATACTCCGTTGTTTCATTAAACCAGGTTTCACATTACAATATACTGCCTGTAAAAGTGTGTCTGGAGTTTTGTTGTTTTACATCAGGAGAAATACTTATATCTTTTGCTTTAATAGCAAAAAAATGTCCCACAATTTTTAGAAATAAAAAATATGCGGAGTAGTGAGGTTATCAGCACAAAAACTATGAGCTCTTTGTCACAGAGCCTTTTTTGACTAACTGAAAGGCTCTCATTAAGAAAAAACTGTTCATTTACTGTCCTTCAGGTTGAAATTATTCATTTATTCTCTTTGTAATGAACATGTAGATAAGCAGAAGGAGTAATGTGTGGTTGTGTTTTTTCCCCAGGTATCCTGCTGACCCAAAGGCGTTCACCGTCAGTGGGCTAAAGGGCGACTGGGACCGGGAGAGAGCTGGCCAGCGAATGAAGCTCAAAGAACCGCAGACGTGGGAACAGCTGCTCAGTCTGGAGGGCAACAAGGCCGCCACCTGGGAGAAGCTCATAGGTCTGCAAACACACACAGCTTCAGCTTGCCATCAAACATGCACAGGCTTGCAGGGAAGAGCAATTTAATCACACCGTGTTCTGAGTGCGTGACGATGGGGAAAAGGTCAGTTAGTGATCAAAAAAGATGGGCTGTCTTTCACCTTATGCCTCTAAATGTGGTTTATCTTTACAATTTCCCATCTTGTTCAAAGATTCAGTCCAACATTTTCAATCACAATTTCCACCTTGTAGAAGAATATTAAACTTAAGCTGTGATTCAAATCTAGTACAGTACACTTTCAATGAGACAGAAGACGTATGCATTCAAAAACACACCTTCAGATACTTCAACACAAACATGTTCATGATCACACACACTGACAGAAAATGTCTCTTCTGTGCAGACAAAAGGTCTCTTCCCTTCATGGCCATGCTGAGGAACCTGAGGAACATGATCATCGTGGGCATCAGCGAGTCTCATCACAAGAAGATCCTCAGCAGACTCACCGATAAGGTCGGTAAACTTGTTTCTTTTCTAATTTCAACCCCTTAACATGCAGTTGGTGAAGTTCTGTATAACCTTGCATTTTTGCTGTGCTTTCAGAAAGCAGTTATTCAGAGCCGGCAGTTTCCTTTCAGGTTCCTCGCTGCCTACAAAGTCATCATGGAGCTTCGCGATGTCGGTGAGATACATCAATTAGCATAAAGACCTTTGACTGGAGTCTGTCCCAGCTGACTCAGGGGACATCAGTTGTTCACAAGGACACATTTAGAGACAGACAAGTACACTTGTTCCACTTGTTCATTCCCGTACTTGGATGTGGCATTTTATTATTTTATCTAGTGTTGATGTACTATTTATTTTGAGAGTCTTTGACTATGAGGTGTGTCAGAAAAGTTCCAGGACTCGTGCCATAAAAGATATATTTCAATTCCAAACTATAAACTACAAGTTTTCCCTTCAAAGTAATCCCCCTGGAGTCTAACACACTTCCCCAGCCTTCTCTCTCACACCACCATGCACTCCTGGAAGGACTCTTCAGGGATCTTCCACAGCTCCATCATCGCAGCCATCTTGATGTCGTCCACGTCTTTGAAACGGGTCCCCTTGATGACCCCCTTGAGCTTGGGGAAGAGGAACAAATCCCACAGAGCCAGGTGGGGTGAGTAGGGAGGTTGTTCCAGCACCGTGATGTTCTTCTCAGCCAGGAACTGTCAGATGCTCAGGACATTGTGAGCAGGTTGTCATGGTGCAGCAGCCACGACTTGTCCTGCCACAACTCTCGCCTCTTCTCGCGCACTGAACGCCGCAAACGCCGCAGGATCTCTTTGTGCTGGTTGAGCTTCTGAAGGAGAAAACTGGTAGTTTGAAATATATCTTTTGTGACACCAGTCCTGGAACTTTTCTTCCACCTCGCATGTTTGGACTGACCAGTCTTGTGTTGTATAATGTTCTTCCTGAGTATCCGTCTCTTCTTTTTTTGCCTTGTCGGTAAAGCATTTTTATACTAATGAAACCTAACCCTGCATAGGTGTGTACATGTGACACCAAGAACACATCTACAGCTCCTCTTGTTTTCCTCTTCGTCCACCAGCCTCAACGGCGCAGCAGACGATGCCTTCAGCTAAAGAGACGCTGAAGGACATCCTGAAGAAGATTCCTAAGAGCTGCCGCTTCAGACGTCAGGACTGGGAGACGACGAACAGGAGCAGGCTGAGGGTGACGCTCGGCGTTCCCTCCATCTACCGAATGTACAAGATAAAGAAGGCCCAGCTCCTCAAGGCCAAGTAGGCGATTTTTCAGTTCCTTATCTTTGATTTCCTTCCATATTTTTTATTAATTTCACTTTACTTGCAGTTATATCTGTCTTGGTTTTACAAGCAGTGTCTTTCTTGTATTTTTCACGCCATATCTTAAGAAGCGGCAACAACAGTTTTACTGTCCTCCCGATGAGTTGCATGTATTTTACAGGTAGACAGCGAGCTTAAAGTTCAATGTCCTCAACAAACCAAGGCATATCTTTTCTTGTGTTAAATAAAGAATCATAATTTATTTGTAAAACTGCAACAAAAGCACAAATTGCCAACAGAAATCAGAAAATAACCAGTACATAACATAAGTTAGGCACAATATACTTACATTTATATACACAATAAACAAAAAATACTCAAGTCCCAACTACCATCCATCCATCCATTTTCCACTTAATCCTCACTAGGGTCGCTGGAGTCTATCCCAGCTGACTCAGGGTGAAGGCAGGAGACACCCTGGACAGGTAACCAGTCTATCACAGGGCCACACTTAGAGACAGACAACCAAGCACACTCACATTCACACCTACGGACAATTTAGAATCACCAATTAACCTCAACATGTTTTTTGGACTGTGTGGGAGGAAGCAAACTCCACGCAGAAAGATTCTGGTGCCCCCACCGGGATGCGAACCGGCAACCTTCTTGCTGCGAGGCAACAGTGCTACCAACTGCGCCACCCTGCAGCCCTACTAGCTACCAATTAACTAAATTCTATGATTTAATGTGTTCTCAAATTTTTTGGTCCAAACAAAAGCACGGCAATGGTATTTAGTTTCTTGTAACTGAAAAATGCCAAACAAATAAAATACTGACAGAGAAGTACTGTCCAAGGCAAGAACGTGGAAAGATAAGCTGCAGCAGGAGAAGCAGCAGCATTCAGCTCTGTACATGGCCTGATTTACTCTACAGCAAAACCCTGCTCTGACACTACTTTACACCGAACAACCAGTAAGGGGCCACTGCAGTACACAAAGCTCTGCTGCACAGCATTGTATGCAGGGTGGGACAACAGCAGCTTGAAATGCACAAGTGAAGAACTGAGGCCCATGATGCAAGTTTGACATAGCCAGGCTTTCTCTGTGTAAGCCAGCTTAACAAAACCTGAAATAGAGATAGCAGGTTTGTTTCTTAACCAGATTTTCTCCCTCCAACTCTGTACACGCTCACATAAAAGGGGGTTGTTTAACGCTTCATGTGACTCTTCTTCTGCACATAATGGACCGATTATGTGCCACCTTGAGGAGAACAGTTTGCTGTAATGGAACAAATCAGGACCAAGTAAAAAAAAACGTGTTTTCTGCATCTCCAGCCGAATGATTGTAGGGTTCTGTGGTAACACAATAGAATAGCATAGAACGTACTTTATTTATCCCAGACCTGGGAAATTTACACGCCACAGCATCATCCAAAAATACAGAAAATTCAAGAAAATAACAATAATTAAGTAATATGCATCCCCGGTGTCCGCAAGCAGCAGGTCCAAGGCCCCACCATCTCCAGTTGGGCAGTCCACATGTTGGCTGAATGTGGGGAGATTGGCAGAGAGCAATGTATGATTACAGTCTCCTGAGATGACGATCAGAGACTGAGGGTGGGATGTTTGCAGCTGGGATGCTGAACTATGGATGAGTTCACAGGCTGCAGCAGCATCAGCCGAGACAATCTGTGTCACTCACAGGGAATCGCCAGAAAAAGAACTGGAGAAAGGGAGATGCACCTCACAGCCAGTTTAATTCAGAAACTCTGGACAGAACCTCCTCCAGGCCCGATTAGCTGTGAAGCATAAGAAAAACCTTTTTGATCCCCCATCGTGGAAATTTACGGTGGTGGTCATCTTTGTGACACTTAAAACTCGGCTCCTCGTATTGAAAGATGCCACTAAACTGCTGTTAAAGCCTCCAACGGGAGCTCGGGGAAGTGCAAAAGCATCACGACATGCACCTTTTAGCTCACGTGGAACATTTGTTTGGTCATTTAAGTTAAACAAGACACAGAAAAACAAAATTCACATCTGCGTAGATTGTGAAAATGAAACTTTCTCTGCATCTGTACATCCAGTCAGAGGTTGTACTCCGTCGAACTGCTGGACCGCTACCGCAAAGCTCTGGAGACGTCAGTTCGGATCTCCTGTCAGTACAACGTGCCGCCGCTCCCGGGACGAACAGTCATCCTGCTCACTGCTACCATGGAGAATAATGTGGCCTGGAGCAAGAAACGGGACTTCTGCCTTCCTCCAGAGCCAGAGGAAAAACCCAGTGAGGAGGAGGGAGAGGAGGACGAAGAGAAGTGCAGGAGACACAGGAGGAGGTCTATAACACTTGAAAAGAACACTCCTTCTGTAAGTGCCTCCTTTTCCCTGATAACACAGAAGAAGACTGGCATGTGAAAAATAGCTGCATCAACTAACCTTTATTTCAATTTATTTAATTTCCTCCCAGACATTGGAGGTGGGAGCTTTGCTCGCTCTGATGATCAAGAACAGTGCCGAGGATTGCCAGCTCTGCTTAACAAATTATAATGACTGTGAAGAAGTCGAGCTGAAGTCTGATGTCCTCCTGGATAATGTCAGAACTGTGACCAAGCAAGCGAAGGTCAGGATGTTTATACTAATCTTGTTGTGTTTCATGTAATCAGATGTGATAGAAGTTGTATTTTTAAATCCTATACAGCTTATACAAGTCTTTTATTAATGACTAATTCTCTTTCACAGGAACTATATGACAAAGATGAGAGTGATACCACCTACTATTACAGAACGTTCACCAAGAAAAACAAGGTTAGTTCATTTGTATATTTGTTTTTAATTGTGATTTTTTTTTTTACCACATAAATCTCTCCAAACTGTATTTTCTTACAGTTCAGCTATTGTAGTCACATATATTGTATATAAAACACAGATGGGTCTGAAAACTATCCTCTGCATTCTTTCTAACAGCCAGCAAGGGGCGATTACTCTGGTTGCAAAAAAAAAAGCTCCAAGTGTATAGAAGTTTATGAGAAAATAGCCTGACTCAGCGGCTATAAGCCTGACTTTGGCTGCTCATTGCAGGCGGCTTTGTCCTTTCCTTCCGCTATCAGTTTAAAGAAAATTCAAACAAGCCAGAACATTTTCTTTGTTCTCCGGCAGAATGATAGGCTGTATCCACATGCTTTTTATTTTTAATTCAAGTGAGTACGACGGCCCACAAAGTTCGTACTCTTTCATGCAGTATGTGTTCAACTGGGACGCGCTTCTCTGTTATAATACTGTGGCTTAAACTTTACTGTCCCATTCTGCAGTGCAAAATGAGCTGACATCTACGTAGAATAGAATGTCTCGCACAGCTGTATAACAAAAGTTTAGAGGAACTCTTCTGGGTGGCACAAAAAGAACAAAATTGAAAAAAAAGATAGAAAGCCGACAACTCACATATAGAATAAATAAACAGATATTACACAGTTCCAGCGGGATATTATTATTACGCTTAGCTGTGATTTTACACAGTTTCTACTGAGAGTCACGTTCAAGTCAAAGTTAAAAACTGAGGTGTCCGGAGGTGCAGATCTCATATTAACGGTCACAGATGATGACTTAGTGGGACCATTATGTTCTACAAAATGGGCCGACAAAGCGAGGCTGATGCAAAAATGAACCTAATTCTCATTTGATTTGTTTTCTCTCCTTTTATGTCTCAGTGCATTTTTGTTTTTGTTTTTTATTCAAATTGGAGTTTCACATTGTTACAGATGAGTTAAGCTGATCTTTTTCCCTTTGTGGAAACTGCAGAAATACCCACTTGTACCTCCCAAGCAGGATGCAGGTATTCCAGGTTGTGAGTCAATTTGTTGAGCTCATATACTTTGTGTGTCTCAGGTGGACAACTTCATCGTAATAGATGACAGCAGCATAACTTCTCACGTATCTTGGTTTCTCAAGAGCTACAAGAATGACATAAACAACAAAGCCCTGGTGGTGAACATCTTGTTGTCAGATGAGTAAGTTACTATTTTTTGGGACATATGTGCGATCCTGTCTTAGATGCTCAGTATTGGGAAGATAACACTGATGATGTGTACCATAATTTCCGGACTATAAGCCGCTACTTTTTTCCACACGCTTTGAACACTGCGGCTTAAACAATGACGCGGCTAATTTATGGATTTTTACGAATTTAATTCTGAGGCTGTTCAACTCCGACACTGAAGAAGACGACTTTAGTGGTTTTAGGGAGGAAGATGGAGATAGCGATCAATGACTTTTCCTGGTAGGCTGCTGTATTTTTTATTTTTTTAACCAGCCGTGTTACAGGCACTACTCGTAAAAATAAAAAAAGCACTTACGGTACGTATTTGTGTGCGTTGCTGGTACGTATTTAATTAAAAGTTCAAAAAATCTTTCTGTGTAAATGTCTCATGCTGTTATAGACAAGTGCGGCTCATATATGTGCAGTTTTTTTTCTTTTTCTTTTTAAAGTTTGTGGGTGCGTCTTATATTCAGGTGTGTGCTCAATAGTCCGGAAATTATGATACTTTTTCCTGTTAAGAATACAATAGATGCATTTGTTGGTCTGGCTTCTGTTTGTCTACCTGTTTCTAACTCACCTTGAATGCCTGTGCTGTTGTGCTTAGTCGATACTATCATGAAGAGACCCCTGACAGGAACTGTGTGACCCTGAAAGGCTTCAGTGAGCAACTGCTGAGGTAAAATGCACCGTTGTTCATTTTTATTACAAAGCTGATGGCTCTCGATTATGCAAATGTAAAAAAAAAAAATGCTGTACCCTAAAGCCTTATGGTATACTGATAATGGTAGGACTGTATTTAATGTTTGCTAATTCATCATTTTAGGCTGTAGGATTGTTTGCTGTCTTGCCGAAGTGAGATAAAAGGGCTTATAGTACCTTCAGAGCTGTTCTAATAGATATGAAGCTGAAATCTAAAGTTTAGCGTAGCCTAAACAGTTTGAACAAAACAAATCCCAAACACATTTTCACAATTTGTTAAAAAAAAAAAAGAAAAAGAACTATTAAAACAACGAGGAGGTTACTGTGCTCAGCCAAAGTAAATAAATAACCAGCAATATGTATTTAGAAGGACACGCCTTCGTTTTTGTAAGGACAAAAGAAGATCAAATAATATTCAGACCCCTTCATAGTGCTGTAGCTTTACTTGTACAGATGGAGCAAAAAGTGACAACCATCACATTAGTATGTTCTCCAGGAAATGCAGTTCAAAGTTATTATAAATCATTTAAATTTAAAGCCAGAGAAATTTCAGCCAAAATGTTCTGTTATTGACGGTTGATTAGGTGTGAAAAATGCCAGTTTAAGTGATATAAAGTTACACGTGCAACACAGTGAAGTGTGTGAAAATTAAAGGGATCTGAAAACTTTCCAAAACGACTGTATGACTTGTAAAAATTATGGCTTTTAGAGGTAATAAAAAAGAGCAAATAAACCCACCTTTATGCTAAGCTAAGCTAACTGGCCATAGCTGCATGTTATCCTGCAGATGTGAGAGTAGCCCACTCTTGGCCAGAAAGCAAATAAGAGTTCCCTAAATGTAAAACTCTTTCTTTAGCTATGCGACCAGGTGTAACTCCTCCCCTTTATGCAGGAAATGACACCGAAAATGTTGGACACTTAGATATAAACAATATTATCAACATCATGGCAGTATTACTTCTCAATAGTTTGTGCAATGTCAGATTTTTCAAGATGAAATGTTCAGTAATTCATACTTTTATTTCTTTTCCTTTGTAACTTTTTGGTTACACCTAGAATATTTCACTGTCATGTGCAGCATTGTCAATATCTGCAATATTTTATTTTCATTTCCTTTTTCAGGCGCAATATGACATTTCACTTCATTTTTTTCAATCATGTATGATGTTATTATCCCAATACAACGCCTGTCTTACTTTTCACTGTTCTATTCTAGCCTTATTTTACTCACTTATTTCAATAATTTCAGTACTGATATCTTATTGGTTTTTACTTTTGCATTGCTTACCTTATGGAATTTGTTATTTCTGAGCAATATCTGGCACAAGAATCTCCTTTGAGATTTGTAAAGTTTTATTTTACCCTTTCGTATAGGTTTGTGGTGGAACGAGGGTCTTCCAGGCTGCTGGATCATGTCGAACATTTGGACAAACTGTACAAAATCCCGCAACCAGCGGGAACTAAAGAACCCGAGGCCACAACCAATGCCGTCTCAATACCAGCAAGCCCAAAACTGAGGTAAAGTTCTGAGCAGTTTTCTAACTTGACCCCTCTGTTTGGGTGTTAAGCAGTTGAAGGTCTATTATTCAGGATGTTTTTTGCTCATCACGTCACTGCTCCGTCCTCAGGTGGCGGGGCGTGCGAGTCTTCATCTCGTCCACCTTCAGGGACATGCACTCCGAGCGCGACGTCCTGGTGCGGAGCGTCTTCCCGGAGCTCCGCCGGCGCGCTGCACAACACCGGATCCACCTGCAGGAGGTGGAGCTGCGCTGGGGCGTGACGGAGGAGGAGTCGGAGCGAGCCGCCCAGCTGTGCCTGTCGGAGGTTTGTCGCAGCCAGATGCTGGTGGGGATCCTGGGGGAGAGGTACGGCACGGCGCCCCCCAAACCCGACCTTCCGGACCTGCCGCAGTACAGCTGGGTAAGATTTACTGCAGTGAGACAGAATCAGACCATTTGTTAGCATAGCAGTGTAGAAGCATCCAGAGTTACTTTAAATGTGTAAATGAAGAAATCTGGTTTTATTTAAGCTGGGGTTTAAACTCAAAGGGACTGTGTGTACATTTTTTACATGAGGTAGGTGCATATAGGAGGAATGAGCACATCCATCAGGTAAGAAACAGGCTCCTGTACACTGTCTGACTTGCAATGATCTATGATGATGATCTAGTAATGCAACCTTTAGATAGATAGATAGATAGATAGATAGATAGATAGATAGATAGATAGATAGATAGATACATACATAGATAGATAGATAGATAGATAGATAGATAGATAGATACTTTATTCATCCTGTTGGGGAAATACAAGGTATCCAGTAGAGTGCAATAACTGTGCAAATCATGCTGATCGAAGAAATAAACTGCCAAAATTGCTGATGTTTGCAATAGAAATGAAAGATTGCTTGCATTGACAATAAAAAAAGAGTATCAGTAAGTCTAAGTACAGTGTAAAAATGTTATAATAAGGTCAAATTAATCTTGAGGGGCCAATAAATAATTTGACTTCTACATGTAGCCCACAGGAGCTACAATATGACATTTGTAGAATCTAATTTAACCTAAATTGAGTGACAGAAGACAAATTTTCAGCTGTTTTGATAATTGCTTTTTTTCCCATAATTTTTCAATCAAAACCGTCCTGAAACTGAAATGGTTGATTATTTAAAGGCAGGAATGTCAGCAGCAAGTGGAGCCATTGTTGTGTCGTATATTTTGTGCAGCACGACGGGTAACATCCAGACTGCTTTATAAGGTGTAAATATCTGGGTTTTCGTCAAGTTGTCCTCTTAAAACATTGAACTGCAACAGATTTTATTCTTTTTGTGCAGCTGGCTTCGGCTCCAGAAGGTCTGTCCATCACAGAGATGGAGATCCGTCAGTTTGAGGCGCTTTACCCCAACGTGGCGCACCAGCGAATGTTCTGCTACTTCAGAGATCCGAACATCGTCAAGTATGCTTTTTCAATTTGTTTGTAAAACTGATGTCATAGGATATGTTAAAGGCGTTTTTGTGAAGTATGACTTTGGCTTCAGTGCTGTAATACTTCCTGTTATAACGCTGTTTTCCATTTTCTGCTGCTGTTTTCCAGATCAATTCCTGTGGCTTGGAGATCACATTTTGCTCCTGAGTCAAAGGACGCTGAGTCTAAAATGGCCTCTCTGAAGAGAAAACTCTTGCAAAGTGATGTGAAGGTCACTGAAAAGTGAGTCATCTCAGCCACCTGTCTGTCAATGAAGCTGTGAATTTAACCCTCTGAGTCCCAAAAAACCACCAGTGGATTTTAAAGGCACGTTATCGATTTAAAAATTAAAATAGCATCGTCAAAATTACACAATTTATCAGAGTAACAAACTGCAAAAACAGAAAGAACCGTCTGATTTTCTACTTTCTAACGGTCCTTGAACTACTCATTGTAGCTGCTTTGGGTTCAGAGGGTTGAAATAGTTCACTTTTATTTTGGAATGCTTCTCATTGCATGGTTTTTATTTTAATAGTGTTAAAATCAAGGTAATGTGCTTTTTTCAGTCCTGATTGGTGATGTTGTTGTTGTAGTTACTCCTGTGAGTGGGGAGGCGTTGTGGAAGGAAAACCACACCTGAAAAACCTGGAGGACTTTGGCAAAGCTGTGCTGGAGGACCTCTGGATGGCTGTTGTCAAGCTGTTTGTGGAGGTAAGTAACTCGCTCAGTTTGTCTAAATGACAACAGTCCAACGATGTAATCTTCATTTTTAGCACTCTCTGCTCTTTTAACAATCCTGAGCCTTCACGACTGACAGATATCCTGATAGATATCCTGACAGATACAGCAGATTACAAGCAAACCCCTCATTGTTGTTGTCCTCCGTCTGGCAGGAGGGCGATGAGGCCGAGGTTGCGTCGGAGGTATCCGAGCAGGAGGTTCACCAGGGGGCGCTGCAGAGGCAGTTCTTCGGCAGGTCCAAGCTGCTGTCTGGTGCTGTGGCGATCGTGGAGCGAGCCCAGACCAAGGGAGGGATGATGGTGGTGGAGGGAGGACCTGGAGAAGGCAAAACTGTCTTCATGGTAAATTTAACATTTTAAAGTCTATCGAACATGCTGTTTACGTGTAAAGACGGGTGGAAAAACCACCACCTAAACGCTTGTCAGGGCATCAAAACTGACTGTTTCCTTTGGACATGGAGGATTTCAGTAAATTTTCTAACTAACAGCTATTTAATAGTTGACTAAATTTTAACTGAGTTGGGCTTCCAGGGAAATAGGAATGAAATGAAAAATACTTTATTTATCCCAGAAGAGAAATTCAATCATAGGAATGAAATGAAGTGTGTTTGATTTGTCAAGTTACCCAAAGTTTCTCTAACTTTACCCCAAAGATTTGAAAGGTGTGTGGGACAAACTAACCAAACCTTCCTTTAAATTGTGACGTTTAATCGAAATCATTTTATTCTACATGTCTTATTGAGAAATTCACAAAAACAAAATGTTTGCACTTTACCAGATTATTTTAAAAAAAAAACTACAACATTCTGCACTTGCTGGCACCACCATGAAGCTGTTCGTGACTTAACAGTGACCAACAGTCACATGGCAAAAATTCTAGGACTTTTTGGTTAAAATCGACTGAACTGCAGGCAGTGTTGACACAGAGCAGACACGTAAGGACACAATATCAAACTTTAATTAGTTAAATAACTTTTTAATGCTAAGACAAGATTTTTCCAGTATTGGTAGCACCTTGGAAAAATGTTGTACATGTCAAGTCAATTCAATTTCTGTTTATATTTTATTATACCACACATAACATATTTTTGAGTTCTTCGTACTTTTATTCATAGTTGCGCTCTTTCCAAAGAGATGCAGGACTTTATTTGCAGAGATAGAAGCAAAAAAAAAATGCCCAGAAGTTGCCTTGAGTTCAGAAGTAACTGCACATATTTGCTTCTCTCCACACAGGCTGCTCTGGCAGACGCCCTCAGGACTGGAGTTAATTCTAAGAAAAACTTCGTCTGCGATGTCATTTCCTACTCTACGGCTGCCAGCCAATCAGCACGCTCCGCGGAAAACCTTCTCCGATGCCTCATTCGGTGGCTGAGAAAGATGAAAGATTCAGAGACGGAACCACCTCTTCCCCATTCATACAAGTCAGAGACTTCACCATCATTTCATCTGTGCATGACGAATGGCTTCCAGCTGTTTGTTTGATGAATTATTCTCTCTTATCTCAGAGATTTGCTGTCAGAATTTCACTCCACATTGAGCGATGTGAAGACGGACAAGCCTCTGGTGCTGCTCATCGATGGGGTCGATCTCGTCCAAGATGGCCGAGGACAGCTGAGCTCTGACTGGATCCCTCAGCAGCTTCCTCAGGTCAGTCACGTGTGCAGAAAACTGAGGAGGTGCTGCATTGTATACACCAAAAAAAAAAAAGGAAATGGAAAAGCTGCAGCCTTGTCACTGCTGAAATGTCAGTCTTTTCAAGTTTACAAGGATGGGCCTGAACCTTTTCATATTTCTTGCACAAAGAAATGCTTTTTTGATCGAGCTACGAAAACTGAAACTGGTTTGGATGCAAAAATGTCTCTTATTTATAGGATTGGTGTTAACAACCTTGTGTTTGATTTTTAGCTACATAAAACTCAGATTGCCCTTTTTTTTCCGTCAGGGAGTGTGTTTGGTGATGAGCATTGCACCCAAAGCAGCGCTGTTACAAACACTGGCCAAGAAAACGGGAACTGTCCTGTTTACACTGGGACAACTCACCCTGCTGGACCGAAGGGAGATAGTTCAGAAGGAGCTGGACGCCTTCGGGAAGAAACTCAGTGATGCTGCATTCAACAACCAGGTTCTTCTCAAGACTTTTTGTTCATTTGATATTCTCATTTTTGTGTTTTTATGCTCAAACTGTGCTGTGTGTGCTTGTCCAGCTCCAGATACTCACAATGAAGAAGGGAGCAGTGAGTCCTCTCTACCTGCATCTGGCCTGTGAAGACCTCAGGAACTTTGCCTCCTTTGACAAGGTCTGAGCTCGCTTTTTAATCACATCCACATCAGCTTTACTGGTTATTGTTCTGGTGTTGGCTGTGTGATACTTACAGGAAAGCTTCATATCAGGTGTCACTCCAGAAAAGAAGCTGATAACATAACAGGTGCAATCTAGAAATAACAAGCTAGTGTCGTAGATCACCATTAGGAGTTGCTATTTATTGTGTCTGTGCACACAGTAAATATTGATGTGAATTTAATTAATTACAAAAAAATCACCAAGCCATTTCTTCAGGCATTAGATTGCCCTACTAATTATTGAAATTTAAGCAGCTTATACCGATTGCATCCTGCAATCACTGCAGGTTTGTGCAATCACTGCTTTGATTGCACTTCTTGTTGATGTTTCATCCCATAAATGCTGCTCTCTGTTCCATTGCTATCGTCCACCTACCTCATGTATAGAAGGTTTCAATAACTCTGTATGTATTTGTAATACCTGCACTAAATTCTGGGTCACTTACATTTTGCATCAAGCCTCACCTACTCTTACACATATCTGTAGTTGTACATAGTAGATAAACACTCATTTTCCTCCTGTAACCGTTTGCCCTTCTTTAAATGCATGTTTTATTTTGTGTAAGTTCTTTTAGGAGCCAAAAAAATGAAGTCAAATTCCTTTTATGTGTTGACGCACTTAAAGCTGACCCTGATCCTGATCCTTTGTCTTTGTGTCTCAGTTGAAGGAGAACCTGCAGGACTTGCCTCAGTCGCTCAGTCAGTTGGTTCAGTTCAGCCTGGAGAGACTTTGCTCGCAGTACAGAGGCATGCTGGGACTCCGCTGGGCTCTCTCAGCACTCGCTGTCAGCACCACCGGTAAGACTTTCACATAGGTTTTTGCAATATTTGTTAGTTTTTGGAGATGTAGATTTGATCAGCTGTGCATGTTGTGGTGTGGAAGAAGAATATCATAAGTGCCCAAATATTAAAGAGATACTGACATCTAACCTTCTGAACATTAAGCAGTTTCTGGGTGTTTTTTTGCTGCTGCGCTTCTATGGAAACTATCGATAGCACAACAAACAAAAGCAAACTAATCATCTTAGTTTAATAATAGTCACACATGATTACAGAACGAGGGATACTGACCTCAGCTGTGGACAAGTTGGTAGAACTTTGATGCACTCTGACAAAGAGAATGTATGTGAAATGAGTTTTATGTACAGATTAAAGGCAGAGCAGTGGAAAGGCAACCTGACCCCTTTTTTATTTAAAAAAAAATATTAAAAAACAAGGAGCTCCAATCCAAGGGAGCACAGTCAAAACAGACCCATCAAGACCCAAAGATAATTAGACCTGATCCACAATTTGCTACCAAGTAATTAGATCAGATTACAAACCTAACAAAGCTCTACCAATAATTACAAACTTAAAAAATCACTTACACCAGTTATAAATTCAAATTAATATAATAATTAACATTCTATAAACAATATAAAGAACTTAAAGTCCTATTTCCACCAGCTACTGTAGCAGAAAGAAGATGGTAACTTACATGCTGAGGTCTATTTGGATCCACTCTGATCCAACCCAGCAGATTGAGACTCAGAAGTTTGATTGCTGCTCGCCTCAACATTTTCTCCTCCGTGTTCACAGGCCTGAAGGAGAAAGATTTCTACTCTGTGCTGAACACGTGCAATGAGCTGTCCTCACTGAACGGACAGAACACATGGGAGGAGGTGCTGAACCTGTCCAGAAAGCCCAACGGACGCATTCCAATGGCAACGTTCACCCGTATCGTGCAGACTTTGCAAAGGTATGAGTCCCACATGAGTAAGAAGCATTTTAAGTCCTAGAGGTTCGAATGCTGGAATGTCATCGTTGGGAGACGGCTTTTTGTTAAACTGTATCTCTGTTATATGTTAGCATGATATATCAAATACTTTACAAGATAAAATTCTTTTTTAAAAACTGCCCATCGATCAACTTCTATGTTTTTTCAGGCACTGAAATTTGAAGTTATGTTTGTATGACTATATCTCTGGAGCCCATATTAAAAAAAAAACAACAAAAAAAAAAAAACGTTTTTTTTTTAGTTATATTTGGAGAACCATTTTCAAACTTGAGAACTCGTTCTGCTTGCATTAGACTATCTGGCTATACCTTTTTGTTGTGCAATTTGTCATATCTGCTCAATCACTTACGAGAGTTCAAGAAAAATAACTTACTTTTCATTTTTGTCATCAAATATTCCACATTAAAATGTATTCTATACGTTTTGTATCATTGTAACTACATATGGTTCAGAAAATATCACTCGCTTCTGGATTCTTTTTTTTTTTGTTAACGTGAGCTGAAAGATGGGACTTTTCCTGACAGCTTCACTTTTTTTTTTAGTTTCAACTCATCCATAATCAGAGAACATTTGATCTACTTATGATGAGAATTAACAGTGAAAATATAGAGTCAAATTTCATTGTGCAAAATATCTTGTAAATATCCTCGGTTTTGGTTTAAAAAGAAAAAGAAAAAGTTTGAAGCAAATCAGAGATGGTTGAACAGAAGGCCCCTGATCATTTGAGGTAGAAAAACCCCTCTGACATTTTTTATCTAGGTGTATGTATGTATGTAGGTTTCCCTTTGTTCAATGGCTTTAATTGTCATTTTTCACTTAAATAATAGTTAATTGGCCTTTGTCTTTTTTTGTTGTTGTTTTCTTAATCACAGCCTATTTTTTTGGATAATGATGGTTCATTTTTTTGAATTTATTTTAGAGGCATAATAAACGCATTTTTGACTAAGTCTTTTTGATGTAATATACTGAGATCTGAGTGAAGATTTAAATCCATTTGAATCGTCTCCTGCAGTCTGATTGGTTCGTCTCGTTGCCATGACACCGACGACTTGCTGGTTTTAACCAATCCGGAGGTGAAGCGAGGCTTTGAGGAGTTTCTCCTCCCAACAGCGAGAGACAGAACCAGAGCTCACCTCGTACTGGCAGGTAAACGACACACAGTTTGTTGTTGATACGCCAAGTTTGAGCTTCTGTGTATTTAAACAGATTTTTCTTTGCCCAGCTCTTCTGTGGACGCTGGCTGATCCTCAGGGCCAAGACACCTTCCTCCACTGTGAGGCCGACTCTGTCATGCACCTGCCTGCCAGCCTGGTTAGAAATCATTTCAGTAACGCTGCACAACACTAACGATAGTGCTTCCTCACCAGTAAATAAACAATCATACACATTTTTGGCAGTCCAGCAGACATACACCATGTATGTAGTTACTTCTAAGGCTGATAAATCAATAAATAAAGGGAGAACGTGTCAGATATTCTGCACACTTACCTTTATTTATGTCCAGTGTTTCCCTTTGTAGTGCGATAAAGCAATCATAACTCCATTTGTATTTATTACACTGTATACTTATATATTTTTTTTAAACATGATGCACAATTTTATATTTTATTTATATACTTTTGTACTTGTGTTTATATTTTTTGGACATATTTTTCAGCTTATGTAAAGCAGTTTTTCTACAGCTTTACGTTCCTAAGATTTGAATGAGAGCAACTGTAAAGTAAGCAGTTTCCCCTCCTGGATCAATAATATGATTCAGATTCTTGTTAGAATGTGATTTAAATAAGACATTAGCAGAATGTTTCCTCTTTAATCAACATGAATTTGTTATCTTAGTTTTGGTTTTTTTGTCCCACACACAAGCCTTTACAAAAAATTTTGCAATTAAATCAAATATTCTGGACAGTCAACTTGTACAAAACAGTTTCATACATCATGATACTGAATATTTTCACTCCTGACTGCCTTTGTTTGCCCTTTGGTTAGATTCAAAGTGGACAACTGGAGGCTCTCCATTCTCTGCTCTCCAGCTACTATTTCCTTTATGCCAACGTGAGTCACGGCTTCCTGCACCACCTCCTGGAGACGTACAGCTTCTATGGTGAGTGAGTGATGAGTAACACCGTCACACTTCCGTGAACTGTATGAATTAAAAACTGTCTCGATTGAAGCAAAATGCTAATCTTTTTATCCTGTGACATTTTGCTTTTTCCTGCAGATAAGGAGAACACCTCCGCAGCCTTGTGTAAGTGCTTAAAGAAATACTTTCCCCACAAGTGCTTTTCAGTTTTGTTCCTCACTCCAGCGTCTCTTTGTCCCCTCAGCTGGCTTCCAGGCTCACTTGGAAGACTGTCGAGGTTTCTTGCGCCGTCACGCCTCCACGTTCTCCTCCTGGCCGGCCCTTTTCATCCAGCAGGCCTACAGCGAGCATCCAAGCACGACTGCTCACGGCTGGGCTCGAGAGCTGGTGGGGAAAGGAGGAGCCCGGGTAGTGGAGTGTCTGAACAAGTATAATAGAACTGATGAAGAGAGCAGGTAAAGAAGTCATCCTTTAGGTGGTTTTACAGTTAATAAATTACTGAATTACTGAGATCTTTTATGTAACCTTTGAAACTCCAAGCGGGTTCTGGGTATTCTTTGTCACACTTTTAGTCACTGTGGGCTCAATTTTTAAAACAACATAAAGTCCTGCACCTCTGTGGAGACAGGACAACCATGACTGGAAGTAGAGAGAGCTCGGAAATAGAATAATTTTTGAGATTTTGTAAACAATAAAATAAAAAAAACCCACCCCTTTCAAACATGCTGACAGGTTTTGAAGTTCAGAAAGTTAGGAAGAAAAGACTTCTGGATGCCCATCAGCACCAAAGGACACACATTTCTCAGACACCATCAGCAGAACTTCCCTCCTTGCAAATGAGTTGAACCTTGTGGAGCACAACCGTTGCTAGAAGTAGAGAGAACGCAAATATGTCTTTTGTGCAGTTATAATGCGATAAATCATAAACAGAAAAAAAACAAAGTCAACATTTCTCTCTGCTGAGTGGGAATATGAAGCAGCAGAAAATAAAGTCAACTATACTGTGGTTGTAGTTTTCCCTAAATCCAATAGTTGTGTCATAGAAAATTAATTGTATATATATTTTTTTGCTTCAGTTTTGATGCTTGAATCTGTGCGTTGATAGTGTTGTGTGTGTTTCACTTCAGTGAGCTGGTGTCGACTTTCGCCTCTGAGCCGACGTGCTTGGTTGTGAACTTGGATGAGCAGCTGATGGTGGTCGGTACCGGACAGGGCACGCTGCATTTCATCCACACAGAGACGGGACAGGTATGAACATGTTATCCAGTAGAAATGTTTTGCTTCCCTCAAAAAAAACTAAAATCAACATGTTTCTAAGTGTTCACGAGGCTCATTTTTCACTGCAATATAAAGTCCTCTGTAGAAACACCACAATGTTGGTTTAAAGTAGAGAGAGCTCAGACTTGTCATCTCTGCAGTATTATACGGTGAAATGCCCGAAATCATGAAAAAAAATGAAAGTTGAAATTTCTTTGACAATTGACTTTGCAACAATTGGGGGAAAAAATGGAATTAGCATGTGCAACTTTATTTCAAGTGCCAGTGGTTGTTACTGATCCTAGAAATAAAACTATACAGATATTTTACCACCAACAACTATATTTTAAATGTGTTTCTCTGCTTGTTTTCTGTCTGCTCTTTGTAAACACAGCCTGAAGTTCAGCCCAGTTCACCTGAAAAGTCTCAGAATTTTTGCCATGTAGTTGTTGGTTGCAGCTGAGTCACTCATGTCTTCACAGTTGTGTTGAGGAGTGCAGAATATTTAGGGGTTTTATTTTTAGAATCTGCGTACTGTAAGCAGTAAATTGTAAATGAGACGTGTAGAATTAAGTGATTTTGATAAAATATTATGATTTTAAGCTTAGATTTGGGCTTGAAATCTTACAAGTTTTTCTTGTAATATATTATTTTCCACATCCAAGAGGAATTTAGAGGATCTGAACTAGTACTTATGTTTAGTTTTTTTTGTTTAAGCTTATTTTTCGACTGATATTTCTTTAATGATT